ATCGTCACCTGCTGCCAAGCACGCTCTGTTGGTGGTATCGGCTGCAACTGTCCTGCCGGCCGCTTCCGTGATGATTTCATGATTTGGCGGATGGGACACGATGCCACGTGTCGTTGTACGTCGGTCAACATTTCGGGCCAGTAGTAGTATCGCTGCAGCTACTGCCGTGTTTTTTCTACCCCGAAATGACCCGAGGTGACGCCTTCGTGTGCCTCATGTAGTAACAGTTCCCTTAGCAAAGTGTACCCCAATACCCAGATGCGGTCGGTACCGGCTTTTACGTAATACACCCCTCGTGCTGCTGCAAACTGCTGCGAGTTGCCTCCAGTGAAGAACGGGTCTGTCTGATATTTGTAGGTAAATAGGCCTGTCAGTAGTGGACTGGTCTGGGCGAGTACTATAGCGTAGATTTGGGCGGTTGGGCGGGTCAGTGCGTCGGCGATGTTCGATGCCCCTTTTTTGTAGGTGACCGTGTAGTGGAAGTTTGACTTGAGGAAATCGAGCCATCAGATTTGTCGTGGGTTGAGATTGGGCAGTGCGCGGAGGTACTGTAGTGATTTGTGATCTGTCCGTACTGTCACGTCGGCTCCGGTCAAGTAACATCGCCAGACTTTGAGGGCGTGCACGATCGCGAGCATTTCGCGGTCGTGTATCGGGTACTTTTTCTCGGGCGGGTGCAGTTTCCGTGATTCGTACGCGATGGGCTGTAGGCCGTTGCCAAAATCTTGTAACAGTATAGCTCCGATGGCGATGTCGCTAGCGTCCGTGACTACTTCGAAGGGGCGGTGAGGGTCGGCAATGCGCAGGACGGGCGGTGTGCAGATAACCTTTTTCAGGGCAGAGAAGGCAGCATGCTCTTTCTCCCCCCACGTAAAGTCTACCCCCTTCCGCAGTAGGTCAGGATGCGGGGCAGTCAACCGCGCCATGTCGGGGACGAACCGACGGACGTAATAGTTGACGAACCCTAAAAAACTCTGCAGTTCCGTGAGATTTGTCGGGGGACGCCACGCCTGAACTGTATCCAGCTTCTTAGGGTCAATTTCGACCCCAGCCTTCGAAATCACGTGTCCCATAAATTCTAACCGGTCCTGAAAATCTCACACTTTGATCCCAGTCAGCGGTTGTCGTTAAGGATTTTAAAAGCTGCTTCTAAGTCCGCTAAGTGCTGCTGCTTATCTCGGCTGTAAACTAAGATGTCGTCCAGGTAGACAATGACGCAGTTATCAAACAGTGGCCTAAACACCTCGTTCATGGTCATTTGAAAAGTTGCGGGGGCGTTGGTCAGACCGAAGGGCATGACGGTGTACTCGAAAGATCCGTACCTAGTGCGAAAAGCTGTCTTGGTGCAGTCCGATGGCTCGACCCTAATTTGATGGTAACCCCCCCGTAAGTCAATTTTCGAAAACACCCGGGCTGTTCGCAGTTGATCGATGAGTTCGTCGGCGTGGAGAATCGGGTATCGCAATTTGATGGTTACGAGGTTCAGTGCTCTGTAGTCAATATACATGCGAAATCCTCCGTCTTTTTTCGGTGTGAACCGTATCTGTGCGGCGAATGGTGACGAGCTCGGTCGGATGAACTGCTTCTCTAACAGGTAATCTTATTGCTTCCTTAGTTCATCAAGCTCGGGTTGTGTCAGTCTGAATTGTCGCTGTACGGTTGGCTGTGCCCCTGGTTCTAACTCGATGCGGTGGTCGTGTGTTCGCTGAGGTGGCAGTCCCTCCGGTAAGTTATCCGAGAAAATCCTCGGGTACCGTTTCAACAGTACCTGTTGCTTAGGCGGAACGGTTACTAGGAGTTTCTGCAAACCACTCGGCACCTCTGTTTTTTCCATCACTGCTATATCCACTTCGTACACCTCAGCTCCAGCGGCGACAACCCGTTTCATCGTGATGGCGTTGACGTGGACCGTTGAAGACTCGGGCGACTGCCAGCGAGGTAGCTCTACCCAGTTACCGCTACTTCGCACGGTGCAGCTACCTGTCGTCCAGTCAATTCGCGGGTTATACCGTCGCAGCCAATCACGTCCCAGTAAAATGTCGTGCCCATCCAGTGTCGTCGCGAGCATTTCCTGTGTAAACCCGAAGTTCCCCCCGCAGCGAACTTTTACTCTCTCCACTTTTTCCCGAATGGCCAGTGGCGTTCCGTCGACTAAGCGTGCATCTATCTCTGGTAAGCACCGGCTAAGTGGCAGTTGCAGCTTCCGTGCAGTCGCGGTATTAACTAAACTGTGACTTGCCCCTCCGTCTATGAAGATTTTCACTGCTGCTCCCTGTATTTTCCCGTGGATCAGTACTGGGCAATCCGTCGCTGTACCCTCCTTATCCGTCGATAGCATGAATCGGTACTATGACTCGGTGAGGGTCGGTGAGGTTGGGCGAGCATGTAATCTCGTCAGTAATTGGCCCGTTTGCTACTGACTGCTGGCGTTTCCTTGCCTCTGAGAGTCCCTCCCAGGGCCTATGTTATCAGGATAATTTATCCTGATTCTCCTGAATTCAGGATAGGTGTCGTGTGCTTCTCCTGAAAAAACAGCATAAGGGAATTACTTGTCCTGTAAAATCAGTATAATGGTTATTTTGCGTACTGGAAACTCAGGATAACGCTGTAGGTTCAGCCCTGACCACTCAGGATGGTGTCGAATCTCGCCCTGAAGCGAGATGTACTGTACAAAAAATCTCTTGAGGTTTCAGGGCCTACAACGTACACGTGAACTCAATCTCATGGGATAGCAGGAAATGATCAGGCGACCTAATGTCTGACAGACTGTCGCTCTACCCGCTCCGCCACCACACTTCAAGCCGCGGACAGAATTTTAAAAATTTTCCCTTTGCAATTCAAGACACTTCGCTTTTGCCCGCCAATTTGGCCCACGATGTCCACCACCGCCATCTGCTTGTACTGTAGCGTGCTGTAAACAGTTTCGCACCATGCAGCTGCCAGCGACCTGCACTGCCAGCCACTTGCAGCTGCACCCCAGCATTACACACTTCGAATGTGGAGAGCATTTCGATCCCCGCTAACATAACACGCGCGAAATACACAGGATTGTACGAAATGTAGCACTGAGCTGCCAGGATACTGTCAAATTTAGCACTGACATTTCAGATGAACTTACCCTGTGCAGCCCTGACAATTCAGGGCAAATTCTGATTTCCTAAAAACTGCCCTGAGGCCTCAGTGTACCCCCAAACGAATCTGAGGGCCTGGTCCCTCCCCTGTTCTGTTCCACGGCGCCTCTGCTCCTCTGGGCACTCGCTCTTGCGATGGCCCGGCCTATTGCAAGCAAAGCAGCGCCCCTTAAACGGCGCGGCAGCTGCATTCGTCGCAACGGCGTGTACGGTGGCGTGCTCGGTCGGCCCCCGAGGGCGATGTCCGTAGCAAGACCCCGGTCTCGGTCGGCATCGTGAAAATCCACGATTGAACCGTCGGGCCTTCTCATTGGCTCGGGTCGAAACAGGGCGGGCGCTGCGGCTTGAGTAGCATCAGTGCTGTGACTTCGTTGTTGCCGCTTGTTGCCCCGAACATCACGTGCCGACGGTTTTTGCGAGGCCCCGGTGTGCTTGGGACGGCCCTGTTTCTCTCCATGCCCGGCATTGATTGGGCGGCTCCGTCACTAGCTGCACCTAAGCGCTGTCCCACGCTGTCGTGTTGCGATGGCGTTCCGGATGAAATTTCGATTGGCTCGTCCGTTTGTGCGGGTGCATTTGTTGGAGTTGGTGCAGGTGCGTTGGTCGCGGATTGCCGGCGAGCGGCGTCAAGTTCCGCTGTGAGCGTCGCAACTTCGAGAGCTGAATTCTCGAGTTGGCTCACGAGGCAATCGAGCTGCTTCTGCGTCAATGTCGCGAGCGTGAATTCAGCCATGGCGGGGGTGTCGGGCAAGCTCAGTGAGAGTCTCTATCGTGGTCGTGCGTGCTTGCGAGAGAGCACTTTGAGCAGCTGTGCTGGCTCACTAAGAGGCGACTACCCCCCCAAAAAATTGAGATAGTGGGGAAGCGAAGGTGTGGATACGGCCCGGGAGGAGGTCGTAGACTCTGAATACTCATCGAGCGAAGGCATGAGCGAGGATTAAATAGCGAAAAGCCTAGTGGTAACAGTAACGAACTGTGGGTGGTGCGCGACGGGCATGGAACTGAGGTCGGGGACTGAGGCCCGGAGCGCGGGTTACCAGCCGAGCCGTGGTGTTGGGGTGCGACGGGCGATGAGGCGGGAAATGAGTCGAGGCGAATGTCGCGAGTGGTAACGGTGGCGACTCAGGTGAGTACATTGATGTACGCGCTAAGCAGGGATGCGGCGTAAGGAAATGGAAATTTCCTTACACTGTGTCACCCCCCCAAGTGGAAGTGGCAACCAGTTTCCGCCACTCTGCTGCGCCTATCGGTTTCTGCCACCCATCAAATCCTTCTCCGTTTGCCGCCACTTCCAACTGGTAATATTCCTGGGTTCAGTTGGTTCCCGCGGGTTCTGCTTCGGTTCTGTCTGGCAACTTCGAGGTCTGGAACTCTGAGGACATGATGCCTGAATCTCGGTTGTGCTTTTCTTTTGAAAAGCCTCTATAACGCACCACGGAGCGGTTAGATTAAACGGAGGGGTTGCAATGTAACTGACGCTTTTCACAGACACCTACCTCGGGCAAACGCCTGCTTGCTTCACAAACTCGGCTCTTAGTCTCAGGATGTTTGAAGGCTTTCGTTTCGTTTTATCAACTGGTTAGTCGAGGTCTCACAGGCAGTAGAACGGGTTTTTTCCAAACTGGTGATGATACCTGGAATCTTTGTACCCTATGACCTCCCTCGTCTCATCACGCTTATCGTTCAAGTATAGTTGATTCACACCATGCAGTAGGATCACCTGGCACTATGCGCATGGAACTAAGCGCGTTATTTTCCCCGTAGTTTCGAATTATCACGTCCCTAAACCAGCCGATGATAGCAGCTGCATGTAAGAGCAAGCGCGTTACCCGCGTCCTCTCCTCGCTTCTTGCTCCCTGGGACGCGGCCATGGCGTGCCGCGTCGTCCACCCACAACCGTCGATGATCCTTCAGTCGACTCAACAGTCATCTTCGGTTTCCCGCGTTAACCCACCACAAGGTTCCTCGCTCATTTCCTCATCCCGCACTGACTCTCTCAACAGCAGCGGCGCTTCTCCTTGCGCTATTGTCACACGCGGCTACAGTCACAGAGCCGTTACACCCACCTACGGTAGCAGATCCCATGTATCCAGCAGCCTAACCCGCGCTCCTCCAAACCCTAGTCCGTCCCTTCACAGCCCCTCCCACCTTCCGAATTCCTGCAGACCGTTCTCCTCATCGCGACCCGCATCCTCGTTGTTGTCGTCCTCGTTATCGACATCCGTGTCGCCTTTGTTCGCTCCTCGCCGTGTACCGCCGCCGATACGAGTCCGTCAGGTCGCGAGAGCCAGCCATTCACAAGGCACCCCGTCGGAGGGAGAGCATGCAATACCTGACGGACATCACACACCCTCCGAAGCAGCACCCTCCGAAGCAGCACCCTCCAAATTAACATCCGAAGCACAGCAAAGCGCTGTGAAAGCGGCAAACGAACCAGCAGCCGAGGCACTTTCGGAGGATTCTAGCTCCGCTGCTGCCGAAGCTGCCTCTGGAGATGCTTCCGAAGCTAAGGAAGAGGTTCGGAAGACGGTTTTGGCGGTGAGGAGGCGCCGAGCCGGGGGTTTAGGTTTGGCAGGGTTTGGATCGGGCGGCGATGGCATTGTGTGGAGCGACCTTCTAACGGTGCCTGGCGTAGGGCCGCGAAACCTGGCGAAGCTTAAAGCGAGGGGGTTTCGCGAAGTCGCGAATCTGACTCAGCTGTACAGAGATAAGGTGAGACAGTCGTGTGAGGATCGTGGTAAGGAGGAGGAGAGAGGGAGCGGGGATACGAACGAGCGACTTGCGAGTCGACGCAAAAGTTACCCAGAAGTCGCGAATTTGACGCAACCGTACAGAGATCAAGTAAGACGTTTGCGTGGGGAATATAAGTGAGTATTTCAGAGGAGAGAGTGGACGGGAAATGCACCACTTTCCTCCCATCTTCACCGACCTATACCATTGTCGGCTGCCACGCCTGAACCTTTGACTCCTGTCCTTTACTATCCCCTCTCTCCCCAACCCCCCACCCTCTCTTCCTCTTTCTGCTATCCCCTTCCCTTCCCATCTCCACAGTTCGCCTTCCAGGAAGCTGCCAAGGGTCGAAGCGCGATGCAGGAGTATCTGCAGAGCCACGTGGGCATCATCCGCAGGGACCACGCCGCGCGAATCACGGACTTCGTCTGCCTGCGCGTCGCGCAGGAGGAGGGGGGCGGAGCGGGCGCAGACGACGCGGGGGGGGACGGGGAAGGCGCGGGGGAGGGCGCGGGGGAAGCCGGCGCGGGGGAGGCGGAGGGAGGCGCGGGGAAGGGGCGGAGCGCGGGGAGACACAAAAACAGGCTCACGTTTTGCGTGGAGGGGAATATAAGCGTGGGGAAAACGACGTTCTTAGAACGAATAGTAGGCGACGCAGTAAAGCTTCATGACTTAGTGGAAGTGGTGCCTGAGCCGGTGGCGAGGTGGCAGAGCGTGGGGCAGGAGAAGTTCAACATTCTCGAGGCGTTTTACGAGGAGCCGGAGCGGTACGCTTATACGTTCCAGAACTACGTGTTTGTAACGCGGATGATGCAGGAGCGCGAGAGCGCGGGGCGCGTGCGGCCGATCCGGCTGATGGAGCGATCGGTGTTCAGCGATAGGATGGTGCGTGCGATGAGAGTGAGAGGAAGCGAGAGAGGAGAAAGGGGGGAAGGGGCTGGGGGCTAGGTGTATTTGAGTCGGTGTGCGGCCGACCAGACTGATGGAGCGATCGGTGTTCAGTGATAGAATGGTGCGTTCAAGGGGAGTGAGAGGGAAGGTGGGTCCAAGAGAGGGGAAGAGAGGGAAAGCGTGTTGGGGAGATGAGTAGGGTGTACTTAGAGTTGATTCATTCCTCGTATTGTTTGTGTCATGTCCCCCTCCTCCACCCCCCACCCACCATCCGCCTCACCCCCACCCACCATCCGCCTCACCCCCACCCACCATCCGCCTCCACCCCCACCCACCATCCGCCTCCACCCCCTCCACCCCTCCATCTCCATTCCTCGTATTGTTTGTGGCATGCCTCTAGCAGTGAACAAGGCCAAGTGGATGAGCGTTATGGGGGTGAGCATATACGACTCGTGGGTCGACCCTCTCTCTCCTTGCTCTCCCCTCTCGCACCCACCACCACCATCTCTTCCTTCAGGTATTCGCGCGGGCAGTGCACGAGGCCAAGTGGATGAGTGCCATGGAGGTGAGGATATACGACTCGTGGTTTGACCCTCATGGCTCTCCTCTCCCCTCCCGTACACCCACCTGTGCAGGTCTTTGTACGGGCAGTGCATGAGGCCAAGTGTATGAGCGCCATGGAGGTGAGCATATACGACTCGTGGTTTGACCCTCTCTCCTCTGCCCTCCCCTCTCTCACCACCCCTTCCTGCAGGTATTCGCGCGGGCAGTGCACGAGGCCAAGTGGATGAGCGCCATGGAGGTGAGGATATACGACTCGTGGTTTGACCCTCATGGCTCTCCTCTCCCCTCCCGTACACCCACCTGTGCAGGTCTTTGTACGGGCAGTGCATGAGGCCAAGTGTATGAGCGCCATGGAGGTGAGCATATACGACTCGTGGTTTGACCCTCTCTCCTCTGCCCTCCCCTCTCTCACCACCCCTTCCTGCAGGTATTCGTGCGGGCAGTGCATGAGGCCAAGTGGATGAGTGCCATGGAGGTGAGCATATACGACTCGTGGTTCGACCCCGTGGTGGCAGCGCTACCCGGACTCGTCCCAGACGGATTCATCTACCTGCGCGCGCACCCCCTCACTTGCCACCAACGCCTCAAGCAGCGCGCACGAGGCGAGGAGGCGGGGGTTTCCCTGGACTACCTGACTGACCTGCATAACAAGCACGAGCAGTGGCTGCTGCCTGTTGACTCGGGAGGGGCGTGGCGGGGAGAAGGAGGGGCAGGGGAGGGGAGAGTGGGTTGGGGGATGAGGGAGGGCGGCAGGGAGGGAGGGGGACCGAGGTTTTCTGTTGTGCAGCCGGATTGGTTGAAGGAAAGGGGAGGAGGAGGGGGAGGAGGAGGCGGGGGAAGAGGGGAGGAGGATGATACACCGGAGATCATCAAGGGGAGGGTGTTTGCTCTGGAGGGCGAGCATCTGCACTCAAGCATCCAGCAGGTGAGAGGGCGGGTGGTGGATTGAAGAGCGCTCATGCATAAGCCGTGCTATGGCACGCAGAAGCACATGCATGATTGTATAGCATTTCTTGACTGTGCTGCTTAGTTCTGTTGGCTGCCTAAACCCAACCCACACAAGAGATTTTGTATGTAGGTATGCAGTTACCGGCGTTGGTGCTGTACTGTTGAATTCACCTGAGAGAGTCACATGAGTTTCAACCTGCCCTCTCTGTTCTTCCCCTGCTCTTTATTCTGCCCTGGGCTTGCTTGCATGCCTGCAGGTGCCAGCATTGGTGTTGGACTGTGATGCGCAGATCGACCTCATTCGTGATGAAGATGCAAAAGAAATGTGAGAACCATCTCCTTCCTTCCCACCCCTCATTCCACTGATGGTGCCTCCTCGCCCTCACCACCTCCTCGCCCTCACCACCTCCTCGCTCGCACCACCTCCTTGCTTGTTTCACCCACCACCATGCATTCGCCGTTGGTACACGAAGCAGGTGCAGTGCAGGCCCTCTTGACTTGGTGCAGCAGGCAATGCCTGCGTCAGTGAGATCTCACTGCACCTCTTTCCACCACTTTCCACCTGTTTAACTGCAGGTACACGAAGCAGGTGCAGGCCCTCTTTGACTTGGTGCAGCAGGCAATCCCTGCCATGTGACCTCAATGCACCTCTTTCCACCTCTCTCCACCACTGCAGGTACACGAAGCAGGTGCAGGCATTCTTTGACTTTGTGCAGCGGCGAAAGGAGCAGCAGAAGCAGCGGCAGCGGCAGCAACGGCAGGGAGCAGGCATTTCACCCGACTCGCCTCTCCTCATCCCCTCCTCCCCATCTCTCTCCATGCCGCCTGGGATAAACTTCGACCCCTCATCCTTACTCCGCGCATAGAAATCTAGAAAGGCCGGGACCGGGAGAACTGACACAACAGGCGCCGGCTCAGATATTGTATAAGCTTTGGCACCAATTGGTGTTGTTGATGTGTACTGTGCTGTTCTTTCTTCTAGTTCCGCAATGAATTTACCAGTTCTGATGTGGGGGGACAGAGCTGACTGAACTGTTTTATAATTTAGCTGATCATGTTGCAATTTGACATCATACTGTAGAAGTCAAATTGGTGAAAGGTATCAAAAGTACAGCATAAATAATTGTACAACGTTTTTGCAAATAAGGTAATGAGACGTTTACACATTAGGAGGAAGGATATTTTCAGCTCCCTGGATGAGAACGCAACCTTAGTCGCTGCCAAAATTGCCTTATATAAGCCTGCATTCTAGCTAAATGCCCATCTCCACTTTATTAGCCTCCCAGAATCCGCACCACCAGCTCTCACAACTTCCTTCACAGATACGTCAAATCCTCTATAGCCCATGGTGCCTCTCGGCCCTCTCCTCTATTGCCCACAGTGCCTCTGCACCCACCTGTTCCTCCCCTCTACCACCCACGGCAGCTCCATGATCTCCCTTGCAGACGGCCTGTCGCTTGGCTTTGCTGCCAGCAGCTGCCTCACCACCGCCTTGGCTTCACTAGACACACCCATCCATGCCGCCGTTCCCATTGGCAGCGCCACCCTCCGGATGTTTCTCATAAGCGCCCTCGTGTCGCGGCCAGAAAAGGGTAACTGCCCGCCGGAAAGGGTCAGGAAGAGGCAGATGCCAATACCCCAGATATCCGAGGGGTAACCAGTAGTCAGCCCTCCAGCGACCTCGGGGGAGATGTAAGCAGGGCTGCCCACCATTCCGCGTCGTACTGTGCCATCCTCCTTGACCCTCTCGGCCAATCCGAAATCAGCTAGAACCAGCCGCTGACGCTGCACCTGTTGTTGCGGCTGCGGCTGCTGCTGCCGATGCTCCTTCTGGTGCTCCTCTTCTCCTGAGAGCTCGTCTAACGAGGGGTTGCTTGCAACAGGGGTGATTCTACGCGACGCGGACCGCTGCAGCGTGCTCGTGACACTAACGAGCGCCACGCGCTTCTTCAGCGAAACCCCGCCGTCTCTGCTCAAGCTGGCTCGGTGACGGGAGCGACGCTGGGAATCGCGATGATCGCGCGCGTCTGTAGCAGCGCTGCCGCCTGTAGCAATTGTATCAGCTGTAGCAGCTGAAGGGACTGCTGCGGCTGAAGCAGCGGAGGAGGAAACGGGCGGCAGCGAGATGAGCACGTTTTCGGGTTTGATGTCGCGATGGATGACGCCTTGCGAGTGGAGGTACGCCACGGCCGACGCGAGCTCGTATGCCACCCACGCTGCCTCGTCCTCCCTCTCCTGCTGCTGTCGTCGTGCCGCGCCGAACGCGCCGCGCTCGAGGAACTCCAGGGCGGAATAATTGGAGGATGTAGCGTGGGAGATCGTGCGACTCTCCGCGGTCCTCGCGTCGTGATCGTCATCGATCTCCCTTCCCGCGTCAGACGCGGCGCAAGATGAGGAGAGATCGTCGGAACTCAATTGGCGGAGGCGGTGGGCAAAAGACTCCGCTTCCGCCTCCCCCTCCGACTCTGCGCCCTGCTCGTGCGCCAATAGCTTCCCTCCTGCGTTCCCCGCGAGGCCGCGATCCACGGCAGACGATTCGATCGCGCTCGGGGCAGCAGGTGCGAGGCCCGTGACCTCGCCGCGCCGCCGCTTCTCGAGGTAACTAGCGAGCGAGCCGCCGCGGCAGAGCTCCATGACAATGTACATGTGGCGCCGCCCCTCTATCACGGATAGCACCTCCACCACATTCGACCGCCCTTCTGCCTGCCCTTCCACCTGCGCTTCCCCCTGCCTTCCGCCAATCGCCTGGCTTATTTCCGCCTCGCCGCGGAGCAGGCGGAGGGTGGATTCCGCCTCCGCCTTGTCCTTCTTGCGGAAGATCGACAACGCGGCGCATTTGTATTTGTCCTTAGGGATCGTCTTCACTGCCACGTGGACACCTGTCTGCCTATCAACAGCCTCGTGGACCGTTCCGAACCGACCTGTACCGATCTTCCTGCCGATGCGGTACCTCTTGCGAATGTCCTGTATATTCGAGGTGCTGCTTGTAATGGTCGCCGTCGCATGCGGCGCAAGCTGCGGCTCATTTTCGACATGGGACTCCGCCATTTTTACCTCCTGACTCTGCTCTACGTGCGAAATTCAAGAGCTCTAAGTGAGGGAAGTGCGCACTGCACAACAGTCTAGATTTCGCCGCTGCTCTAATTTAGGGTGGAGGACTTGTGAGCGAGACTGGAGTTTTCTGATCGAGGAACAATACCGACACTGTTGCTACTTATCAGGAGCGAAGATCGGAAGAGAACTGATGTTGTTGGCTGAAAGATGCCTAGCTTTGCTGCGCTGGAAGCAAGAATGGTTGGAATTGGCCCTTGAAATTACGCGCCCTCCTATTTATGCTCAACACTTGTATAAGAAGCGAGACTGAGACAATGATTTAGTACGATGAGGTGTTGTGACAAGCGGTTCCAAGGTGTGGTCGGGATGTACATGGCGCCACCGACCCGCAGCGCGTGGTTTCGAGATACCACGTGGAAGGTTCGAGTGGTGGGCTGGTTGCGTCACTCGCCGCGCGAAAGTGGTTGGTTCCGGGGGGTGATGGAAGACGTGGCGGGTTCGGGTAGCAGCACTTGCTCCCCGAGGGTGGCGGATATGCCTTGCCTACGCTCCGCCCCTGGGCTTTGCGGAGCACTGACGTGGTCGGGTTTTATGTGGCGTGAAGACGAAGCACCCCAACCCAGCGGTTACAGCGCTCACCCCAGCTGGCTGGCTTGCGGAATCTCACAAAAAACCCTCACCCTCCGCCAATACGGAAGCTGTGTGTGTCTGTCAGCCTCCGTGATCACATCTTTGTACAGTTTCTGTACACACAGAGTTTTTGTCTCATCTTTTTGGCAGTTTGTTCCCTGGGTTTCCGCTAGCGCCTCAACACTAGGACAAGGCTCTAAGATCGAGCAACCGTAGCCGTCGATTGAGTCTGCTGACGCAACAGAACTAGCAGAAAGCCAAGGAGCCAGAGTCCTCGACTGTTCCCTTCACGCGTGGTAATTTCTAGGTGGCTTCTTCGGTGAAGTGTTTGCGTCATTCATTAATCGGGGGTGTTGCTTTCCCGCCTAGCCAAAAAGGCTTTCGACGAACCCAGAAAAACTGAGGACCAACCAATCGCTGAGCTCTGGCTCTGGCTTCCACCCAGCAACCTTGCCCATCAACGAAGCTGACGTCAGGGAAAATGGTTTAGGAACCTTCCTCATCGGCATTTGTGAACACGCAAGCTGTTTGCAATTGATCAAATAACAATAACTACATTTACTTCTTCAACTTTCTCCTACATATTTTAGAGACATGAATAGTGCAATTTCAGATAATGCATCAGAGAGCCACCAAGAAAAATCTGAACGATACATTACCGTACCACGCATCCAGATGTTATCAATCAGCAGAATATAATCAGAATCTGCTTGACATCTTTCATCTACCGGTACCTTGCTTAGTGCTACCTACTGTTCCAAATTCCATACCACCACCATTGCTACCTCCAACATCCGTAACACCTGAAGCACCGAGAGCACTTGTGGCATTGGTCGCACCAGGAGTTTCTCTCTCCGCGCCCTTCACGGTCCCCGAAGCTATATCTGAATCTGAGCTCGAGAAGCTTGTTGCTGCTACTGTTGAAGGCTTAACACCCTCACTCATCATCGCAGCTGCTGCTGCTCCCAGTAGCGGTGGTCCAGTCTCCCCTGCACCCCCTCGCATCACTGCCTCTCCTGATGCCAACACTTGGCCACCGATGCTCCTTGCTTCGCCTGCTGATGCCAACTCAGAAGCACCCATGCCTGCTGTGCTGGTGGCATTATTCCCACCACCCCCACCACTCCCACCACCCCTATCACCACCATCCCCGCTATCACTAGTCCCAGCAGGCTGTGTATTTGCTGCAGCTGAAATGACATCAGCAGCAAAGACAGGCACAGGTGCTACCTCCACTCTCATCGCCACTCCTGCCCCTGACTGCACCTCAGAAGCCAACCATACATCCTCACTTTCATCCCGTTTTCTCAACTCACCCCCCTTCCCTTCATTCCCACGCTTCTCTTGCTCTCTCTCAATCTCCCTCTTCTCCCCCCGCCCCAAATTTCCCTCTTGTTTCTCCTCTCCCTCGCCCTCCTCATCACCTCCGTCCATTCCCAGTGCCTGTTGAATCTCAGCCTTCCAATCAGTATCATAACCCCCCTCCCCTTCCACCTCAAACAGTATAGCCTGCTGCAGTCCTTCCCCATCCCCCTCCTTTCCTTTCCCTCCCTCCTCTTTTTCTTCCCCCATCCCCTCTCCTTCCACTGCTTTACTACCCCCCTTCACCTCCCGTTCCTTTATCGTTAGTCCCCCACTTTGACCCACTGCCGCTGTGCCTGTATGCGTGTCTATGCCTGGGCCTGCACCCATGCCTGTGCCTGTGCTTGGTGGTTGGGGAGGAGGCGAGAGCACTGGAGCTGGGGGTGCAGAGGAGGCAGGGGGGGAAGCAGGGGGGGAGGCAGGGGGGGTGGCAGGGGGGGTGGCAGGGGGGGGGCAGGGGGGGAGGCAGGGGGGGAAGCAGGGGGGGTGGCAGGGGGGGTGGCAGGGGGGGTGGCAGAGGGAGAGGCAGGGGGGGGGGCAAACGAGGGTGTGCGGGAGGAAGAGGAGGGCGCAGGAGATGGAGGGGAGGTGGGGGGCAGGATGGGGTTGGGGGAGGGAAGGGGAGAGGAGAGAGGTGGAGAGGAAGCAGTGGGAGTGGAGGGAATGGGAGAACGGGGAGGGTAAGTGGGGGCAGGAGCAGGAGAGGAGGGTTGGGCTAGAGGCTGGGAATGTTGGGATTGGGAATGGGAGGGCCAGGAGGGAGCAGGAGTGGCGAGAGAGGGAGGAGACGCAGGTGGTTGTATTGGGCCAGAAGGGGATGCTTGTAAAGGGGGCGAGGTGGAGAGCTGCCGAGGGGGAGACAGAGATGCTTGTGCCTGCGACAAGTCTGTATGTGCTTGGGAGGGTGCTTGTTGGTTGGATGGTGGATGGTGGAATGGTTGCTGGGTGGATGGTGATTGAGTGGATGGCAATGGTGCCTGAGATGGTGACTGGGGCTGAGATGGCGGTTGGGGTGGTTGCTGTGATGATGGTTGTTGCTGAAATGGTGGTTGCACAATAGCTGGACCGGGGGGCGGTGATGGTGGTTGCAATGCTGATTTTGGCTGTGATGAGAACTGTGATTGTGACGATGGTGCTGGCGATGATGGTGGCATTGGTGCTGGCATTGATGGTGGCATTGGTGCTGGCATTGATGGTGACATTGATGCTGAGGACAGTGGTTGTTCAGGCGGGGAGCGAGCAGAGGTGGTTGGAGGAGGGGGGTTGAGGTAATCCCAAGGAGGAGGAGGGGGCGTGGAGGGGGGGGTTGCTGCTGATGGCAATGATGCTGATGATGGTGCTGCAGGGATCAATGCTGGTTCTGCTGATGACGCTGCTGCTCGTGGTGCCGATGCTGACGACAATGGTGGTGGTGCTGCTGATGCTGATGGGGATGGTGCTGATGGGGATGGTGCTGATGGGGATGATACTGATGGGGATGGTGCTGATGGGGGTGGTGCAGGCACCGATGCTGATGAAATCGATGGAGGCGATCTTAACTCCCCGGGAGGACGCACACCCGTGGTGCCCCCACTGCCCCTCTTAGCCTGCTCCTCTCTCCACCGCGCTGCACGCTGCTCTCTCAGCACTTCCCGCCTGCTTGCCGAAGCGCCACCACCACCAACGCTACCACTGCCACCACCAGCAGTGCCAGCACCAGCACCAGCAGCACTGCCACCGGCACCTGCACCTTGCTCATCCATTCTTTCACCTGCTCCTATAGTTGCTCTCAAGCCTGATGAATCTGCTGCACCTCCCCCTGCTGCACCTGGTGCCATCCGTTCTGCCTGCTGTCTTGCTACGCCTTGCACTCTGCCAGCTGCCGCTTGCATTCCGCTTGCTGCATCTCCAGTCGCTGCTGCTGCTGCTGCTGCTGCTGCTACTGCTGCTGCTGAAGGTGCTGGTACTGGTGGTGCTGTAGCTGCTGGTGCTACTGGTGGTTGCGCTGCTGCTGGTGCTGCTGGTGCTGCTGGTGGTGCTGCTGGTGCTGCTGGTGCTGCTGCTGCTGCTGCTGGTGGTGCACCACCCGAGCTCCTAGCAGTCTGTGGTGTGGTTGGGGGAGGTGCACCAGAGGCGTTGGCAGGTGCAGCTGTAGCAGAAGTAGCTGGTGCAGCTGTAGCAAAGGGGGGAGAGGGAGGGCGGGGGGCAGCTGTAGCAGAAGGGGGAGCGGGAGAGCGAGGGGCAGTAGCAGACGTGAAAGGTGGATTGACACTTGCACCTGTAGCAGGGGAGGAAGGAGAAGTGACAGGTGCAGCTGTAGCAGGGGAGGAAGGAGAAGTGACAGGTGCAGCTGTAGCAGAGGGGATGGGGGCAGTGACAGGGGTTCCTGCCACAGATCCAGGGGGTTGCCTTGGGCTGCTGAGGTTCCCAGGCGGGTTAGGGGGGCCTCTGGGAGTTGGTGGTGCGGGGGGAGCAGCAGAGGGTGCAGTGGGTGTGGGCGCAGCAGCAGAGGGTGCAGTGGGTGTTTGGAGGGTAGGAGAGAATGATGGAGCAGCAGAGGGAGGTGGGCCAACAGGACCCCTTGCAGGGCGAGTGGCTGTGGTGGGTGGAACAGCGGAGGGTGGGACAGTACTGGATGCAGCAGTGGTGGGTGGCGCATTAGTGGGTGGAGCATTAGTGAGTGGGACTGTGCTGGGTGCAGCAGCAGTGGGTGGGGCACCGGTGGGTGCGGCAGTGGCGGGTGGGGCAATAGGAGGAGGCGACCCTGCTGCTTGCCTGATAGCAGGGCCACTGGTTAGCGGGCCAGCACCTGCAGTGGTGGAGAGAGAGGGGGACGCCAGGGGACCGGGGGAGGTTATCGGGGCAGCTGAGGGGGGAGGAGCAGGCGAGGAAGGAGAGCTTGAAGAGGGCGGAGGGGGGACCGCAGCAGCAGGAGCAGGCTTTGCAGGGGGCTTCTGGGGAGCAGCGGAGGGGGGCTGAGGAGGGGCGGGAGCATAAGGAGCAGAGGGGGGGTGGGGAGAAGAGGGGGCAGGATTGGCAGGGGGTCTTTCCTGAGTGGAAGCAGTGGGGCCAGGAGAAGGGAAGGTGCTGGGGACTGATGGGGAGGCGAGAGGGACTGATGGGGAGGCGAGAGGGACTGATGGGGAGGCAGGAGAAGGAGGTGAGCGCGGTGGGGAGGGAGGGCGTGATGAGCGCGAGACAGGGGGAGGGGCTGATGAAGGGCCGGGAGAAGGAGGGGGAGGTGACCGGGACGGGGAAGGAGGGCGTGATGAGGGAGGAACAGGGGGAGGGGCTGATGAGGGGCCGGAAGAAGGGGGGGAGGTGACCGGGGAGGGGAGGGGGGGCGTGATGAGGATGAGACAGGAAGAGGGGCTGATGGGGGGCCGGGAGGAGAGGGAGGAGCGATGAAGGGTTGTGTGGGTGATGACGTGGATTGCTGCACGGGAGGTGACGTGGATTGCTGCATGGGAGGTGACGTGGATTGCTGCACAGGAGGTGACGTGGATTGCTGCACGGGAGGTGACGTGGATTGCTGCATGGGAGATGACGTGGGAGGCGGGGAGGAGGAGATCGGGGGAGGAGAGGAGGGAGGAGACGAGGAGGCAGGAGGGGGAGGAGGGACAGAGGGGTAGGAGGAGGGGGGAGCAGCACCAGCACTGCTGCCAGCTGTGCCAGCACCACCAGAAGCTGCAGCAACTGAACCACCAGTACCAGCAGCAGGAGGAGGAGGGGAGTGATGCAGACCTCCATTAGCAGCGCCTCCCTCGCCTGCACCCGCCACACCATTCCCACTTGCGCTTCTGCTTGCACCGCCATTAGGCCCCAGGCTTGCATGCCCATTCAACTCCCCTCCTCCCTGCCCTGCTGCCCCTGCTGCTGCTGCCCCTGCTGCTGCTGCTGCTGCTGCTGCTGCTGCTGCTGCTGCTGCCGGTGCTGCTGCCCCCACTCCTGCCCCCACACCTGTCCCTGCACCATTCCCAGCCCCTACGAGCACTCCTCCCCCACCCCCTGCCCCTGTCCCTACTCTCGCCCCGTTTTCTGGCGCCCTTGCAGCCCCACCAACCCCTCCTCCCCCTGTTGCTCCTCCTCCGCCCCCCCCTCGTCCCCCTCCTCCCACACCCCCTCCCGCACCCCCACCTCCACCCCCCCCGCCCCCGCCCCCGCCTGCTCCCCCAACCGACCCCGCACCTCCCACACCCAGCCCAGCAGCGACGAGCAGCGCGGGGGGGCGCATCTCCTCGTCCTCGTCCTCATAATCCTCCTCCTCCTCATCGTCATATTCATCCTCATCGCTATAGCCCCCCCGCGCCACTTCGCCCTCGTCATATAGCCTCTGCACCGAGCGGATGGGGGTGGCCAGGCGTGCCCCGTGGTCCAGTATGATCTTGTACATCTCCAGCACCACGTTCTCCTGGGGGATGAACATGGGGCAGAGCGGGGGGGATATGTGAGTCCAAGGAGGAGCAGAGAGCGCATCGTGAGGCGAGTGCTGTGGTCCAATATGATCTTGTACATCTCCAGCACCACGTTCTCCTGGGAGGTGCGCGGAATGAGGTGGAGGAGCGTGACAGGGGAAAGGAGAAGAGAGGAACATACAAGCCATACGGTTGAAGTCGTTTTTGAGGCGCCTCAGAAGAGAGGAACATAAAAGCCATACGGTTGAAAATGCTCTTTCTCGAAAACCACAACCTCGCAAGTACCTTACATTCGAGGTGCTAAAGGAATTAGTCAGTAAATGATTTATACGTTTTACAGTGTGCAAGTACAATGTTTTACAGTGTGCAAGTACAATGTTTTACAGTGTGACAGCATCCATGCTTGTACTTGCACGCTGTGCATTCACTTGTGTGTACCCACTCGCTCTGGCATCCCCTTCTCACCTTCACTCGCAGGTACTCCTCGAAATAGGGCGTCTTGACGAAGCACGAGCACATGATCTGCATGCAGAGCGGTGCAGAGGGGTGGAAAGATGTGTAGGTGAGTTCAGGGAGGTAGAAGGGCGTCCAGCGAGATGCAGCAAGGAATGAAGAGGGAGGGATGGCGAGAAAGGGATGTCATGGCGGTGGTGGCGATAAGCTACCAACAACCCACACACCCATGCCAACACATGCCTGCATGCTCCCATCGTCTCAACCCCACCCTCACCTCACCATGATCCGGCATGCCCCCAAACCTCTCACCATGATCCGGCATGCCCCCAAACCTCTCATCATGATCCGGCATGCTCCCAAACCTCTCACCATGATCCGGCATGCCCCCAAACCTCTCATCATGATCCAGCATGCTCCCAAACCTCTCACCATGATGGCCTGCAGCTGCTCATCAATGCGCTCCACAAACACACGCCGGTGCAGATGGCGCTGCTCCAGCATGGGGTGTTTGCCTATGAACTTGCGCATCGCAACCAAGATGTCCTGATGGGTGGGAGGGGATGGGAAGGGGTACAGAAGGCTAGCAGTCATGCATGTGCCCTCCCAGCATCGTTGCTCCAGCATGGGGTGCTTGCGTACGAACTTGCGCATTGCCACCAGGATGTCCTGATGTGAGCGATGCATGTGCGTGTGGATGGGAGAGGTGGGAGGGATAAAACAACGGAAACGACGCAAGAGGCTAAATCCAATCTGACAGTTTTATGATATCAGGGCGGCCAATCGCTTAATCGATCATGATGAGAAGTGCCTGCGGTGTGCGCTCATGTTGGGAATGACAAGCTTCCACTCCAAACATGTTAGAACCAACAAAGGGGTTCACTGGCAGCTTGTGCGCTCATGTTGCAGATGATAGTGCCTTTTTTAGTCGACTCAAGAGACACATGAAGGGATGCTCTGTCTCACCGGCATCTTGTTGACGTCGAGATGGCAGACCCCGAAGTAGATCTTGATGCGCCAGTGGTTGCGCGTGCTCATGTTGCGGATGACAATCACGCTGAACTTGTGATTCGGAATGTGAATCGCCTCCCTGTCGTCACCGCGGACCAGTGTTGGTTCCCACCACCCCACGTGCTGCAGGGAGGAGGAGGGGGGGACAAAGGGCGGAAGGTGGAACCGGGAGGAGGAGGTGCAGAGCAAGCCCGCCCTGAATTTTGTTGGGTCAAAAAAGAATGAGTCCTAGAGATCCCCTGCCCACTGATGCGTCACACACAACCCACTCGTTCACCATCAAGGGACTACCGAAAATGAGCCGCGCCCCACCCCACCATGTGCACTGCTCACTGCTCGCTGCTCACCTCCACAGTTCCGGAGATTTCCTGGCCGTCGATGCGACACACGATCCACTCGTTGACCATGAAGGGGCGCGCGGCATGGATCATGATGGACGAGAGGAAGTTGGTCACGATCTGATGGGGAGGGGAGGGGCGGGAGGGGTGGGAGAAGACGGGAAGGAGCAGGGAGGGGGAGTGTGAATCTTGTAAGCTAGGAACTACGATGGGGGCATGGATCATGATGGACGAGAGGAAGTTGGTCACGATCTGATGGAAGGAGGGGTTGTTGTTCGGTGGGGGGTTGGAGGGGGACGGGGATAGTTTGAATTGAGGTGAGCTTGGGATGGTAAAGCATGAGCATGCAAGTTGGTCACGAATGGAAGGAGATGTAGGGTGAGGGAAGGGGGGTGACTGTGAGATGAGCTAGGGGATGAGATGAGATGAGATGAGAGGAAGTTGGTCACAACACAACCTGATAGGGGGCCGGGGGTCAGGCCCGGTGGGAATGGGTGAGGTAATGACAACGTTGGAGTCATGGGTGATAAGGGACGGTCGGATAGACAGGACAGTTTTTAAGTCGACTCAAAAACAGGTCATGGGTGATAAGGGACGGTCGGATAGACAGGACAGGCCCACCAGACAAAACTGAATAAGTCGCTCCCATCCCAGCAGACCTTTCTTCTGTGCACTCCGTGCGACACACACCCCTCTCGCAGCCAAGGCCACCACAACCGCCCCCAGCCCTCCAACGGTGATCCATTTCTGAGTGGAGAAGCCGAGCAGCTCCATGAAGAGAAACACCAAGGTCCGATTCGCCTCCGTAGGCGCACCCCTCTTGATTCACTAATGCCACAACACGCACCTCTCTAGCCGCCAGAGTGACCACGACCGTCCCCAGCCCTCCGGCTGTAATCCACTTCTGAGTTGAGAAGCCGAGCAGCTCCATGAAGAGAAACACCAAGTCCTGTACGCCTCTCAAGACACTCACCTCTCTTGCAGCCAGCCATCTCTCAAGACACACCTCTCTGGCCGCCAGTGTAACCACAACTGTCCCCAGGCCTCCCGCGGTGATCCACTTCTGAGTGGAGAAGCCCAGCAGCTCCATGAAGAGAAAGACTGCTGCCACCCACACGAGCGTGTAGACAGTGTTGCCCACAAACTGCACTCCCACCTGAAAGAGAGATAGGAAGTTGGGGAGAAACAATGCCAACCTGAAATGAGCGAGCGGGAAGAATGCTGGGGATTGGCAAGGCAATGTGCATATTCCCGGCATATCCTGCCACCCGCATGTGCGTGTGCACGAATAGAAAAGAGTATAGGAAAGACAGTGTGACTGTTAGCATGTAGGCCAACGGTTGAGTGGGGCAACTCACGTTTCGTGTCTCCTCCTTGTTGCTCTGCTTCTCCATCATCTTCTGTATCTGCCGAGTTAGGCTGTGATGGGGGGTCAGGGAGAGAGAAGTGGAAAGAGGTGGTCGAATGAAACGCCAGGTATAGGATAAAAGAGTGAAGAGGTGAAGATCTGAAGGGAGGTGCCACTCAAGAAGCATATGGGAGCATATGGCACCACGGCTCTCTCACTTGGCAGTGCTGCTGAAGGCTAAGACGAGCAGAGTGGAAATAACCCAAAAGCCGACTAAGCAGACTGAAAAGTATGAAGTCCCAAAAGGTACGGTGCAGCAACAGTCAGCTCACTTAAAGTGCAGAGGGCAAAGACGGGCACGGAGGAGAGGAGAGTGAGTCGAATCAAACGTCGTACTTGACATCAAGACTCAAACTTCAGCTCACTTGGCGGTGCAGAAGGCAAAGACGAGCACGGTGGAGAGCGATCGCAGGAAGTTGACAAAGCGGTCCTTGATAAGCTGCCCCGCCTCCGTGGGCATGCTGAACGGCTGGAAGCAGCTGCGGGAGCAGAGGGAGAAGGCAGGGAGAGTAGAGGGGAGGAGGGGGAGGTTTTGGAGGGCTCAGGGAATTCAGATGTATGAGCCAACTCGGTCCTTGATGAGCTGTAGGAACAGAGGGTGGGTATGAAGACACAGCATGAGGAGACAAGTAAGGCCACGCACCCATAAGCACGAGCACGCAGCCCCAGAGAATGATTCAACGCATGATCTGTCAACTTATCCACGAAGCATGAGGGCATGAGGGCATAGGTCAGGTCACTCACCCACAAAGCACGAGCACGCAGCCCCAGAGGATGAGCGGGCGCACATACGACACCATCACGTGGCGAGACCGCGATTCCTCCCAATTTGCGTCGCTCTTTTTAATCACCTTCCTGCACAGCCGCACCAGCGGCCCCAGCAGCCAGATGGCCCCCGCTATGATCACCAGCGCGGGCAGCACGGGGGAGAGAGGGTGGTGCAGCCAGTCTAGAGGCACCTTGCCTGCCGCCATGGCCTTTCTGAGAAGCTTCGTGAAGATCTCGGACAAGGGAGGCATATGGTCGAAAGGATTTGGAAAGGGGAATTTCAGTAAGAAGGGAATGGCCCCTGCTGCTGCCCCTGCTGCCCCTGCTGCTGCTGCTGCCCCTGCTGCTGCTGCTGCTGCCCCTGCTGCTGCTGCTGCTGCTGCTGTCCCTGCAGCCCCTGCAGCTCCTGTCCCTCCTGCTGCTGTCCCTGCTGCTGCCCCTGCTGCTGCACCTCCAGCCCCTGCGCCAGCAGCAGCAGAGGCACGCACTAGAGTGCGCAATCCTCGCCTGCTCCTACCCACACGAAAGCCTAACGAACCACCAACGGGCCCTCGCCGCTGGCCGAACAGAGATCTCCGATATAAACACGTTTGATTGAACGGAGTAGGATGCAGCGAGTGCGCACGGGGGAATGTAGAAGAAATTGCTGCGCAAGCAGCAGATGCGATAGAATTCGGAGCAATCAATATTGGTTTCGTTGAAAATTCGCGTGCACGAAAAATTGCTGGTAACGTAAGTGGGGGTAAATTTGCGGGTGAGCTCCGTGCTACTGGTAACCAGACTCCATCCACACCCCATCTTCTGAGACCATGCGTGCATCCTGTCCGTCCACTCGCCCTCCAATCAACAGCTTCTTGTCCACCTGTTTTCGAATCGACGGCTCTCCGTCCACCTGAATTCGTAGCTACGGCTTCTCGTCCACTTGCTTCGGAATCTAAGCCTTCCCCCCACCATGCTCTCCAATCTAGGGTTTCAACAAACGGCTCCCTGACGGTTGCTCGACGGCTTCTGCTGCTCCGTCTCTTGAGAACGATAACGCGGGATGACGAATTTGAAAACCCGGAGATTCTGATCGGACGGTGCGCATGAACAACGAATGATCTGACGGCGTGGATTGGCCTGGAGCGCGGGATTCCGTGTAGTGCTCTCTTTCTGTGATTCACACCAGAGGATGACCTGGGGGATCTTGATGCAGCAGCAGCAGCAGCAACAGCAGCAGATGTGGAGTCGGTTCCAGAGCATGTTGCTTGTAACGATGCTGCCTTTAAAGCGGCTGTGAGAGTGATGGCGAGGACGGCTATGAACGAAGAGGCCGCAGAATGGATCAACGAAGCTGCTGCCGTCGCTGATGCTGCCGCTGCAGCCGCTGTCGCTGCTGCTGCTCCGTTGCTCTGACCGGCGGGTCCCGCGTGTGCCTGTCGCAACGGTGAGACAGTCACACCGTGAAAACCAACTCGGCTCGCTTGCTGCTTGTACCTCGGCGACCAAGATGCGTTGCTAAGGCGTCCTGCCACGCAAGCCGGCCGTCTATATGCGCTAAGAGACGACGTTTCGCTAAGCGTGCGAGGCCACGGCCTTCCATGAGGAGCGCTCGGGGGTTTCGAAACGGATGTGCTTGTAACGGACGATGAATGTAGAACGTGAGGAATGTGCTTGTACGAGGAGGCTAACAGGCATGCCATGGGAAACGGCAACGCCAACGAGCGAGAGGGAGATCACGGCAAGTAACGACGCGAGTCAAGCAGGCACGACACAAACAGCCTGCTGACGTGCATAATCGTTCATGGCGGGCATAAGGGCTGCACTACCCACAACTGCATTTAATGCGACCTTGGATAGAAAGGATAACCAAAAAGAGACGAAAGAATATATATCCTAGAGATCGCCAGGGAACCAGATGCGCGATCGGCGGGTCTGGCGGCTCGTGCTTCCGAAGAAAATTCGAAGCAAAATCAAGGCGGAGGAGGTGAGTGACAGATGGATCTCAGCATCAGCGCGGAGCAGTATCCCCGAGTGCGGTGAAATTTTGTAGTGGTTGGTTAGTCAGTCCGCCACGAGTCATGACTGACTGACGAGACTGACTTGCTGTGTGTGTGCGCCCTTGGGATTGGTTGAGATGGCTTCCCCCTCCTTGCGAATGAATGGACGAAGTGGTGCTGGCCCGAAGAAAGCAATGAAAAATCGGCGAAGTCTGCGAATGTTAGATTGAATTGTTACGGCTACAACGATTCAATCAATAAGATGAGTACAACTTCCACAGCTTTGAGGAATGACGAATGCATGTTGGCAGCTGTGAATTATAGTGCTTTCAAACCCTAAAATATCATGAGCATAATTCATATTGACAAGCATGGCTACAATGAAAGGGGGAAGCCTGTGCAAACTGATTTAAACCACCGGCAAATTTCGGCTCCGTACCCTCAAGTCTCTCAGTAGCCCCAATTGTGGTTGCGAATCTCGTCGTCAAACTTCTCCTTCAGCTTTGGATTCTTAGCCAGATACTCATCCACAGTCATGGTCTTCAGTGCATCCTGTGGAGTCGCAATTGGTACATACAGGTTTCATGACAGGAGTACAAGACAAGCATGGCACAAAGCATTGACACCTCACGTCTCAGGGCTAAAAAGGATAAGTCAAAAGGGGCATGAGAAATGTGCAGCATGCGCTCGCACCTTCTGTGCTCTGATCTTCTCGATCTCGGCTTTAAGACGGGCTGCCTCACGCTTCGATGCCTCTTCCTCCTCAGCTGCCTTGGCCACCTGTAACACTCACCACAGTTGCACACACACAGATGCATGCACATGCTCACACACGTATGCACACTCAAATCACAAACCAACATACTCCCCCCAACCCCCATTCCCCCTTCCTCCCCAAACACACCATACGTCATGCAGGAGATGTGAGTCAGAGCATGAAGTGACACAAAATGCAAGTGAGCGATGGGATTAAAGCATAGACACAGGAACGACCCTTGAGGCACCTCAAAACATGTGAGTCAGAGCATTAAGTACCACAAGACTTATGGGAGAGAAATCACCACGGCATACACAAAAGGGTGGGGATGGGCTGTGGAGGGGATGCAGTAGCAGACTGAGGAGCAGGGTGGGGCAGGGATGGGCATGCAAAAGCCGAGTGCGGAGTGGTGGTGGGCGGGGAGGGGGGCGAACGGGAGGGTGAAGGGCGTGCAACGGCGGGGTGCGGGGGAGCGAGGTGACTTTTGAGTCGACTCAAAAGTCATGGCAGGGTGCGGGGGAGCGACTTTTGAGTCGACTCAAAAGTCACGGCAGGGTGCCGGGGAGCATAGCATGGGTTGGGGTACTCACGAGCTGCTGATGCTCCTTCTCAAACTCGGGGGTTAGCGTGTCCACATAGTCCGGGATCTCAATGCCTGCTCGCCTCAACCCCACATCCCCCAGACACACACAAAGAGAAGACAAGAACGTGGGTGAGAAAAATGGGGCGAGAGAGGGAGAGCAAGAAACAGTTTGTTCAGTGAATGGGAATACCCTACCAGAGATCAGTCACCCCCCCACATTCTCGCATTCTCATCCACCTCCGTACCATCCCCTTGTCTACACTAATCCCACACACTACGAAAGGCCAAGCAAGAGACTCACTCTTGTAGGACTGCTCGAACATGTCAACAATCTTGGGGTTGAGCTTCGAGCGGTACAGCGCCCAGTCAATCTCCACCACCTTCTGCTCGCTCACATGCAAAGAGGTGTGAGAGGGGTGACAGGAGTGACAGGGGTGTGAGAGGGGTGACATGAAAGAGGTGTGGGAAACCCAGGAATGAGGAGGCTTATTGAGAGCAGAGAATTGACTCAGTAGCGCCCAGTCGATCTACACCACCTTCTGCTCGCGTGAAACGAGTGATAACATGGCGGAAAAACCGGGACGCGGGGAATGAGAAGGATTAGTGGGAGTTGAGTAAATAGACCCTTCGTACCGGTACAGCGCCCAGTCGATCACCACTTTCTCCTGCGCGCATGGAAGGCAGCACTACAGGGAATGGGAACCGGGAAGCGGGAACCCGGAACCGGGAATGAGGAGGAAAATGAGCACGATGCGAGGGGTGGAACCGTTCCATCCGTCTGGTCAAAACAAGGAGGATCAGAGGGGTACTGACTGCAAGTTCGTTGGTCATTCGAGTCACAACGACCCCCTCCGAGAGATATACGACGCTGACGACGGGTTACCCGCAGTATACAGATACTAGGGTTACGTGCAAAAAAGCATCAGCAAATTGCATGCGGCGACAGTGTCGCATGAAGCCACAGCGTCGCATGAAGCCACAGAGTCGCATGAAGCCACAGCGTCGCATGAAGCCACAGAGTCGCATGAAGCCACAGAGTCGCAGACAAAAAAACCGAGATCCGACGGGTCTTGGTGATCCTAGTGCCGCTAATCGCCTGAGCGACCGTAGCCACCTAACGACACGGTTTTCGAGACTGAGTCACGGCGATATACGAGTCTTGCGGCTTCATGATGCGCGAACAAGAGAATGGAACTTTAGGGCATACTTGCCTGCTCGTACGGCGAAGATCCTTCGTGATCGGAAAATAATTCGGTTGAGCTTTATATTGAGCGTGTGCGACACCTCGTGGTGTGCGACACCTCGTCTGAGATGCCTTGCCGTGCACGTGCTTCAGAAGCGACACTAAATCTTTCTATCAGCGGCTGTGTAACCCTGAACTCGACATTCGCACACTACACCAGGTAACCGGACCTCGTTAAATTTCGTGTTGAGCGTGTGCGACACCTCATCGTGCGCGCGCTTGAGCGCCGCCATCTCTCGCTTTCCCTCCTCGCTCACCACCACGCGACTCAGCTTCTCCCAGTCGATCGCCTTGAACGCCCGCTGCACCGCCGCCTTGCCGCTCATCCTGGCGCTTCGGAAAGAGCGAGAGATTTAAGGATCGGGATCGGCGCACGTGAGCGCAGACGGGTGGCAATTAGCGCGCGTGAGTGGCGGAAGATTGAAGGGAGTGGAAGGAGGTGGAATGGCGCGAGGCGGAGGAGAGCGCAGAGAGGTGATAGCGGAAGGAGGAGTATGGCTGCGACCCAGGGACTGGAATATGTTTAGGTCTGCGACCCAGGGACTGGAATATGTTCAGGTCTGAGCTGAGGATAGCAAGGTTGGTGTGGTGGGGAGCTTCATTATAGCAGAACTACAATTATGTTTTAGTCAAATCAAGATTCAACTGTTCTCGACTTATGATCAAGGTAGTCTGTCAGTCCATACCGCGTCAGATTTCCGTCCAGCTTGAAATGAGGCGCAGAGGACGCAAGGGTCAGGCGACCATTTCGCAGAAATTGAATTATTGATCGTCGCAGATGCTCGCCGACATGTTGAAATAGCACCTCGTGATTGGATGGAAATGGTCATTCATCGCCTCGGGCCAATAATGCGAATTTCGTCGCTCGGCACAGCACGGCTCCAGCGGGAATAATTCAGACATTGCTGGCCCTCACAACCCGCGGTCCGTACAGGATCCATGCAGAGCGGTGAGGGATAATTTACACTCATTTGTCGTGGTGCAGAGCGGTTTCTGTGAGGTGCTCCAGCGCACCTCTCAAATCTGGCTGCTTCGCCTCTCTACGCCTATAAAGGGGTTGGGTTGGATCATCACTCGACCAACCTTTCTCGCCTGGTTCTTTCCTCTGAAGCGTCTCTGCAACTCGCCTGTCTATCCCACTCCTTTACTGGTGTGCTACTTTCCTACTATCCTCCTTTTTTAGCTCTGCCTAGAATTCCAAGACTTCATCGAGGTCTTGACCAGATTTAAATCGCACCGGCCAAGCAGAGGATATGGAGCGCCGCGCTTCGTCCCTTTTCGCCATCGTGCTAGCGGCCGCGGTGGTTCTCCTCTGCGCCTCGGCGCGTGTGGATGCTCTATCGATTGCCCGCATTGGAGGCAAATACACTGAAGTCAAAGGCGCCGCGAGCAACAAGGACATCCGGTCACTGGCGCAGTGGGCCGTCAGCGAAATAAACAAGCAAGAGGTCAGGCAGTATCCACAATACATCATCCCTTCGCGAAACTTCGCTTGCATTTGACCTGCCGATGAAACCCGTCGCTGATCGTGATTCGCCATGTTACTGATTCTCCAAGAGTTCGTCGCCAAGGGGATAAAATTTAATAGCTATTACTGTAATAGATACGCTAAAAGCACTTACACATCCGCAGTCATAACTGGTCAAGCGGAAATAGTGCGGCGAATCTTGTCCACCACCACCACCGCCGCCACCACAGCCTCCTGCTCACGCGGCTTTCCCCGTCTACTCTTTCTTTCCCTCTTCCCTCTTCTCCCCCCCCGCTCCCTCCCCTCACACCCTCCTTCCGCCGCTCCCCGCCTTCCCACCACGCAGGGAACACAGTACAGCTTCGTGTCGGTAGTGTCGGCTCAGACAGAGCTCGAGGTTCCCAGCAGCTATCGCATCAAGATCAAGGCCACCGACCTCTCCGCCCTGGCCTCTAAGAAAGCCTACACGCTCGGAGGTGGCGGTGCCACCGATGCGGGCGGCGCGTTCAAGAAAATCAAGTCGATGTTGCGAGGCGACAAGACGACGATGCCGACGACCAAGACGATGACGCCCAAAGGGAATGGTCCTGTGAGCGCGCTGATCACGCTGCTCGTGCATGCGGTGGATGGGACGGCTTTGGGCCAGCCGAACGAGCTGAAGAATTTCACGAAGCTTTAGTGATCGAAGCCGCGGCGGGTGGAGGCTTTCGGAATAAAGGCAGCTGCGGCGTGTTGAGGTGCGGTTGGACGTGTGCCGACGAGCGCGCTTTGCGCGCCCTTGCTGAATTTCGTTGTAGGGTGATCATGCACTTGAAGTTCCCTTGAAGGTGCGCTCGACTCAATATTGGAGACGTGCGCTTCTTCCGACCTAACGAGTTACTGCTGGTGAGAAGAACAATAATAAACTGGTAGACATTGCACGAGTGGCTAGTAACGTTCCTCCCTGTACCATTTAGTTAGTCTTCTCATGTAACATACGGCCGAATGGGGTACATGAGTCTTTGTCCTTGCATCAGGATTTTGGAGTTAGGCACCAGCAGATTCTTGCTTCAGCCACAGGAAACCAAGTAAAGCAGAGCTACCACGACAGGGAAGCCCCAAACTGACTAACGTCAAGCGACACAGAGAGTTGGGGGGGTCTCCACACATGAAGACTTCGTGGTTGAGATTGGCAAACAGCATGCACTGGTCGTTCGTGGTGCAGCCACAACATAGCCACCACACCACATTCTCCATCTCACGCTTCAAGGCTTCAGGAGTCACAGCAGTGTACACAGGGAGCGTACACAGGGAGCTCAACTGACTCGTTTGAAGGGACATACAGCAGCAGTACCCAGTGCGGGTTTTGATTGATACAGGACAGAGTTCATTCTTTCAATAGCTGTAGCAGCAGCACACCCACCCACGATCATGTCATGCTGCACATACAGTAGTGCAACATGAGCAGGGCCACCCCACAATACAACCTCAACTCGAAACACAAGAGACTAAGCAGATGGCAGCTGTTGCTCAAACAGCGCGCAGCACATCACTTCTGCCTTCCTCCCATTCTCAATTCCTTTAACTCCCCAATCCTCACTCACTTCCCAATCAGGCCCTCCTCTTCTCTAGGCCACTCCAATCCCCACTCGCATTTACACTTGAATATACAGGAACGGGTGGTTAGGCTAAACCAACACCACCTGAGCCTATGCAGCATAACTCTCTCTCTCCGGCCTCCCCTGCAGCCAGGACATCCCCTTGTACCAGCAATTCTCCTGAAACTGCCTCAAAGCCTTATGAAATACTTGCAGTGAACCACCAGCCTGCCACCACACCAGTAGCCAGCAAGAGTTCTAGATAGTACAAAGCGGGTGGTTGGGGGAGGGGGTTGGGAGGAAAGCGGGGGAGGGGTGGGGAATGGTAGAAGATCAGCAAGGCATGCATCGATGGTAGAAGATCAGCAAGGCATGCATCGATGGTAGAAGATCAGCAAGGCATGCATCGATGGTAGAAGATCAGCAAGGCATGCATCGATGGTAGAAGATCAGCAAGGCATGCATCGATGGTAGAAGATCAGCAAGGCATGCATCGATGGTGGAAGATCAGCAAGGCATGCATCGATGGTAGAAGATCAGCAAGGCATGCATCGATGGTGGAAGATCAGCAAGGCATGCATCGATGGTAGAAGATCAGCAAGGCATGCATCGATGGTAGAAGATCAGCAAGGCATGCATCGATGGTGGAAGATCAGCAAGGCATGCATCGATGGCAAGGCCAGGCCGAGGCAAGGCACGGTACAGCCTGTTAGCGGGTTTATGCTTTGCATGAAGCAAAGCAGCGCTCTTTTCTCTTTCCCGGCGTGCGTGAGAGCATGCTTCTGCTGGCGATCATTGAGGATTCTCACAAAATTCTCTCTTCTGTACACACCAAGCATGTTGCTAAGTGCTTGGTGTGTGCTGCTGCAGGCGCAGGAGAGAGGGGTGAATGCCTTGGCACTTCACTACTCCCTGTCAAAGCCACCTCTGCATGCTTCTAACATACAACCATGCACAAAAGTCCTGCCTGTCGCATGACCAGAAGTCCTGCCTGTCGCATGACCAGAGCTCCCATGCTTATGCCCTTCACCTCTTTTCAGCAACTCTCCCACTGCCTGCGCTGCTCTCAATATCACACATCGGCCCTCACCTGTCACCACCGCTTTCCACCGCGTCATCTCTTCAGCGCCCCTCCAGCAGCCTCCGCTGCCCTCTGCCGCATCATCTCCTGCACGGCCTTGCGCCGCCTCGACTCCATCTGCTGTGCTGACCGCCGGAAATGCTCCTTGAGATCCCTGCGGGTGGAGGAGAGAATAGGGGCACATGGAAAGGCGCACAGAGAAAGGGCATAAAGTAACAGCAGAGGATAAGTCAGTTCAAAGGCGGTACCGTGCGCCGCCCCCCTCGACTCCATCTGCTGCGCTGACCGCTGGAAATGCTCCTTGAGGTCCCTGTGGGTGGGGAAAAGAGAATAGGGGCACACAGAGAACAGTGGCAAAGGGAAACGACACATAGAGACACGGCACATAGAGACACGGCACATAGAGACACGGCACACAGAGACACGGCACACAGAGACACGGCACATAGAGACACGGCACACAGAGACACGGCACATAGAGACACGGCACATAGAGACACGGCACATAGAGACACGGCACATAGAGACACGGCACATAGAGACACGGCACACAGAGACACGGCACACCGCAAGGCAGGCAGAGGGCAGGGCAGAGGATAAGGCAGTTGAAGGGCAGGCGATACTCTCCAGCGGTATCACCACCATTTGCACGTGACTTGCGTGAAGGAAGGTACAGCAGCTGATTCTTGCCTGTGGTGGGCCACACAGGTTGGAACCTTGCTCCTGAACCGTTCCCAACCACTCTCATCAGGACTCACTTGCAGCGCGGCACTTTGCAGAGGCTGTCTTTGCAGGAGCGCGCGTGCAGGTGCAGCAGCCCCCATGAACCTAGAGAAATTATCACCACTAGCCCCCTTCAACCGCTGCCACCCTCACTCACTTGCAGCGCGGCACTTTGCAGAGGCTGTCCTTGCAGGAGCGCGCGTGCAGGTGCAGCAGCCCCCACATGCGCTTGCAGTGCTGGCAGCCGCCTGCTGAGCGCACGGCACAGATGGTGCCGTGGCGGAACAGCATCTTCACCATGCTGCACTTGGGGTATGTGCACACCGTGCCGGGCTGGGGGCGGCAGGACGCTGCGTGGGCGAGCAGTTCCAGCATCTTGCGCACCTGCAGAAGTGAGAGAAGGGGGAAAAGAGAGGCAAACGGAGGAGTAAGAGGAGGAGCGGCGAGAAAAGAGCAGAGCATCGTGACTATGCTGCACATGGGTTGCTTTCACAACGAGCTGGGAAGCAGGCAACAGAATGCCGTGGCCCTATCCCAGCCCCACCCAGCGATCCCTGCCAGCCTGTCCCCCAATCCCCCTCATCTCCTTGCCACCTGTTTCCTTCATACACACACACACACACACCACGAATGCACTTTCCCTGTCCCCCAATCCCCCTCATCTCCTTGCCACCTGTTTCCTTCATACACACACACACACACACACCACGAATGCACTTTCCCTGTCCCCCAATCCCCCTCATCTCCTTGCCACCTGTTTCCTTCATACACACACACACACACCACGAATGCACTTTCCCTGTCCCCCAATCCCCCTCATCTCCTTGCCACCTGTTTCCTTCATACACACACACACACACCACGAATGCACTTTCCCTGTCCCCCACCCCCCTCACCTCTTTAATCCACTGCTGCCGCCCCTCTTGGCTCGGATGCGGATGCCTACACGTGTTCTTACATGCCGCACACACGCATAGCCCCATACATGTGTTCTTACATGCCGCACACACGCATAGCCCCATACATGTGTTCTTACATGTGTTCTTACATGCCCCACACACGCATAGCCCCATACATGTGTTCTTGCATGCCGCACACACGCATAGCCCCATACATGTGTTCTTGCATGCCGCACACACGCATAGCCCCATACATGTGTTCTTACATGTGTTCTTACATGCCGCACACACGCATAGCCCCATACATGTGTTCTTACATGTGTTCTTGCATGCCGCACACACGCATAGCCCCATACAATGCCCCCTGCCCCTTGCTCCCCTCACCTCCTTGATGCGTTGCTGCCGCCCCTCCTGGCTCTGCGCGTTCCGATCCGGCTGGCTTGCGTGCGACACCAGCGGGTGCGGGTGCCCGCACGTGTCCTTGCACTGAGCGCACACGTCATAGTCGGGGCACTGCTCGCACCGCCACCCCTGCCGGTTCTCGATATCCCGCTGGCACGCGTTGCAGGTGACGACAAAGGCCGGGGCGGTGGGGTTGTGGAGGTGGTAGAGCACCATGAGGGAGGAGTGCTTGGCGCGGCGTAGCGTGTCGTACTGGTAGTGGTTGCCCTGGCACAGAGAGAGGAACGCCTGCCTCGTATCGAAGAACTCGGACTCCACCACCTCGTCGGGATCCTTCGTTTCTGCGGGGACCGGTGGGTCGATGGGGCGCTGTGGGAGGGGGGAAACGGGGGGAGGGGAGGGTGTGCGGGGGGAGCAGGGAGGGGCGCAAGGTGGGGAAGGGGGAAGGGGGAGCAGAGGGGAAAAGAAGGAGGGTTGTGCATGTGGTAGAGCACCATGAGGGACGAGTGCTTGGCGCGGCGCAGTGTGTCGTACTGGTAGTGGTTGCCCTGGCACAGAGAGAGGAACGCCTGCCTCGTATCGAAGAACTCGGACTCCACCACCTCGTCGGGATCCTTCGTTTCTGCGGGGACCGGTGGGTCGATGGGGCGCTGTGGGAGGGGGGAAACGGGGGGAGGGGAGGGTGTGCGGGGGGAGCAGGGAGGGGCGCAAGGTGGGGAAGGGGGAAGGGGGAGCAGAGGGGAAAAGAAGGAGGGTTGTGCATGTGGTAGAGCACCATGAGGGACGAGTGCTTGGCGCGGCGCAGTGTGTCGTACTGGTAGTGGTTGCCCTGGCACAGAGAGAGGAACGCCTGCCTCGTATCGAAGAACTCGGACTCCACCACCTCGTCGGGATCCTTCGTTTCTGCGGGGACCGGTGGGTCGATGGGGCGCTGTGGGGGGGGGAACGGGGGGAGGGGAGGGTGTGCGGGGGGAGCAGGGAGGGGCGCAAGGTGGGGAAGGGGGAAGGGGGAGCAGAGGGGGAAAGAAGGGGGGTTATGCAGGTGGTAGAGCACCATGAGGGAGGAGTGCTTGGCGCGGCGCAGCGTGTCGTACTGGTAGTGGTTGCCCTGGCACAGAGAGAGGAACGCTTGCCTTGTATCGAAGAACTCGGACTCGACCTCGGAGGGAGGGGAAGGGGTAAGCAGGGGGGAGGGGGTGCAAGTAGTGGCGTGAAGAGGTGCATGGCAATGGCAGAGCGAGAAACGATTCAAACAACAGCTTGAGGAAGGCCTGCTGTGTGTCAAGTCAAGCACTCACGGGTGTGAGTTGGTGTGTGTCAAGTCAAGCACTCACGGGTGTGAGTTGGTGTGTGTCAAGTCAAGCACTCACGGGTGTGAGTTGGTGGGCCTCTCTGAGCAGCACAGGGTGGCGATCCGCGGGGCTGCGCCGCTCCTCCTGCGTGAAACACCTGCGCTTGAAACGGGCGTCAGGATTGAACGGGGAGGAGGAGGAATGGACAGGAGGGATGGGCAGGAGGAATGGGGGGGAGGAACTTAGGTGAGGAATGGGGGCGATGGTGGGAACATTGTGGCAGGGAGGGAGGTGGAAGCAGCAAGGAGGAAAGCAGATGCATGAGGGAGCAAGACCACAGAGGGAGCATGATCATGGGAAGACAGCAACGAGGGCTGTTGGGGAGCGCAAAAAGACCGGGGAAGTACGAGAAGGTGGGGCTGAAGGGGAGCGGAGGGTTGAGGGGGAGGGGAGTGGAGGAGAGAATAGGGTTGAAGGGGAGCGGAGGGCAGCAGGAGGGCTCACGAGTCGCAGATGTTGAAGTGCTTGCATTGCGGCTGTAGGCACACCCATCTGTTGCCGGTGATGATAAAGTTCTTGCAGTGCGAGCAGCAGTAGTGCATGTGCACCATTATGAAATCCTCCTTCATCTGCAATATCGTGCTGCCCAGCTGGGGGTGGGGTGAGAGGGAGCGGGCAAAGAGGGGGGATAAGCCACATGTGAGTGGGGTAAGTGGGATGGAGGCAGTGCGAGCAGCAGTAGTGCATGTGTACCATTATGAAATCCTCCTACATCTGTAGAATCGTGCTGCCCAGCTGCAGAGGGGTGAGGACGCAAGAGGGGGCACGGAAAGAGGGCAATAACCCGTGTGAGTGCGTGGAGGCAGGCGGTGCGAGCAGCAGTAGTACATCTGTACCGTTATGAAATCCTCCATCTGCGAAGTGGTGCTGCCCAGCTGGGTGTGCGGCGAGGAACATTGAGGAGGATGGAGGGAGAAGGAGGAAGCAAGGAAAGAGGAAGAGGGTGATACACCATCCATGTGAGCGGGTGCAGGCAGTGCGACTAGTGTCCTGTCCAGGTGTTTCTGAGAATTCTCAAAAACACCCTTCAGCATCATGGGTGCAGGCAGCGAGAATAGTGTCCTGTCCAGGTCCTCCTCCATGTAGAGCGCCGCTCTCCCTTACTCACCTTAAGCAGACCCACCCACCCCCCACATCAATCCTCTCCACCATCTCACCTCTCTCCTCTCCCCTCCCACCACCCTCCTTTCTCACCTTGCTCATCAGTTGCTTATCCAGCGACGCAGGAGTCCCCAAGTCCTCATCCCGCCCCCCTCCACCGCCCCGCTTGCTGGACGCTTTGCTCTTCTTGGCCTTCTTTGGCCCCTTTCCTCCGGCCTTCTCCTCCTCGCGCTCCTCCAGCAGCTTCTGCAACTCGTCCTCCATGGCGCCCGGCCAGTAGTCCCCATCGAAGTACGGCAGGCGGGCCGCGGAGGGCAGCGCGCGGCACTCCCCGATCTGCACGAAGAAGGTGTCGTAGAGGTTGCTCACCTCCACCACGATGTTCTCTGCGGTTGCCTTGCGCAGCATAGTGAGGTACCTTGTAAAGGGGATGGATGGGAGGGAGGGAAATGAGGGACAGAGCCATTTCAGTTTCAACCGTGCATTTTCAAAGTCAGAATCACCGAATGGAGACACGACTGATGAGGGTCGACCACACCAAGAGGTACTCACCAGCACTGAATTGCTCAGTGCACCACTCACACACCTGATTCAACAACATGGCATGGCCACATGTTTCAAAGCAAGCAACATACCATTCGCGCAGCTTGACGGGTTGCGGCGTCTTCTGGATCTCGGGGTGGCAGTAAAGGATGTAATCCTCTCCCTTGAGCGGCGGGCACGCCCAGATGTAGCAACTCGTGAAGCCCCGCATCTTGGAATACTCAAGGTACCCGATCTGGTGAGCAGGGAGGGAGGGTTGGGGTTGGCGTGTGAGGGGGTTGGTGTGAAAGGGTTGGCACAAGTGCAAAGAAGGCCAAGGGAGGCAATACAAGGAAGCTGTCCTCTCCCTTGAGCGGCGGGCATGCCCAGATGTAACAGCTCGTGAAGCCCCGCATCTTGGAATACTCAAGGTACCCGATCTGGTGAGCACGTATAGGGTTGAAACGGGAAGGAAAAATGGGGGGAAGAAAGGACAAAGGGAGACGATATGGGACCTCTGAGCCTTCTATATTTCCCTAATTGAACGCAGGTAGTGCACTGGCAAGGTCACTCACCAGTATTTCGTGGTACACAAAGGTGCGCAGGGCCTCCCCGCTGACTGTGTGGACGTCCGGGCGGAAGTACTTGATGGAGTCGAGGTAGGAGAGGTAGATGCGGCGGTGGTTGGCTTGAATCAGGAGATTCGACCCGCACCTAGCATAGAAGCACACTCACCAGCACCTAGAGGCAAGCCCACTCACCAGAATCTCGTGGTACACGAATGTTCTCAGGGCCTCCCCGTTTACTGTGCGGACGTCCGGGCGGAAGTATTTAATCGAGTCGAGGTAGGAGAGGTAGATGCGGCGATGGTTGGGCGGCAGGCAGTCGGCACCAAACTCCTGCACGTACATGGCGTACAGACACACCTCCACGCCCTCTATGCGCTGAAACAGCAGCACCACCTGGTGGGTTGGGGGGAAGGCGAGTGAGCAGAATGAGTAAGGAGATGAAATGGAGTCGAGGGATGGGGGGAGCAAAAAGATGGGCCAGTGGGTGAGGGGGAGGGAGATACGGGGTGGGGAAACCAACTGAAGAAAAGAAGCACTGTCCGCTGCTTATGTCCTGCTCAGCTTTGCACCATCACACAGATATTGCCTTACATTAGACTTGTTAGTGTGGCTCACTCAAATCACTCCCGTGCCAGCCACCTACTCCCAGCCTGTCCCCCTTACCTTGGACTTGTAAGGGAATTCCTTGGGGTACTCCCCCTCGGGGAACATGTTGAGGAAGCGTGGCTTCGTCTCCATCTTCTTGTCCACTGATGACACCACTCGAATCACCAGCTCCTCTGCCCCTTCCACCTGCACAGGCAAACGATGACACGCAAGGCATTAGCCAATTGACTCATGCACTGCCTTAAGGGTCTCCATCCTCTTGTCCACCGATGACACCACTCGCATCACCAACTCCGCCACCCCATCCACCAGCACACCCACACAGGGAACACCATAAAGCAGAGCTCATAACCAGGTGACTCCCTTGAGCTGCATAAAGTCTCTCTCTCTCTACCCGCCCTCTAGCCCAGTGACGAAGCCATTCAAACCACCATTACCCCCCCGGTCAACGGCAGAATGAAAGCCAGCAAGGACGGAAAAAACTTTGAAAGCTCACCTCATCCGGTCTCTTTCGCTGCTGCCTGGCCCTCTCCTCCCTCTCCTGCGCCAGTCTATTCGCCAGCCGCCCCTCTAGATGATCCGAGAGGCGCGAGCGCGGCAGGTCTCTGGCGCCGAGCACGGTGGAGGCCGGGAGGGGGACGCGCTGGCCTCGCTCCATCTGCTCGCAGCAGCACAGCGGACACGTGTACTCTGCTTCCCCCTCGTTGCGCCGCCCGTTGAACAGCGCACACACCTGGTGCACCCACCGGTCGCACGTGTCACATTGTACCCACTGGTGAGGTGAGGGTGGAGCGAGGGGGGAGGGGGCAGGGGAGAGAGGCCAGGGGAGGGGCAGGGGAGAGAGGCCAGGGGAGGGGCAGGAGAAGGAAGAGAAAGGGGTAGTGTGAGGGGCGATGGCCACCGTTGAAGACCGCGAGATCAAACGGAGAACACCAAATGGGAGGACCAGGGAGAAAGAAATAGAAATGCACAAGGAATGCACAAGGAATGCGCATACCGCTTCCTCTGTCTCCTCATCATTGATCCTCTTGGTCAGACTAGCCTTGGGAATCGGCCGGAGCCCCTCCAGCGTGATCGCATCCCCTCGGAAGTCCCCATAGCACCGGTTGCACACGCACTGCCGCTGGTCGCCCGTGCCCGGCGTGGCATAATACGCCTTGTTCCTCTGGATCCTGCGCCCACACGCCGTGCAGTAGATGGGCGGCGGATCAAAGAAGAGTTTCTCCACGGAGCATAGCCGGCAGTCGGAGTCACGCGGCTGCTGTTGCTGCAGCTGCTGTGCCGCCTGCAGCTTCTCCTGCTTCTGCTTGCTCTGCCCCACCCACTGCCTCAGACTCCGCACGTGCAGCCGGATCATCTCTGGGGTGAAGAGCTCGGTCAGCGACGTGCCTACCCCCTTGCTCTTCATGTTTTTGTTGTTCGCTGCTGCTGCCGCCGCCGCTGCTGCCGCTGCTGCTGCTGCTGCTGCGGCTGCTGCTGTGGTGGTGACAGCTCCTGGCCCTCCTGCAAGGACAAGCGCCTTGCTATCTTCTGTCCGAGGCTCTGCCTTCACACTCGCCACGCCACCACCAGCACCACCCGCGCCAGACATACCTGCCCCAGTCCTACCCTCCGCCTTCACCTGCCCTGCCCCTGCCCCTGCTGAACCTACCCCTCCCTCTGCCTTCACTGCAGCACTACCCGCAGCAGCAGCAGCGCCTTTAGCCTGTGCGCCTGCTCTCCCTGAAAGAGCCCCGTTGGCACTTCCCTGCATCTTGCTGCCAGCAGCCTTGCCAGCCTTGGCACCAACAGTTCTTTCTGGCTTCTCCTTCTCGCCACCACCAGCAGCACCAGCAGCAGCACCACCAGCAGCACCAGCACTACCCGCTCCTCCTCCTCCTCCTCCTGCTGCAGCAGCAGCGCCAGCCTCTGCTTTCACGCCTGAGCTTCGCTTTGGCCCACCACCTGTAGCCTTTAGACCCCCTACCCCGCCTTCCAGCTTCGCCCGTTTCAGCGGCTGTGCCCCTGCCCCCTTCTCCCTCTCCTTCTCCCGCCCTGGCTCTGCCACCCCGCCCTCCCCACGCCTAGCTCCCTCGTTCGGCCGTTTCTGCCCTGTAATGGCCGGCCCAGCACCACCCGTAGCACCAGCTGGACCTGAAGCCGCTGCTGCTGTTGCTGCTCTAGCAGCACTGGCTGCGGCAGCAGCAGCAGCACTGGCTGCGGCAGCAGCACCAGCTTGTGTTGGCCTCTCCACAGTCCCTGCAGCCCCTGCAGCCCCTGCAGCAGGACCTACCGGCGTGCCTGAGAGAGGAACGGCAGCAGGAGAAACACCAGGAGCCGAAGCTCCGTTGACAGGTCCCCGTCCCCCCTTGGCTGCGCCTGTGTCCTCAGGTGCAGATGCGGGCTTGGCTGTACCGGTGGTGGTGACCACAGGCACAGCAGTGGAGTGGTCTGACTGCCCGCCTGCAGCAGCTGCAGCAATGGAAGCATCGCCATTCACTGCAACCGCTCCATCCGCCACAGGCACTGACGTGACTTGACCATCAGTGGCACCAGCAGCGGCCTCTGCCTCTTTCCCGTCCTGCCGCTCATTCCCAGCACCAGCTGCTGCTGCAGCAGCAGCAGCGGTGGCATCAGCAGCAGCAGCCTCGGCAGGAGCAGCCGCTGCAGCCGCAGCTGCAGCAGCAGCGGCAGCCGCCGCTGCAGCAGCAGCAGCCGCTGCATTCGCTCTCGCTGCCAGCATCTGCTGCTGAAACGCACGCCGCACAGGCCCACACACGGGGCACTTGGGATCCCGACAAATCTGGTGGTGATGCAGAAGCTTTCTGGAGGGGACGCAGCGGGGGAAAGCGCACTCAGGGTCCTTGCAGCGAGAGCAGTGGGCCCAGAGCTCTCGAAACACGCGGCAGTGCGCGCCCATGTTGCAGGAGCCGTTGGCAGCGGTGCAGCGGGATGCATGGCGCAGCGTGTGCAGCCACTTCTGCTGCCGCTGGTACTGCATGGCCCGCTGGGGGTCGATAGCGCCGCCTCCTGCTGCTATATCCCCCGCAGCTCCCGTCCCTCCTCCCGCTTCCACCACTGCCCCTGCCCCAGCTCCTGCTGCCGCTCCTGCTCCTGCCCCTGCCCCCGCTCCTGCCCCTGCAGTGGCTTTGGCAGACGGTTCAGTACTAGCCGGCACACCATTCTGTACTGAACCTGTTGCTCCAGAACCGGGTGTTGAGCCGGACCGCTGCTGCTGCTGCTGCATTTGTTGTGAGCTCACAGGTCCTTTTCCCCCCTGCATCCGCTGTGGAAATCCCGCGTTCCCTTTAACCTGCGGGTGCTGCTGCGGCTGCTGACGTGACTGATGCTGCTGCGCCATCACGCCGCCTGCACCACCCACGCCAGCAGCACCGGCACCAGACCTGCCCACAGAAGCACCGTCGAACGCAGCCCCACCCGCCCCAACCGCCCCCCCTGCTGCCCCAGCCCCACTAGAAGCGTCCTCGCGAGCAGCAGACGCAGTGAAGCCCCCAGCGTCCATCACCGGAGGGCCGCCAGGCGTGGGGATCATGAGCGACGCGCCACCTGCCCGCGCTGCCTGCTCCGCTGCCCCTCCCGCCCCTGATGCCGGGCCTGAAGGGGCTGAAGGGCCTGAAGGCAGGTACCCTGGCGTTGCTGTGAGACAGAAAGAAGGGAGAAGCACAGGCAGGGGGGAATACGCAGAGCGAGGGGAACGCGTGGGGAGGGAAGATCACAGGGAGAGAGGGCAGGGAGAGAGGGCAGGGAGAGAGGAAACCGCGAAAACGGGAGGGAAACGCAGGGGAGGGGGTTTGAAGAGGGAGCGGGGGGATACGCAAGACCGGTGATGGGAATACACAGAGAGGGTGGAAACACGCAGAAACGGGTGGGATACGCAGGCAAGGGAGGGAGGGAAGGGACGGTAAAGTACGTGAGGCAGAAGTAAAAGACTGACATGAGGCTTGAAAACTTCTCAAAGAGAAGGCGATGAGCACAAGTGCATTAACAGGGGAACAGGCTGAGATATTCACCATGAGATTCCGCTGGTGGAAGTTGCTGCTGCTGGTACACCTGGTGTGCTTGTTGCTGCAGTTGCTGCTGCTGCTGCTGCTGCTGCTGCTGCTGCTGCTGCTGCTGCTGCTGCTGCTGCTGCTGCTGCTGCTGCTGCTGCTGCTGCTGCTGCTGCTGCTGGGGCAATCCCTGGTAAGCTTGCTGTTTCCGCTGCTGTCCCTGCTGCCTCTGCCCCTGCTGTTGCTGTAGTTGCGGTTGCCTTTGCTGCTGCTGCTGCCCGTACTGCCCCCCCTGCTGTTGCCATTGCTGCTGCCTCTGACCCTGTTGCCCTTCCTGCAGCATTGCCTGCTGCTGCAGCTTCTGCTGCTCAACTTGCATTTGCTGCTCCGCCTGTCGCTGCTCCACATACCCCTGATTGTTCTCACCAGAGCCAGCCATACCAGCACGTTGCCCCATCCCTCTGCCCGTCCCTACCCCGACACCAACCCCCACACCTCCCTGCACTCCTGATCCTGACCCACCCGGAGCAACTCCACTTCCCTCTCTCCCTCCTCTCGCCGCAGCTTGACCGGAGCCCATAGAAGCCCCCAACGCAGCACCCGCGCTGGCAGCCGCACCGTCAGCAGCAGCCACGCTTGCACCCGGACCCGCCACCAACCCTGCTGCGGGCATGCTGTCCGAACCAGAGGCCCAGGTTTGGGATCTCGAAGCATCGGAAGGTGATAGCCCTGGAGTGGGAATCATGGCAGGGCCTGATGCATCGGCTAAGGTCGGAGCAGACGCCGGGGCGGGGTTAGAAGTCAGACGATTGTTGGGGGCGGAGGGAGATTGAAATGTTGGTTGTTGTTGTTGTTGTTGTTGGTTGGGTAGCCGGCGTTGAAAATGCCCACCTTGCTGCAATGGCTCCTGCTGCTGCAAGTGTTGCTGTTGCTGCTGCTGCAGCTGTTGCAATTGTTGTTGTTGCTGCTGCTGCTGTTGTTGCTGCACCGGCCGATTCTGCGTAAATTGTTGCTGCTGTTGCATCGAATGCTGCTGTTGTTGATGCTGCTGTTGCTGTTGTTGCTGTTGTTGCTGTTGTTGCTGCTGTTGCTGCTGTTGCTGCTGCTGCTGTTGCTGCTGCTGTGGCAGCGGCTGCAGCGCGGAAAGAGGCTGTGATTGCGGTTGAGACATGAATCCGGGTTGGCCAACTCCTGATATCATGTGAGTCAAGGAGAGAGCAAGCGAGAAGTAGTAGTAAATGAGAGAGTGAGAGATAACAAAGAGAAAGGTAGAGAAGGAAAGAGGGGTGAGGGAGAACGACAGCAAATGCAAATACATTGCAAACTATGACAAAATAAGTCACAGATGGGCGTACCACTTGACATCTGCTGCTGAAGTGGTTGACCTGCTCGCTGCTGCATTTGTTGCTGCTGTTGCTGTTGATGTTGCTGCAGCTGACGTTGTTGCGGTTGTTGCTGCTGTTGCTGGTGTTGCTGTTGCAGTTGTTGTTGTTGCTGCGGCTGCTGCTGCTGCTGCTGCTGCTGCTGCTGCTGCTGCGGCTGCTGCTGTTGTTGTTGCTGCTGCTGTTGTTGCTGTTGCTGCTGCTGCTGTTGCTGTTGCTGCTGCTGCTGTTGCTGTTGCTGCTGCTGTTGTTGTTGCTGCTGCTGTTGTTGTTGTTGCTGCTGCTGCTGCTGCTGCTGGTAGACAAGAGCCTAGCAGCAAGCTGCAGTCGTCGCTCCAGAGTGCTGAAATCGCCATACTCCTCCTGCACCACAACAACAACCACCATCTCCAACAAGCCAAAGAACACAGCACACAGCAGAGCACAGGAAAGCATATGCACGAGAAACAAAGAGAAGTAACAAGCAGAAAAAGGAAATCAACCGGAAGAAGAACAATAGGTGTGACGAAATTGCCGCCACTTTACAAACAAACGGACTGACGGAGGACAGCAGCGACGGTAGCAATCAGAACAGCTAGCGAGTGAGGAGCCTCGAAGCCTCACCCTCGAATTCGCCGTGCGGTAAAGCACTTCCTCCAGCTTGCGGACGAAATCCGTCAGCTTCTCCCGATTGTACTGCGACGTCGCTTGCGGATTCCTCGTCTGAAATAGTTGCATCCTGCAGACGGTAAATGGGACAGGAAACAAAGTGAACAGGGAGGTAAAAATCGGAATCGAGCATCGCATGCGATTGTTTACGACGACACGTAAACGCCACGGAAACGCCACGTGTCGGTTCGAGACGGAGAGGAAGCGCGAAGCTTACGTCCTCGCGAAGACGCTGTGTCGCAACTGCGTGTCCTGGTCTGGTTTCCGCCATTGCGTCGCCGAGTTTCCCGCCGACCGCTGCATGGGAGCAGCGGTCTGCGCCTGCATTTTCCCGGCGACTAAGTAGCCAGATACCGTACCCTAACAAACCTTAGCGCTCTTCAAGCCCTATGAAACTAAAATAGGATCATAAAACACACCACAGGCAAAGTATAAGCTTTCCGTAAAAAAGCGGGTTACATGGCCTCCTTCGGCAACGAGACGTTTTTTCCCAAGTTAGTATCAAAGTAGTAGTTTTACGTAACCCGATACGGCCTTGAAGTAACGATCTTAAGGCCAGGAGCCTTCAATATTCCTTTCCATTTTTCCATTTTTCACGGCAGAGCAGCCATGGCTGCCGATAGCTTGAAAGCAGAGCAACAAAGCTGTTCCAGGCAGCAGAGGCGAAGTGTGCTGCTCCGCAGAACGCTGGGGTGGGGAGCGGTGAGAGGCGTTGAGCAGAAGATACTCCCGAGAAAACAGATCCACCGAAGCTGATGTCGCCGTTTCACGAAAGGGTTACGGCGGCTAACGAATGTCGGTCACGAAGCCCTGGTGCTGGTTCTAAAAGTGTTACCCGTGCCTCTGCTGTTCCAAGTCCTCTCAGGCTATACATATCAATACATATCAATCTGTTACACTGGTTGTTGATCATCGCGGCTGAGAGTTTGTGCTCAATTTCTCAGAATGAAAATAATCAGAATACCGTCTCTAACCAATTAAGTGAAAACAAGCAACATCCGAAGCATAATGCGGAGCTGTACAAATGTGTTTTTTATAAGGGCTGCTTGCGACTGAAGGGTAGCATGACGTCTGTTTGGTGACTGGTTTGACAGCTGCATATAATGTAATGGGCCATCATGGAGTGCGTGTTTTGAATTCAGAACTCTAGACCCACCCACTGCCAGAGTAAAAATGCCGTGTTGAATCTTGAGGCCAGGACGCACGGATCTGGGTTACTAGGCAGGCAGCTGGACTGAAGTGCTGTTTTCTCTATGGCCGAGGCAGGCTGGTTAGTTGGAGTGTTCATTGACTGGTTGGCTGCTTTGCTACTTGGCTGCTTGTCCGATTGGCTGATTGATTGATGGCCGAGGCATCTACCATTTCTGTACTGCAGTTCGTTCACCATCTGTGACAACCCTGCTTCCTGTCAGTCCCTGCCATCAACACTTATGTGTTAGGGGTTTGCCTGTCTCCTCGTGACTTGGTGGTGGTAGCTTGTTCTGCATGTGCATGAATGCTGCATGCAGCGCATGCTTCAGTGCCCTGCGTTTCCACCTTTTCACCACTCCACTGCGTGGCTGCCTGGCACGGCACAGCACCTGCTTGGGTGTTTGTGCCCAGGCACCTTCAAGGCTGCCCTGCCCACCCCACCCACATATTCCACAACATGCAGGCCCATCCCAGACCAGCACAACACAACACACTTACGCAAACCTAAGCACACCTAAGCAAACCTTGGCACACCTAAGGACAGATAAGCACAGCAAAGCACAGCAGTGGTCCATGTTAAGCTCTTGGTTGTTGACCACCAGCAAGTGACAGCCCACATGTCCTCCAAGCGGCACTAGCAAGCGGAAGCCCACATGTCCTCTAAGCGGCACCAGCAAGCGGCAGCCCACGCCACATGTCCTCCACCTCGCCCTGCACTTCACCATAGAAGACAAAAGCTACTTACGAGGAGAAGCTGCCATCTCCCATCTCCCATATTCCATCTCCCATCTCCAATCTCCTGTGTCCCATCCCCTATCTCCCATCTCCCACTTTCCATCTCCCATCTCCCACTTTCCATCTCCAATCTCCAATCTCTCATCTCCCAGTTTCCATCGCACATCTTCCATAACCCATCTCACATCTCTCATCGCCCACTTTCTATCACCCATCTCCCATCTCTAATCTCCCTCTTTCATCTCCCATCTCCTACCTCCCATCTCCCACCTTCCATGTCTCATCTCCCATCTCGAAACTATCTCCCATCTCTTACCTTCAATCTCCCACCTCCCATCTCAAATCTACCATCTTCTACTTTCCATCTCCCATCTCTCATCTCTGATCTCCTATCTCCCATCTTCCATCTCCCATCTCCCATCTTCCACCTCCCATCTTCCATCTCACATCTACCATCTCCCACTTTCCATCTCCCATATCCCATCTCCCATCTCCCATATCACATCTCCCATCTCCCCATATCATCCCCCATCTCCCATTTTCCATCTCCCATCTCCCATCTCCCACTTCCCATCTCCCATCTCTTCTCTCCCTCTTTTCATCTCCCATCTCATATCTCCCATCTCCCACCTTCCATCTTCCATCTCCCATCTCAAACCTATCTCCCACCTCTTATCTTCAATCTCCCACCTCCCATCTCAAATCTTCCATCTCCCATCTCTTGTCTCCCATCTCCCTCTCTCCATCTCCCATCTCTTATCTTCCATCTCCCATCTCCCATCTCATATCTCCCATCTTCCATCTCCCATCTCTCATCGCCTAACTTCCATCTCCCATTTCCCATATCCCATCTCTCATCTCCCATCTCCTATCTCCCATCTTCCATCTCCCATCTCCCATCTCCCATATACCATCGCTCATTTTCCATCTTCCATCTCTCACCTTCTTTCCACATTCTTCTCCCTTCTATTGCATGCTCCTCGTAAGATGCTCGTTTTTCAATATTCCTCACTTTTTCAGCATTTCTCTTTGGCATTCGCACTCTTCACTACTGTCCCGTCCTCTCTGCAACGCCTTCTGTCCTTCACAGGTCAACGGAAGGCAACAGGAGTAACAGTAGCGATGTTTAGAGGGTCCGCTTAGTAGCCGCGGCAGTAGAGGCGGACGTTCCTAATTAACTGCTAGTCCATGAGAGTGGTGGTAGCTGAACTAAGGTGAAGGGATGGTGAGGCCTGGTAAGGTACCGTTTATGTGAGGTAAAGATGGTGAGGCATGGTAACGTTTGGTAAGGTAAGGTATTCCCACCTCAACCAGGACAAAAGAATCACCCAAAAAAGGAAGCAAGGATGCCAAGCTAGATGCCGGAAGTTATACCCAAGCAGGGAGACGGACACACATATGTGACCAGAAAGAGACCCACCCAACCATGTGCACCAACAAAGGAGACATCCAGAAAAGTTGCAGATCATCCCTTCAACTGCCGCTGGTGTCAATGACAGTGCTGCTTCAGCAGCCCAGCATCTTACAGTCCTCCTAAGCTAACTGGGCACACCGCTAGACAGCTGGATACCTGACACCCACCCACGGCACCGGCAAGTTGCAGGCTGCGGCATCTGTTTTCCAATCGTGTTTGGTTCAGTGGCTCACGAATGGTATCTGGTTTGGCATATTTTAGTGGTCCAGATGAAGTGAAGGTAAGGTCCAGATGTACTATCTTTGCATATATTGCATGGTCTACATGTCTTGCATTTACCTTATTTTGTTCAACAGAATTCTTATTGCTGACTAGTGTGATAACTGTTATACGCGATTCACTTTCTCTTAGGGAGAATCAAGCTCCATTGCTTAGCGCCTCGGATTTACCGCCAATATTCGTCGCGGTTGTGTCTGACACCAGCCTTCCCTCCCTCCCGGCCGACCGTGCCTTCGCAATTCAAGGACCTTGACCCTCCCTTGTTGCCATGCTAGCCACAATCTTCTGGGGATAGCTCTGTTTCTTCCTCTTACCAAACTCTCTTCGTTGAGTCCCACTGTCGCCATACCTATCGATAGTCCACCTGTCGATGTCTGCCTGAAGCGACGCCAGTTGGAAAATGCAATTTGCATTCTTCTTTTACCTGTGAAGAGTTAGGCGTCGCGAATCGTCTATGATTGATTTAATCCATTTTCCGAATACCGGTTGCAGTCCAACGACGGAGATACGGTCTTATTACGTAATTCTGAGAAGCGGGGGGGTTAACGTCATAAGTACGCGGTTCTAAGGCGATAGGTGGCTTCACAACCTACGTACGCGCTGGTTCTAAGTCGCAGGATGGAACACGACCTTAATACACGGTTCTAAGTCTCATAGTCGACTACTACACAGTCTCACGACATAAGACAAAGTCGGAACCTTTAGGATACGGTCCTAGACCACCATAGCAAACCTTTTCGTCGATGCCGTCCTACCATGCTGCTGGTCACTTCCTTCTGTGCATCAGGCCTTTCATCCAGCCGTCCCTTTCGCCGTTTTCGCCTGGCGGTCATCGGCTTTCGCTGCCGTTTGCCAAGTTCTGGCCTTTGCCGAGTGTCGCTGCAGTGAACTCGCTGCGGTCGATTTTCGTTGCCGGACGCCAAGTTCGCTCCTGTCGTTCGGCATATTTCGCTTCCATCCGCCATGTTCCGCTACCGTTTGTTGACTGTCGGTTCCGTTCGCCGAGACTTTGCGGAGTTTCTAGGCGTTCGTCGACTTTCGCTGATGCAGCGCGGATTTGAAACCCCAGCAGCGCGGATTCTAAACCCCAGCAGCGCGGATTCGAAAGGGTGCGTGTGCTTGGAAAGTAATTGGGGGGTCGAATATTCTAGCCTAGAGGTCGCCGCACGACAAGTCTTAGAATCTTTTTTTTTTTTTTTTTTTGTTTCTTCCGAGTCCGTTTCCTCTGCTTCTAACGCCCTCTCCTCTGTGCCTGTTCCTGTGCTGTTGCGAGGACAAATGCGGATTGCGCGGAGAAATGCAGAAAGCGCGGAGAAACGCGGAATGCTCGGAGAACAAGGAGGGTCGGACAAACCACATCAGAACAGCAGCAGCAGCAGCAGCAGCAAGGAGGAATACAGGGGGGAGAAAGAGGGAGGCGGAAGAGGGACTGTGATACTGTGCAGTACGGTAAGTTCTTGACTTAATCTATTGGGGGAGGTTCGAACAGTCTAAGTCGCCGCGCAGCAAGTCTTACAATCAATTTTGTTTACTTTCGAGACCGTTTCCTCTGCTGTTTCTGACGCTCTCTCCTCTGTGCTTGTTCTTGTGCTGTGTGCGCTACTATGGTTGTTCCGAGGCCCATGGACGCCCCGACACTCCTGCCTGCCAAAGCGTGGCCGTGGTGGTGCGTCACTTCCAAGGAGGTCAGGCGTCTCAGAATCTGCCGCACGGACGCCTCAACACTCCTGCTGAGCCATCACAGGAACAGGCTCATCATAGCAGCATGGTCAGTCATAGGGCGGGTCTACTGGGGCGGCAGGGCAGTCTAGGTCGCCGCGCAGCAAGTCTTAGAATCAATTATTGTTTCTTGCGAGTCCGTTCTCTTTGACGCTTCTAACGCACTCTCCTCTGTGCTGGTTCCTGTGCTGTGTTGTGTTGGCCGCTCTACTCCATTGAGGCCCATGCACGACTCAACACCCCTGCCTGGTGGTTCGCCCAGCGAGGGGGTCTGCGAGTGATCATGTGGAGAATGGCATCACGTTCATGTAGCACAGCCAGTATTTAATAGTACTGGTAAGAAAGGTCCTAGGTTCGAATCCCGCAAGCCCAAGCCCAAGCCCAAGCCCAAGCCCTAAGCCCTCGCCCTCGCCCTCGCCCTCGCCCTCGCCCTCCCCACTAGCGTCCCCTCTCTGCGTCGCCTTCTATCCTTCACATGTCAACGGAAGGCAGCAGGAACAATGTCAACGGAAGGCAGCAGGAACAGCAGCAGGAGTAATAGTCCTCAGTGGTGATGTTTAGAGGGTTTGCTTATTAGGCGCGGGAGTAGAGGCGTACATTCCTAACTAACTGCTAGTCCATGAGACACCGGACATGGTAGGTGAACTAAGGTGAAGGGATGGTGGCAGGTGAACTCAGGTGAAGGGATGGTGGTAGGTGAACTAAGGCGAACGTGAAGGGGGGCGAACGTGAAGGGGGGAGAACGTGAAGGGGGGCGAACGTGAAGGGGGGCGAACGTGAAGGGGGGCGAACGTGAAGGGGGGCGAACGTGAAGGGGGCGGAACGTGAAGGGGGGCGAACGTGAAGGGGGGCGAACGTGAAGGGGGGCGGACGTGAAGGGGGGCGAACCTGAAGGGGGGCGAACGTGAAGGGGGGCGAACGTGAAGGGGGGCGAACGTGAAGGGGGGCGAACGTGAAGGGGGCGAACGGCGAACGTGAATGGGGGCGAACGTGAATGGGGGCGAACGTGAATGGGGGCGAACGTGAATGGGGGCGAACGTGAATGGGGGCGAACGTGAATGGGGGCGAACGTGAATGGGGGCGAACGTGAATGGGGGCGATCGTGAAGGGGGGCGATCGTGAAGGGGGGCGATCGTGAAGGGGGGCGATCGCGAAGGGGGGCGAACGCGAAGGGGGGCGAACGCGAAGGCGGGCGAACGCGAAGGCGGGCGAACGCGAAGGCGGGCGAACGCGAAGGCGGGCGAACGCGAAGGCGGGCGAACGCGAAGGCGGGCGAACGCGAAGGCGGGCGAACGCGAAGGCGGGCGAACGCGAAGGCGGGCGAACGCGAAGGCGGGCGAACGCGAAGGCGGGCGAACGCGAAGGCGGGCGAACGCGAAGGCGGGCGAACGCGAAGGCGGGCGAACGCGAAGGCGGGCGAACGCGAAGGCGGGCGAACGCGAAGGCGGGCGAACGCGAAGGCGGGCGAACGCGAAGGCGGGCGAACGCGAAGGCGGGCGAACGCGAAGGCGGGCGAACGCGAAGGCGGGCGAACGCGAATCGGGGCGAACGCGAATCGGGGCGAACGCGAATCGGGGCGAACGCGAATCGGGGCGAACGCGAATCGGGGCGAACGCGAACGGGGGCGAACGCGAACGGGGGCGAACGCGAACGGGGGCGAACGCGAACGGGGGCGAACGCGAACGGGGGCGAACGCGAACGGGGGCGAACGCGAACGGGGGCGAACGCGAACGGGGGCGAACGCGAACGGGGGCGAACGCGAACGGGGGCGAACGCGAACGGGGGCGAACGCGAACGGGGGCGAACGCGAACGGGGGCGAACGCGAACGGGGGCGAACGCGAACGGGGGCGAACGCGAACGGGGGCGAACGCGAACGGGGGCGAACGCGAACGGGGGCGAACGCGAACGGGGGCGAACGCGAACGGGGGCGAACGCGAACGGGGGCGAACGCGAACGGGGGCGAACGCGAACGGGGGCGAACGCGAACGGGGGCGAACGCGAACGGGGCCGAACGCGAACGGGGCCGAACGCGAACGGGGGCGAACGCGAACGGGGGCGAACGCGAACGGGGGCGAACGCGAACGGGGGCGAACGCGAACGGGGGCGAACGCGAACGGGGGCGAACGCGAACGGGGGCGAACGCGAACGGGGGCGAACGCGAACGGGGGCGAACGCGAACGGGGGCGAACGCGAACGGGGGCGAACGCGAACGGGGGCGAACGCGAACGGGGGCGAACGCGAACGGGGGCGAACGCGAACGGGGGCGAACGCGAACGGGGGCGAACGCGAACGGGGGCGAACGCGAACGGGGGCGAACGCGAACGGGGGCGAACGCGAACGGGGGCGAACGCGAACGGGGGCGAACGCGAACGGGGGCGAACGCGAACGGGGGCGAACGCGAATGGGGGCGAACTTGAATGGGGGCGATAATAAACGGGGGCGAACGTGAACGGGGGCGAAAAGAGGAAAGAGGAGAGAAAAACTTCAGGGCTGCGCGATTGTGTGAAACACATTCGCTGCACCGTGTTCCTCTCGCTCACCTCCCTTTGTCGTAATCTTCACCAAAGCTTTTTCCTTTGGGCCTAGGAACGGCTCTGGTAGCACCACATCTCCCTCTTTTTGTTGAGGGGGGAGGCGGAGAGGGAATGAGGAGTGGTGCTAGCGAAACTGCTCTGGTACGACATGTGCCATCTCCCTCTCGTGGTGTGGACACAAGTGGGGTTGACGTGTGAAGGGGAAGGGGAAGGTTCGGGGGGGAGGAAGGGAAGGGTGAAGGGGAGGGAGGGATGAGATGAAAAAGGCTTGTGAAACGGCTCTTCTAAGACGTGTGCCATCTCCCTGTTGTGGTGTGTGCAGCACATGCAAGGGAAGGGGTGAAGGAGGAAAGGGGAGAAGGTTGGGGAAGTAGGGGGGAGGTAATGAGGAGTGGTACTTGTGAAACGGCTCTGGCAACACGTGTGCCATCTCCCTCTCCTGGTCACGACACAAGCAAGGTTGACGTGTGAAGGGGAAGGGAAGTGGGAGGGGGAAGTCTTAAGGGGATTGGTGATGATACAGCTCTGGCAGAACAAGGGCAACATTTTCTTCCTCGCCTGGTGTGCACACGTGGGATACAAGGCACCATCCCTGGCACCTCACCCACTCACTCACCATCAGCTTCGCCTGCTTCCTCTCAGCAGCAGATGTTGCCTTTGCCTTGGCCTCTCCCGCTTCTGCCCACCCTACCCCCTTAGATGATGGTGGGGAAAGGGGTAGGGACAAAAACACACTCACCATCAGCTTCGCCTGCTTCCTCTCAACTGCTGATGCTGCTTTCGCCTTTGCCTCCCCCGCTGCCGCCTTCCCCTCTTCCAAGAGTTTCTTGCGCGCTGCTAGGATGGGCGCCTAGGGGAGGTGGAAGTGGGGGAGGTAAGGGCGGGTGGGGTTGCAGCATGAGAAACTAGTAAGTAGGGTATGAAGCGCTCTCCTCCGCCGCCTCCTTCCCCTCCTCTAGCAGCTTCTTGCGCACTGCTAGGATGGGCGCCTGGGGGAGAATGTGGGGGGGAGCGGGTGGGCGGGGCGGAAAGTGGGGGGGTTTAGCGGAAGGGCGGATAGGGGGCGCCCTGCCGCCCCCTTCCCCTCCTCCAGCAGTTTCTTGCGCGCTGCTAGGATGGGGGAGGATTTGGGGGAGGAGGGGGAGGGGAGCTAAGATGGGATGGGGGGGGGGGGGGGGGGGGGGGGGGGGGAACGGGGGGAATGCTAGGATGGGCGCTTGGGAAGTGGGGAGGAGGAGGGGCCGGAAATTTTCAAACCCGAAGCCCCGTTCCTCTCCCTCACTCTCCTCCTCTCCCTCACTCCCCTCCTCTCCCTCACTCTCCTCCTCTCCCTCACTCGCTCCTACCCTTTCCTCCTCATCCTCCTCTACAAGTTCCGCAAATCTCTCCTCTTCATCGCCCAACACTTCTCCTCGAAACCCTTCCGAGTGTGATTCCACTAAACCCTGTCCCTTAACCCTTCCCTTGCGCGCAGCGGAAACCCCCTTCCCCCGTTTCCTTGCGTCTCCCCCTTCGAAGACTCTCCCTTGAGCTCCTCGATCGTCTACACCTCGCTCCTCGTTAGTGTCACCTCCGTCTAATAATAACCCTGCTGCTGCAGCCGTTTCCGGTAATATTTTTCTCTTCCCTAGTGTCGTCTCTGCCCCGTTAGACGGGTCTCCGTTTTTGGCCGAGATAACGCCGCGCTTACGAGTTTTGCCCCCTTCTTGCTCATCCTCGCTAGCACTATCGAAGCAGTCTAGAAACGAGGACGACGACGACATTACCTCGCTTCTCACCATGAATCATTCCCATCCCTCATGAATCATCGCCAGGGGCATTTTTTCAAGGGTAAAATACCCTGATTGCCCTTTAAATTTTCCATTTTTTTATGATTACCCTGATTTTGAAAGGGTGGGCGATTCTGTACCCTTTCTTCAAAAGTGTAGAGTTTCTTCTACCCTGTCAAAATCAGTGTGTGCTGGTTTTAACCCTTACGTGTCAGAGTACCCTCGCCTCTCCCAGCCCCCCTCTCCCCAATTCCCTAGCACCTTCAGCACAATCCTACTCATTTCCCTTACTTCTCCCAACCGTCGAGCCCCATTAACCCCCATCCCTTGCCACTCCCCGCTCAACACCCCCCGTTTCCCTCACATCTCACAGCCCCTCCCCACAATTCCCTTTCCACTCCCGGCCCCAACTCCCCCATTTCCGTTACAAATCAGGGTGGTAAAAAAATTACCCTGATTTTGACAGGGTGGAAGAAAAAATACCCTGACAGGCAGGGTGACGCCATCAAGGCACCCTGATTCCCAAGAGTGCCCCAAAACCAAAAATAGGCCCTGATCATCGCTTCTTCCCCACTATGAATCCTCCCACTATGAATCATCCCATCATGAATCATCCCACCATGAATCATCCCATCATCCCTTCATGAAGCATCCCATCATGCATCATCCCATCGTGAATCATCCCATCATGCATCATCCCATCATGCATGGATGGTGAGGCCTGATAAGGTACCGGCAATGTGAGGTATAAAGATGCTGAGGCATGGTAAGGTATGGTACGGCAAGGTACACTCACCTCAACCAGGACAAAAGAATCACCCAAGAAAGGAAGCAAGCATGCCTAGCTAGATGCCGGCAGATATGCCCAAGCAGGGAGATGGACACACACATGTGACCAAAAAGAGACCCACCCAACCATATGCACCAACAAAGGAGAAAGTTGCAGATCCTAGGCGTTGCTTTCTGCAGCCCAGCATCTTACAGTCCTTAGCTAACTGGGCACACCACTTGACATCTGAATGCCTGACACCCACCCACCTCACTTAATGAGCAAGTTGCAGGCTGCGCAATCTGGTTTCCAATCATTTTCGGTCCAGTGGCTCACGAATGGTATATTGTTTAGTTTAATTTAGTTGTCTAAACGAAGTGAAGTTAAGGTCCTGATGTACTATCTTTGTATATATTGCATGGTCTACATGTCTAGCTCTTACCCTATTTTGTTCATCAAAATTCCCATTGCTGATTATTGTCATAGCCATGTAATACGCGATTCAATTCCTCTTACAGAGAATCAGGCTCCATTGCTTCGCGCCTCGGATTTACCGCCGATTTTCGTCGCGGTTGTCAGAGGTGTCGTCTCTGACACCAGCCTTCCCTCCCTCCCAGCCGACATTGCCTTCCCAATTCAAGCACAACTTGTTCCTTCCTACCGACTTGCCATGCCAGCCACATTCTTTCAGAGATGGCTCTGTTTCTTCCTCAACCAGACTTCCCTTAGCTGAGTCCCATTGTCGACAGACCTATCGATAGTCCGCCTGTCGATGATAGAGATTAATCCGCCTGGAGCGCCGGCATTTGGATAATACGCTATCCATTCTTCTTTAGCATATGAAGAGATAGGCGTCGCGACTCGTCATGACTGATCCATTTTCCGGATACCGATTGCGACCCAACGACGGAAATACAATCTTATTACGTAGTTCTGACGAGCAGGGAGGTTAACGACTTTAGTACGCGGTTCTAAGACGAAGGATGGATTCACATACGCGCTGGTTCTATATCGCAGGATGAATCACGACCTTGATACACGGTTCTAAGTTGCAGAATAGGCTAGCGTTCTCCAGAATCCGTTCTCAGGACATTCGATGAAGTCATAACCTTCTCTATTACCATAGCTATCGTACCACGCGGTCGATTTTCGTTGCTGGTCGCCAAGTTCGCTCCTGTCGTTGGCCATATTTTGCTGCCATTCGCCATGTTCCGCTACTGTTTGCCGACTATCGGCGCCGTTCGCCGAGTGTCGCAGCCTTTCGAAGCGCTGATACCGTTCGCCGAGTGTCGCTGCCTTTCGCAGCGCTGCGACCGTTCGTCGAGTGTCGCTGCCTTTCAAAGAGCTGCTACCGTTCGCCGAGTGTCGCAGCCTTTCGCAGCGCTGCTACCGTTCGCCGAGTGTCGCAGCCTTTCACAGCGCTGCTACTGGTCGCCGAGTGTCGCAGCCTTTAGCAGCGCTGCTACCGGTCGCCGAGGGTCGCAGCCATTCGCAGCGCTGCTCCGTTCGCCGAGTGTTCGCGGAGTTTCTCCTGGCGTTCGCCGACTTTCGCTGATGTGCGCCGAGTTTCTCTTCCGTTTCCTACGTCGCGCCGGTATCTCCGTCTTTCGCTACCGTTCGCGAGCTTTGCTTCACGACGAAGCGCAGAGCATTGCGACAGAGCGGTCGACCTGAGAGCAGCTGTGTGTGTGCGAGCAGTGACGCAGGTCTACTCCAGTAGCAGCGGGTAAACGCGGATTGCGAGGGCAAACGGGTGATATTGGCAGCAGCGCGGATTCGGAGCAGCGCGGATTCGAAAGGGTGCGTGTGCGTGGAAAGCAATTGGGGGGTCGAGAAGTCTAGGTCGCCGCGCGGCAAGTCGTAGAATCAAATTTTGTTTCTTCCGAGTCCGTTTCCTCTGCTGCTTTTGACACTCTCTACTCTGTGCTTGTTCCTGTGCTGTGTATTGCGAGGAGTAACGCGAATTGCGCGGAGAACGAGGAGGGTCAGACGAACGACATCAGAGCAGCACCAGCAGCAGCAACAAGGATACAGGGGGGAGAAAGCGGGAGGCGGAAGAGGGACTGTGTTACAGTGCAGTACGGTAAGCTCTTGATTAGATCTATTGGGGTAGGTCCAACAGTCTAGGTCGCAGCGCGGCAAGTCTGAAAATCAAGTTTTATTTCTTCCGAGTACCTTTCCTCTGCTGCTTCTGACGCTCTTTCCTCTGCGCTTGTTCCTGTGCTGTTGCGCGGAGAAAACGCGGATTGCGTGGAGAAATGCGGAGTAACGGTTGCACGGAGAAACGCGGATTGAGCCAACAGTGGGTGGTATCAGCTGTGTCGCTGTGCAGCACGGTAAGTTCTTGAACGAATCTGCCTGGGGGGTCGAACAGTCTACGTCGCCGCGCGGCAGGTCTTAGAATCAATCTTTCTTTCTTGCAAGTCCGTTTCCTCTGTGCGTGCTCCTGTGCTGTGTTCGCTGCTGTGGTTGAGGTGACTGAGGCCCATGCACGCCGCATGGCGTGGCAGGAAGGTGCTCTGGCAGCAGCAATCCGCCTGCTGACACGCCTTCTGAGCTGTCTTGGGAACTGGCTCACCATCGCAGTCTGGTAAGCTGTTGGGGCGGATGAATGTAGGGGGGTAAAGCAGTCTAGGTCGCCATGCGGCAAGTCTTAGTATCCTGTTTTGCTTCTCCCGTGTCCGCTTCCTCTGATGCTTCTGACGCTCGCGCATCTGTGCTTGTGCCTGTGTTGTGTGTGTTCTGGTTTCGGTACCTGTTTCCCTGAGGCCCATCCATGCATCAACAGTCCTGCCTGCCAAGGGTGGTGCGTCCCTGGGAGGGGCTTTGCCAGTGAGGATCCGCCTTTCCAGCCGTCTCGAGAACTGCCTCACCACTGCAGATGTTGTTGGGAACGGCAAGTAGTTGGGCGGATTTCCCAGGGGGGGCAGAACAGTCTAGGTCGCCGCGCGGCAAGTCATAGAATCGGGTTTTAGCTTCTTTCGAGTCCGCTTTCTCTGCTGCTTCTGACGCTCTCTTCCCTCTGCTTGTTGCTGTCATGTGATGTGATGTGATGTGATGTGATGTGATGTGATGTGATGTGATGTGATGTGATGTGATGTGATGTGTTGACTGACGCCCATGCCTCAGGAGGGGCTCATGCCGGAGGCAACAGTCCCAGGAGGGGCTCTGCTAGTAAAAGAGGACTCGCCCTTTGTGACGTGTCGGGATTAGAACCACCATGGCCCCATGGTAAGCCGTTGGCCGGGTCTATTGGGGGGGACAGAACCGTCTGGGTCGCCGTGCAGCAAGCCGTAGATGTATAATTATTTCTTCTCGGTGCGTTTCCGTTGCTGATTCTCACGTACGCTCTTGTGTTCTTGTTCCTGTTTGCGTGTTCTTCTGCTTCTGTTGTGTTCTCTGCGATGGTGCCGGTTCCTAATTGACTGAGACAGTGTGTCCCTGATTGACTGAGCCAGTGCTTTTGACTCGACTCAATACCACTACGGGATTGATGGGTGGAGGCAGGGGAGGGATGGCAAGGACACAGGGTGGTAAGCAGCAGGAAAAGCTGCAGTAGAAGAAGCAGTAGGGGGGAGGGGAGGGAGGAGAAGAGGGGGAGGAGGGACTGTGCCACCGTGCAGTATGGGAAGTTGCTCGCCGGATTTATTGGGGGGCCAGAGCGGTCTAGGTCGCTGTGCGGCACGCCATAGAATCAAGTTTTGATTCTCCTGAGTCCGTTTCCATTGCTGCTGCTGCTGACGCCCACTCTCTTCTGTGCTTGTCTCTGTGCTGTGTTGGCGGCTCTCTGTGTTGGGTGTCTCCCTGTCTTACGCCCAGGGACGCGCTGACGTGTGTTCCAGGAAGGTGCGGTGCGAGTGAGGAGTGGGGATCCGCTTTCTGAGGCATCACGAAATTTGGCTCACTCAGGCAGAACGGTGAGTGGCTGGGCGGGCCTCTTGGGGGGGAAGAACAGTCTAGGTCGCCGTGCGGCAAGTCTTAGAATCAGATATGGGTTTCCCAGAGTCTGTTTCCATCGCTGCTTCTGACGAACTCTCCTCTGTGCTTGTTGTTGTGCTGTATTGGCTGCTCCCTGACTGCTTGAGATCTCCCTGACTGAGACCCACGGACGCGCTGCCAGTGCGTCCCAGGAAGGTGCTGTGTGAGTGAGGACCGAGGGACCACCACCTGAGCCGTCTCAGACAGTGGCTCATCACGGCAGTATTTTAGTAAGTCGTTAGGTGGGTCTATTGGGGAGCGGACCAATCTAGGTCGCCGTGCGGCAAGTCTTAGAATCGGATTTTGCTTCCTCCGAATTTATTTTTCTGCTGCTTCTGACACTCGCTTCATGTTCTTGTTGATGTGATGTGTTGACTGAGGCCCATGCAAGGGACAACAGTCCTGCCTGCCAACAGGTGGTATGCCCCAGGGAGGGGCTCTGCGAGTGAGTGGGGGGACCAGCCCTTTCTGACGTCTCACGAGTTGCACCACCAGGCAATCTGGTAAGTCGTTGGCCGGGTCTATCGGGGGGTCAGAGCAGTCTAGGTCGCCGTGCGGCAGGTCGTAGGCCTGAATTTGATTTCTTCTCAGTCCGTTTCCGCTGCTGATTCTCACGCACTTTCCTCTGTGCTTGTTCTTGTGTGCTTTTTCCTCTGTGCTTGTTCTTGTGTGCTTTTTCCTCTGTGCTTGTTCTTGTGTGCTTTTTCCTCTGTGCTTGTTCTTGTGTGCTTTTTCCTCTGTGCTTGTTCTTGTGTGCTTTTTCCTCTGTGCTTGTTCTTGTGTGCTTTTTCCTCTGTGCTTGTTCTTGTGTGCTTTTTCCTCTGTGCTTGTTCTTGTGTGCTTTTTCCTCTGTGCTTGTTCTTGTGTGCTTTTTCCTCTGTGCTTGTTCTTGTGTGCTTTTTCCTCTGTGCTTGTTCTTGTGTGCTTTTTCCTCTGTGCTTGTTCTTGTGTGCTTTTTCCTCTGTGCTTGTTCTTGTGTGCTTTTTCCTCTGTGCTTGTTCTTGTGTGCTTTTTCCTCTGTGCTTGTTCTTGTGTGCTTTTTCCTCTGTGCTTGTTCTTGTGTGCTTTTTCCTCTGTGCTTGTTCTTGTGTGCTTTTTCCTCTGTGCTTGTTCTTGTGTGCTTTTTCCTCTGTGCTTGTTCTTGTGTGCTTTTTCCTCTGTGCTTGTTCTTGTGTGCTTTTTCCTCTGTGCTTGTTCTTGTGTGCTTTTTCCTCTGTGCTTGTTCTTGTGTGCTTTTTCCTCTGTGCTTGTTCTTGTGTGCTTTTTCCTCTGTGCTTGTTCTTGTGTGCTTTTTCCTCTGTGCTTGTTCTTGTGTGCTTTTTCCTCTGTGCTTGTTCTTGTGTGCTTTTTCCTCTGTGCTTGTTCTTCTGCTTCTGTTGTGATCTCTGCTCTGGTTCGGTCCCTCCTTGACTGAGGCGCATAGACATGACTAGGGGATCTACGGGTGGAGGCAGGGGAGGGATCAGCAGCGGGAATGCAGGCGCTACAAGGCAGAATACTGGTTCGCTGTGTCACTTTGTGGTGTGGTAAGTCGTTTTCCGAATTTATCTGGGGGGCCACAGAAGATAGGTCGCCGTGCGGCAAGTCTTAGACTCGAGTTTTGTTTCTTCCGAGTCCGTTTCCTCTGCTGCTGCTGACTCACTCTCTTCTGTGCTTTTCCCCGTGCTATGCTTGCTGCTCTGGGTCCGGGTGTCTCTATGACTTGAACCCAGGAACGCTCTGAAGTGCGTTTGTAGGAACTTGCAGGGCGAGTGAGGAGTGAGAATCCACCTTCTGAGGGCGCCACGGAATTCGGCTCACCACGGCAGAACAGTGAGTGGCTGGGCGGGTGTATTGGGGGGGTAAGGCAGTCTAGGTCGCCATGCGGCAAGTCTTAGAATCAATTCCTGTTCCTTCCGAGTCCGTTTCCTCTGCTGCTCCTGACGCACTCTCCACTGTGCTCGTTTCTGCGCCGTGTTCGCTGCTGTGGTTCCGGTGGTGCCTCCTGCACTGAGGCCCATGCATGCACTGTGTGCTGCCAAAGGTTGGTGCTTCTCAGAGTGGTGCTGTGCATCGGAGGATCCGTGCTTCTCAGGGTTGGCTCTTCAGGAGAGGAGCGGTGCGAGAGAGGAGTCTTTTCAGAAACTGTGTCACCGTGACAGCATGGTAAGAGATTCAGTCGGTCTATTGGGAGGGGTAAGAGGAGTTTAGGTCGCCGTGCGGCAAGTCTTAGAACTGGTTTTGTTTCTTCCGAGTCTGCTTCCACTGCTGCTGCTGCTGACAAGCTCTCCTCTGTGCGTGTTGCTGTGTTGCATTGGCTGCTCTGAATTGGGGATCTCCCTGACTGAGATCGAGGGATGTGCTGACAGACAGTGCGTCACAGGAAGGTGCTGTGCTAGGGAGGAGTGGGGGTCTGCCTTCTGAGCCGTCTCAGAAGCTGCCTCACCATGGCATTATGGTAAATGGCTGGATGGGTCTATCAGGTGGGTAAAGCAGTCTAGGTCGCCGTGCGGCAAGTCTTGAAATCGCTGATTCTTTCAAGTCCGGTTCCTCTGCTGCTTTTGACGCACTCTCTCTGTGCTTGCTCCCGTGCTTGCTCTGGTACGAGGATTCCCCTGACTGAGACACGTGGATGTGCTGGTGTGCGTCCCAGGAAGGTGCGGTTTGAGGAGTGGGTATCCTCCGTCTGAGGCGCCACAGAATTTGGCTCACAAAAGCAGAATGGTAAGCAGCTGACGGGTTTATTGGGGGCAGTAAAGCAGTCTAGGTCGCTGCACGGCAAGTCTTGAAATTGCTGTTACTCCTGGGTCTGTTTCTGGTGATGCTTCTGACACATTCTCCTATGTGCTTGTTCGTCTGCTGTGTTTGCTCCTGTGGTTTCGATGCCTCTTTAACTGTAGCGCATGGACACTTCAACTGTGTTGCCAACTTGCCAAGGGTGGTGTGTTGCAAAGAGGTGCATGAGACTGGATATATTTGCACATCACATCTGACTTGTATGTCTCTGCTGCTACCGACGCCCGCTGCTTCTCTGCTACTTCCATTATCTGGGAAGCAAAAAGAAGAAGAAAAAAAGAAAACGCTTGCTCTGACGCGTACGCATTAGGTTATGAGGCAACCTGGCAATTTCACTCATGGGGCGGGTTATGTTGACAGACTTGCAAGGAGGACCTTGATGATATGTTGCTTGTCTGAGGAGGCAACAGCTTCACTACCAGTACGTTTGCACATGACAACGCCAGCCGGCTGTCCCGCTTCTCTTAGTCCACCTGAGCAGCCATGAGGTCTACGACGCGGCATGCCTGCCTGCCTGCTGCTTACAGAAGTGCCCGACGCTACTCTTGATATTTGCGTGCTTCAAATTTGTTGAGACGCCTAAAAAAGCGTCTCAATGCAACATCGAGTGTGACAGATGCTCAGGCCCCCTGAGCAGCCATGAGGTCGACGACCCGGCGCGCCTGCTGCTTGTAGAATCGCCCGATGCTGCTCTTGATCTTGGCGCGTGTCGCCTCACTGAGCTCCTTGTGCCATGCGATCGCAACCCGCACATGCAGCACTGACCGCACCTTCTCATCCTGCAACACCCCCTCCTGTAACCCGCCCGCTCCTGCTGCTGTCCCGCCCGTTCCTCTCTCCCCACCTGCTCCTCCTCCGCTGTCCCCTCCTGCCGTCCCGCTTGCTGCTGCTGGCCCTCCGCGTGATGTGAGCTTGAGTGCGCCTGCTGCGGCAGCCAGTGCGGAGGCGACAGCAGCTGCTCCCCTGGCGGCGCTGGCAGCAGCTTCTGAGGTGCTTGAGGAAAGGCCTGTATCTGCTGCGCTGCCCTCACCTGCTGCTGTGCCAGCTGCTGTGCCTGCAGTGCTTGCGGTTGGTCCTGGCAGGGTGAATATTCCCTTGGCTTGGATCTCTTGAAAAATCTCCAACTGACAGGGTTATTCCAGGGGAAGAAAAGGATGAGGGAAGAGGATGCGTGTTCTGAGGAGGTGGGAGTGAGAGGATGAGAGTTGTAAACAGAGCAGGCTCAGCTCTACCTCTCAGCTGAGACTCCTTTCTCCGTGCCGCCTTGTAAGCTACCTGATTGTTTTGCTAGACTAATCGTTCCCTCCCACCTGAAACAATTCTGCTAATCCCCCGGAAAGCTTTCTGTTGTTTTCACCTGAAAGCTGTCGCTGAAGGGCACTCTGTGGAGAGTGAGAACTTGCTCCAAACACGCCCACTGGATGCCGCCCTCCTGGCTGCCGCCCGGGGTGCTGCCTGGGGTGCCGCCCGAAGTGCTGGCTTCCTGAGTCATCTGCTGCACTGCTGTCACGGTTGGGGAGAGGACAGGGACCTTCCCAGGGAAGCAATGGGAGTGGCAGGGAGGGAGGCGTTTTGTTGTTAGAAGATGGATATCGGATCGCTGGCCTGGCGCCTGACCGGCAGCCCACATTGTTTGAGATGCAAACTCAGCGGTACTTGGTTGGTGGAAGGAGAATTCCCATGAGCTTTCGTCATGGGAAACGAGTGGGCCCTGCTCAGTGGCCCACTTATTTTCGAATGGTGCGACACTTGGGAGACTGGTTGGTGGAAGGAGGTTCTCATGGGAGGGGTGGGCGAGACAGTGACAGGCAGGCAGCTGGTGGGGACAGCTGGTGGGGACAGCTGGTGGGGACAGCTGGTGGGGACAGCTGCCTTGGACAGCAGCAGTTCCTTGGTGGGAATGGAAACCAACGCTGGCTGCTGTTGGGGACAAACTGACTCGGGCCCACTGATTACTGCTGACTACTGCCTTAATAGCATTCGTTGACTACTGCCAACGAACGCTGACAACCCAACACTAGCCTTGAGTTTTCAATAGGGGAGAGACTGGTGTGCTGAAGAGGGGCTGACGGGGGGGGCGTTGTGGGGCAAGAGCAGGAAGAAGAGGCGATTCACTTCCCCTCACCTGCCGAGAGAATCGGTACTTGACGCTGCGCTGGTGACGAAGAACGCCGGCCAGTCTGCCTCCCGCCGTCCGGCCGTCCGGCTGCCCGACCCCATCCCCCACACCCACAGACACAGCCTCCCAGTCGCTAATCTCCGCCCCCATCTGCCCCGCCTTCTCCATCATGGCAGCAGTGGCTGCTGGGTCGTCAAACGACGCCAGGAACTGCCGTACTGTAATGGGTACCCCCACCAGCTGCTCATCTATCACCTCCCGTGTCTCCATCCCCATAAACGCCCCCCCTCCATCCTCCACTGCTATCGACTCTCTTCTCGAATCGGTCACCTCCTGACCTGCTCCCGGACTGCCTCTCGCCCCCCAAAAATCGCCTCTGCTGCTGGATACTCCAACTCCTGCTGCTGCCCCAGCTCCCCCGTCCCTCCCCGCACTCTTACCCTCGCCTCTCTCCCCGCCACCGTCACTTGCATCTCCCTCCTCCTTGGCTCGAGCGAGCTGCTGGTCGGTGGGGAGGTTGCGGTTGCGCCACAAGGCAAGGACCAGGCGGAAGGCCACACCTGGCCGGACAAACGACTGAAATCGGATCTTCAGCCGCCCCTGGGAGTCCACGCCGTGCGCTGCCGCCCGAGTTTCTGCCGTACCCTTGTCCTTTTTGACGAAGACAGTGATCGCGGGGTTGAGCATGCGCTTGAAGGTCGTCATGGACGATTTCTGGGCGGCAGCAGTGGCAGGGAGTTTCTGGGTGGCGGAGGCCGTCTGGTTCTTGGTTGTTTGCAACCTTGTCAATGAGGGCGGGGTTGTTTGCGACTTGGCGTCTTTTTGAGAAGAGAGGGAGAGAGAAGCCGGGTCGAAGAGAGACGGCACGCTGTCGTCAATCTCATCTATGTCTTCCCAGAGGAGGGTGAATTTGATGCACGTGCCGAAGACAGAGGAGTAGAAGGCGAGGAGGCGCGGGGAGAGGAAGAGTCGGCCCTGGGAGAGCAGCCCTTTCTTGAGGATGCAGGAGAAGTCGTTTATGAGGCACTCGCTCTCTGGCAGGTCGAACAGCCGCTGGAAGGCTAAGTTCTTCTGCGCTGAAAACTCCCGCACACCACCCTGGTGGGGTGAGGGGGAGGGGGAAGAAGGAGGTTAAAAGAGTTGAGTGGAAGGCATATATGGCTCGACCTGCCTTGTTGTGCACAACAAGGCAGGTTGAGCATTCTTCTGCGCTGAAAACTCCCGCACACAACCCTGATGAGGTGGGGTGAAGGATGGGCAAGGCAAAGGGGAGGGGGGGGCGCTTGGAGGTAGTTGAGTTCATGTCGGCATACTAAGTGGTGATTCGTTAAACAGGGTTGATTCGTAAGGAGAGAGACAGCAGCAGAAGGACAGCTGCCTCACCCTAACCCCTGCTTCCCTTTTGAGAAATCTCAAAAGTGATCCTCTTGAGCCCACCTTGCCGCCCTTCCCCCACTTCCCTCACCTCGCCGCCTACCCCCCACTTCCCTCATCTCGCCGCCTACCCCCCACTTCCCTCACCTTTCCGCCTCTCCTCGCTTCCCTCACCTTGCTGCCCACTTTCTTGCTGATCTTCTGAAGCACCAGAGGTGCCACATCCTCAGAGGTATTGGTCAGAAGCACCCGAATATGGATCCGGGCAGCTTGAACGTTCGCCCGCCTGCCCTCCAGGGGCACCCAGAGGTCCGCGAGGTCCTGCGCCGACTGGCGGAGGAAGTTTATTTCTGCCCGGCCGAGCAGGGAAGGCTCCGAGAAGGGTCCATCGTAGTTGAAAAGCTCGATTTCGAGGATGGAAGGCGCGTCCTCCATGGCATCGAATTCAAGCACCTCTGGTTGGTCAGGGGGTTGGCGGGAAGGGTTGGGACGAAGGGATGGGAAACCAGAAAGGTGTTGTGGAAAGTTCTCACAAGTGCATCGATCTCGAGGATGGAAGGAACGTCCTCCATGGCTTCGAATTCAAGCACCTATGATGGAGGGTGGGGGGAGGATGAGGGGAGGGTGGGGGGGGGGGAGGTGAAAGAACTGTTCCACTTGGGCATGTTGGTCTGCAGCTCAGCTTCACAGAGCTGCCTTGGAGACGACTCAAAGCCCACCCATCTGCTCTCCACTCAGACCTCCCCTGCTCTCAGCGTTCCACTTGGGAATGTTAGACCATAGCTTCACAGAACTGGTGCAGGTCGCCACCAGCAACACTGTCAGCAACCACCCCTCCCCCCACCTGTTGCTCTCACCATTCCACTTGGGCACGTTGGTCTGCAGCTTCACAGAGCTACTTTTGAGACATCTCAAAGCCCATCCACCTGCTCAAAGCCACTCACACCAGCCCTGCACGCACCGTTCCACTTGGGCATGTTGGTCTGCAGCTTCACAGAGCTACTTTTGAGACATCTCAAAGCCCATCCACCTGCTCAAAGCCACTCACACCAGCCCTGCACGCACCGTTCCACTTGGGCATGTTGGTCTGCAGCTTCACAGAGCTACTTTTGAGACATCTCAAAGCCCATCCACCTGCTCAAAGCCACTCACACCAGCCCTGCACGCACCGTTCCACTTGGGCATGTTGGTCTGCAGCTTCACAGAGCTGGTGCGAGTCTTGCCGCTGCAAGTGAAGACCACAAAGGGGTCCGCCTTCACCACCACACCCGAATCCCCTATGTTCTCCCCCTCCACCAGTGACACCGTCAGTAGCCACCCCTCCCCCACTGCCTTCTTCCCGTGGTCGCCCTCTGCTCAGTGAAAGGTATTGCCGAATGGGGAAACGAGGGAGATTGAAAGAGACAATTTGATTGGTTCACGAGGGAAACAAGCGCATTGACAGAGCCTTCTTCCATGGCTGGATGCTCTCCCCCTCCACCAGTGACACCGTCAGCAGCCACCCCTCCCCCACCGCCTTCTTTCCGTGGTCGCCCTCTGCTTATTGAGAGGCATGGCAGCAGGGGGAAACGGACACGAGGAGGGAGAGGGAGAAGAGGAGGGAGAGGGAGAAGAGGAGGGAGAGGGAGAAGAGGAGGGAGACTGAGACACGCGCGTTTGAGAAGCCTGCTTTGATAGCTTCATGCTGTTCTCCGTTCCACCAGCAACACTGTCAGCAGCCACGCCTGCCACACAGCCCTCTTCCCTCGCTAACCCACCACTCACTCTTGATGTATTTCGACACAATGATGCCTCGTGCCATTGCCACCACATGGTTGGTAGAGATCAGAATCACGGCACACCATAGCAGCTCCAACAGGCTATCTGGTAGGTCCAATAGCGGCAGCACCACCCCCGCCCCGCCTCGTGCCACCAGCACCAGGTGTGTCGGCAGCAGCACCACTGCGAGGAAAAAGACAAAGAGCGCAAGCGGGCCTGCCGCCCGGAGTGCAGCCTCGGCGATTGCCGTTTCCGAGGGGTGGAGGTGGGGGGGGACGCCCAGGAGGGAGAGGAGGCGGGCGAGTGGGGAGGAGGGAGGAGGGGAGGTTGAGGGCTGGGAGAGTGAGGTGGAGGGTGTGGTGGAGACGAAGGGAGGGACGTGCTTTGTGAGTACCTGAGGGAGTGTTGGCGGGGGGAGTGGGGAGAGGGGTTAGATAAAAATGCAGCACGAATGGCAGACGGGAGAGATGCAGAATGTGGGGTTTCCCGAAGCAGGGAGGACTTGTGCAGGGGAGAAGAAATTGTGAAAGTTTGAACCGGGGAAGGCGTTGGTAAACAAACAATGCTAGCATCTGGGCCTGCATGTGACTGATTGTCAGTGTGAGCCTGTGTATGCGCGTAAGATTGAAAGTGAGAGTGATTGTGAGTGTGAGTGCCGGTACAAGTGCGCACGAGCACAACACACAAACCATGTCACACTCACAGAGAGGAAGGTGGCATAAGTATCCTCTTCACCATGGTAAGCCTCGCAGGAAATTCGCCTAACAAAACGCGACAAGGTTTGAGGCACCTTATTACTCACCGAGAGGAACGTGGCGTAGGTGTCCTTGAGGCCGGTGCGCATGCCATTTTCAATCATGCCCTTCATCATGGTGCTCTGCAGGAAATGCGGCTCATACGACACTCTCAACCGACTTTTCAACCCATCACCCGCCCCCCCTGCTGCTGACTCTCTCCCATCACCGGCGGCTGCAGAAGCCGGGACCCTACTGCTGCTACTGCTGCTGCTCTGCTCGCCTGTGGGCCCGCCTTCTCCTGCTACAACTCCTCCTCCTGCGCCCATGCTCTCCTCTGTCAGCGGAGTGATGCAGAACTGAACGTGTGTTTCGAATGTGCTTCCATATGGCACGTCAGGGGTTTTTGCCATCGCAGCGACTAGGAAGCCCCCTGCGTCTGCGCGCACACACACCATCTCCTCTGTTGCCTGCACTGACTTCACCAGGGAGGACGGCGCGGTCATGTACGATACAGTGCGGTGCACCACGGTGCCTGTGTCTTCCTGCAGTTGCTCTGCCCCTGCGCTGCCTCTCGGAGCAGCAGCAGGAGGCAGGTTGGCGGGAGGCTTAAAGCCCTTGTGTGCTGTGCTGCGATTGAGCCTTGCTCCCATGTGACTGCTGCTGCTGCTGCTGCTGCTGCTCGGCGAAAAACCATGGACCAATGTTGAGTTGTGTGAGCTTGCGAACTGTTGGGGAGGATGGGGGATGTTGGGGAGGATGGGGGATGTTGGGGAGGATGGGGGATGTTGGGGAGGATGGGGGATGTTGGGGAGGATGGGGGATGTTGGGGCGACTGGGGTTTTTGAGTTGACTTCAACGCGTGGGAAGGGTCGTGACAACGGGGAGAGTTGGATAGATGGGGGAGAGATGACATGGGGAGAGATGACATGGGGAGAGATGACATGGGGAGAGATGACATGGGGAGAGATGACATGGGGAGAGATGACATGGGGAGAGATGACATGGGGAGAAATGTGACGACATTGGGGAGAGACATGACAAGGGGTTGAGACGTGGGACACAACCTAAATTGCAAGTCCCTTTGAGTCAGCTCAAAACTCAACACACACCGCTGGCGAACTCCTGGAAGAATGGCGAGTCGGGCTTGAAGATGGCAGCAAAGAGCACGTGGGGGGCGGCATCAAAGGCCTGTTCCACCAGCACACCACCACCAGCTAGTTCCCCAGGCATGGGCCCTGCACTCTGCACATCCCTCATATCCTGCTCCCACCACACATCCGGCACCTCCACCTCCCCCGCTTCCCCCGTGCCCCCTCCCCCTGGCTCTCCGCTTCCCCCTCCGCTTCCCCCTCCGCTCGCCCCGTCACCCTCCCCCAACGACCCTCTCCGCGACTCCCCCTCCCCCTCCTCCCCATCAGGTGCCACGCGCGCAAGACCACCAGACTTGGCGCCACGCACGGACTGCCCGGCCTTGGCAACGCTGCTCTCTACGGCGTGCCCGAGGGACCTGATGGCTGATGCTGCGGACAGCTTGGAGGCGTGCAGGCGCTGCTTCAGATGCTGCAGCTGCTGCGGATTGGGCTTTAAGGACTCGGAGAGAGACTGGAGGATCTGGTGCCGAGCTTTAACAGCGGTGGCTGCTGGTGGTGGTGGTGGTGCTGGTGGTGGTCGTGTTGGTGCTGCTGCAGTGCCATCCCCGCCCTCCTCCTTCTCTGTACCTTGAAGGTCGGCGGATGTGTCGCCTTCCCGTTCCCCTTCCCTCCTCTTCCCTTCCCCTTTACCTTCCCCTTCCTCCCCCCCTTCCCCTTTCTCCCCCCCTTCCCCTTTCTCCTCCCCTTCCTCTTTCCTTTCCACCTCCCCTTCACCTTCTCCCTTCCCTTCCCCCGCACCCTTCTCCCGTCCCTCTTCCCCCCCTCCGCCCCACGCTTCCCCCTCGTCCGCTTCCCTGCACGGGGAGAGAGAAGCAGGTGTGACTGTATCGGGGGGGCCTGTATGGCGGCGTAACGCGGGCTTGAGGGGAAGAGAAAAGGCGGGGGCGGACGCGGAAGGGGCGGAAGAGGGAGATGCAGAAGGGGGAGAGGTGGAAAGGGGAGAGGCGGAAAGGGGAGGGGCGGAAAGGGGAGAGGCGGAAAGGGGAGGGGCGGAAGAAGGCTTAGGAAAGGCGAAGCTTACAGTGGTGATGAGGGTGGGGGAAGGCGCGGCGAGGGGGGAAGTAGACGGGGCAGCGGAAGGGGCGTGGGGAGGTGTGGGCGGAAGGAGGGGGCTGGATGGCAGGGTGGAGGGGGAGGCGGATTCCGCCACTAACGACGAAATGCCCCACAGGCTGGCGGAAATCAAAATGTCCCCTGTAACCGTCGCGCGCGGTCGCGCGAGCCTGTTTTGTAGCGGGAACCACGTCGCCTGCAGCTCGTAGCCGTCGCACGCCATCACCTGCCGCACGGGCAGCACAAGCTGCCCGAGAAATTCCTCCCCCAGGAAGACGCTCTTGTCCCACACCGTTACCAGAAGTTCTTCTTTTTCCATGTCCCTGACCGAAAAAAGAAACTCTTCCTGCCACGTCGGATCGTTTTCCTTAGCTACACTCTTGCTGCGCGCCTTCGAGGCGCCCATCTGGAGCCGCACGAACGCGTCTCTCGCGCCGCCATTGTCCTTGGGCGGCAGGCCGCGCGCCTCGAGAAGCTGAATCTGAAGCTTGACGCCCATGGGTCGAGATCGCTACACCAGGACAAGGCAAGCGCGACATGCGGAGACCTCAGCAACGCATCGGATGGTTCGGGTTCGCCGTTGGTTGGCCAATCGAGGCGGCGGGGCTTTGCTGAGAAACCGCAAAGCGCAGGGCGAGTGAGGCCGGCAGGAAGGATCTTTTGAGGCGGATAAGATGGTATACAGAAACGCTCAACGCAGACGTAGAGCGGATGTTATTTTTGAGGCGCCTCAAAACGAGGCAGATAAGATGGTATACAGAAACGCTCAATGCTCAGACGTAGAGCGGGCGTGCGGTTCTCGTTCGCTATCGGTTCGTCACTCAGCGAGGGCGGCGGAACCTGACTGCGGAACTGCGCGATGTAGAATCAATCGTTCAACGCTCAGACGCAGAGCAGACATGCGAAGGCTAGTAGAGGGGGGATGAGGGTGGGTGGTGGAATGCTGGCGTTCCGAGCAGCCTTCGTAAGCAACGAGAACCTGGTCGAAGGCGGCAGCAACAGCATCGTCGTTAAATACAGCAGATGAATACGCCGGTTAGGAGGACATGGTGGAAAGAGTGCACTGCGCCGCCATTTGCGGGAGGCTGAGACGAATTTCAATCGACATGACAAGCTCTGCCAAGTCACTTCCCTTGCCCTTCTCGGGCCCACAAAATTCGTTTTGTGGCCGAAAACCTCGCGACGTACTGTGGGGTGCGATAAGATGCGGTGAGGCGGGGTGAGAAATGAATTGGAATGGTTCGCCGGTGAGGGGTTGCTGGAGAGGTGTAGGCTGCGCAGCCCAGGTGGCGGAGTGGTGTTTGTGACGGAAAGATTGGCGCCTGCGCGTAGAGGGAGAGATTGGCGCAAAGCTTGTGTGGGGCACAGGAGGGGTAAAGGGGAACGGGAAGGGCGCTGTTGTACGCGTTGTGCTTGTTTTGTCGTTCGTGGTTTCAAACAGGAAGGGAGTATACTACTTATACCACTCGAACAGGTATGGGCCCAAATATGTATGGATGAAAGTAATTTAAGCATGCAATAAATACACAAAAATGGTATTCCTCTTAACCTTGCCTACGATGCAGCTTGGAGTTAGAAAAAGGACAATTAATTACTTGTCACACCTGCAGAATTGGGAAGGGAGGGAGGTTAACGCCTGCTTCACTTCAACAACCCTATGCTTCACTTTTTACATTCTTGTTGGTCCAGTCAGCTATCAAATCCCGAACCACGAGGTTCGGCATGAGGTGCTTGTGAGGCATTGGCTCGTTGGTTATGGGGGATAGGTCGGCTCGCTCCAGCCACATCTGAATGGCTGCTTTCTCGTAAGTGTACCCGTCTGCTGCTAACACTGGCTCCACCATTATTTTCTGCATGGACAGGACAAGTGTAGCAGGAAAAAAAATGGGGGTTGTTATGGCGATGAGCTGGACACATAGCACAAGCAAGGGTGGTGAAACGTGGCCATGCCTCATACCCACCTCAAAACCGTGCTTCACATCTATCGCCATAACTGCACTCCCTAAACTCTTCTCCTAGCACTCAACCTGCACTTCTTCTACCACCCAACCTGCACACTCAAAACCCCTTGCTTTCAGACTCTTCCCACCCACCTTGTTAATCGGGCACAGCAACTGCTTGGGCACGTCCTTGCTCCCTCCCGACCGCCCGCTCTCCTTCCTAGCAGCTTCCTCTGCCTCTGCTGCCTCATCCCTGGCCCGAGCCAGCAGCGGCATCACCTCACTCTCCAAATCCGGCCGTTTCTTCCTCCGCATCTCACTGCACCGCACTGCCATCCTTGCCACTTCCATGGCCAGCCCTATCGGCCACTCGCCTGCTTTCTCGTCCAGAAGCTTCTTGAAAGCTTCCTCATCCTCCTCATCCACTGCCTCCTCTAACTCCTCATAAGTCGTCGGCTTGCGCCCCGTCAGAATATCAAACAAAATAATCCCGAGCGCGTACACGTCGGATTTCGGCCCGTAGTCCCCCGTTCGCTGAAACTCCGGGTCGACATAAGCCAGAGTCCCCACAGGCACCGAATCATGTGCGTGCGTGTGTACCTGCGACCCCGTCCCCGGCATCAGCTTTGCCAGGCCCACATCTCCAAGCTTCGCCACGAGGTTCTTATCCAGGAGAATGTTGGCGGGCTTTAAGTCGCGGTGCACGATGGGGATGGGGCGCGCGTGGAGAATGAGGAGCGCAGAGGCGACTTCAGCAGCGATGCGGAGGCGGGCGAACCAGGGGAGGGGCAGCGAGTTGTTGGCGCAGAGCAGGCGCTCCTCGAGGGTGCCACTCGCCATGAACTCGTAGACTATGCAGTGGTGGGAGGGACAGCAGCCGAGCAGCATCACCACGTGCGGGTGCTGAATCTGGCTTAGTACCTCCACCTGAGGGAGTGTGGATGGGGGATAGATGGGGAAGGGGATGATTGGTAATGTGCGGTGGGATGGACAGCACCCCAGCAACATCACAACGTGCAGGTGCTGAATCTGGCTTAGTACCTCCACCTGAGGGACAGGAGCGAGCAGGAGAGACGGGTGGCAGGAGGTAGGTTGGGATGAGGGAGGAAGGGGCTTTTGTAAGTTTTGGGAAGGAATGTGGCTTACAATGCTGCAGGTTAGAGCAGCACCCTTAGATTCACCCAGACCTTCCCAGACCTCATGACTTATTCACTGTACCACCCCCTTCCCCCTCTCCCTCCCCCATTCCCCTCTCTATCGCACCTCCTGCTGAAACTCGTTGGTCGCCTTGACCACGTCTGTGGCTTTAAGAACCTTCACGGCCACGCGTGTGTGGTGCAGCCGCCCCCCAAACACCGTGCCAAACGCGCCCTCGCCCAGCCGGTTCTTCGGGTTGAAGTTGTCTGTTGCGGCCTGTGAGTGGGGTGACGAGGGAAAGAAGAGCAAGAAGGTGTGATTGAAAAGACTCTCAGTAGCTGTGCCCGAGAAACTGCCTACAAACGCACACTCCCTCGCCCAGCCGGTTCTTCGGGTTGAAGTTGTGAGTTGCGGCCTGCAATGGGGGAGCAACAACAACTGTGCTTGACGAGCTGCCTGCATATGATAACTCCACCCGCAGAACTTCGAAACAGATGAACCCTAAACCCGAAACCCTGAACTTCGAAGCAGATGAACCCTAAACCCTAAGCCCTGAACTTCGAAGCAGATGAAATCAGAATCATCCGTTTGCCTTCAACACACCCACTCGCCCTTAGAGTTGACTCACGTGGTACTGCCCTGCCCTCGACCAATCACATGCTGTTTGATGAGGCGTCTCGAACGTTGATCTCATTTATCCTCCAATCACCCCACCCGCCTTGAGAGTCAAGTCAACCCACCTGGATCTCTTCATACGCAGTACTTTGAGACGTCTCAAATCACCCCACCCGCCCTTACAGTCAACCCACCTGGATCTCTTCATAGCTGTACACGCGGTACTGCCCTCGACCAATCACATGCTTCACAAGCCCAGCTTTTCCCCCCTTCCCTTCTCCTCCCCCTCCTTCCTCCTTCGCATTTCGCTTCCCTTGCCCATCCTGATCTCGCTCCTCCACAATCTCACCCGCACTCTCACTGCTGCCACCATCCCTGCTGCCGTTGCCACTGCCACTGCCACTACCCCTGCTGCCGCTGCCACTGCTGCCACTGCCACTGCCACTACCCCTGCTGCCGCTGCCACTGCTGCCACTGCCACTGCCACTACCCCTGCTGCCGCTGCCACTGCTGCCACTGCCACTGCCACTACCCCTGCTGCCGCTGCCGCTGCCGCTGCCACCATTGCTGTCGCCACCGTCCCTGCCCCTGCCATTATATCCACGCGCATCCTCCATAGAACTCCCCATGAGACTAAGCCCTAGGTCAAGCTCGCACCCGTCCCCCTCCGCTTCCTCCTGGACCTCTCCCAACTCCCCCCCACCTCTCTCTCTTTTATTATTCCACTCCTCCTGCTCCTTATCATGCTTATCACCCCGCCCCATGCTCTCTCCAGGGCTAAGCAAGTCAATCTGGAGCTCTGACATAGAAAGAGACAAATCCACGTCATCATCACGCTGCTCCCCGCCCTCTGCGCCGCCCGATCCCTTGTCCATACCCAACAGGCTGCCGCCCAATAGATCAACCTGGAGATCACTGGCAGAACCCTCAAACCCTCCTGTGAAGGAAAGGTTGCTATTTTGGGAAAGCTTTTTGGTTAGGGCACGGCTGTTGGCAGAGGCTGGTCGGCTGTTGGCAGAGGCTGGACGGCTGTTGGCAGAGGCTGGACGGCTGTTGGCAGAGGCTGGACGGCTGTTGGCAGAGGCTGGACGGCTGTTGGCAGAGGCTGGACGGCTGTTTGAGCCTGGGCGGTTGAGAGAGCGAGGGGATAGGGAGCTAAGGTCAAAGGTGGAGGAGGACCCATCTGTATACCCCACCACACCACTCCCAGCCGCACTCAAAATATCAATCTGCAGCTCGTCATACTCCCCCCCTTCTTCTTCCTCCTCCTCTTCGTCCTCCTCCTCTTCGTCCTCCTCCTCTTCGTCCTCCTCCTCTTCCTCCTCTACCTCCTCTACCTCTCCGCTCTCATGCCCCTCATCCTCATCCCTCCCATTCCCTGTCTCTGCAGAACTTAAACCCTCTCTGGCCCCTTGCTCAAATCTGGGGTGTGGGTTGCCTCCTCTATAAACTAGCCTCTGTGCAGCTGCTCCTGCCGCCGCCGCCACCGCCGCAGCTGCAACAGCAGCAGGTGATGCCTCCGCTGCCTCTGCATCACCACCTCTGCTGCCTCTGCTGCCACACACTGATAACCCTGACTGCCCCCTTCGCCGTCCTGACCCTGCTCCGCCTACTCCCCTCTCACCTGCATCTTCCTGTTTCGTTCTGCCCGCTGCCCGGGCCAAAGCTGCTTCCACCGAAGCCAACTTAATCCGGGCAGCTTCAAATTCTTTCTGCGACTGTGCCAGCTCGTAGCTGTACTGTGACTGCCCGCCTCCCTCTCCCTCGCCTCCTCCTCTTGCCGCTCCACCCTCTCCTACCTGCCCTGCTCCCTCCTCTCCTCTCCCTCCCCACGGGCTCGCGTCAGCAGGTACCTCCCCCCGCCCTGCCTGGGCGTGCACACGCATTTGGTGAAGCCGCCTCTCTGCGTGCAGCCGGGCTGTTTCCGCCTCCTTAGCCTGCAGCCGCATCTGCTCTATCTCCATCGCTGCCGCGCTCTGATGTGCATAGGAGGAGAGAAGGGGGGGGGGCGGGGAGGTGGGAGAAAGGATGTAGAGTAGAGGGAGGAGGGTCTTTGAGTCGCTTCTCTGCGTGCGGCCTTGCTGTTTCCGCCTCCTTAGCCTGTATCCGCATCTTCTCTATTTCCATCGCTGCTGTGCTCTGATCTGCACAGGATGAGGGGAGGCTGACAGTAAGTGGGATGGGTTTAGAGAGAGAAGGGACGAGGAGGGAGGAGGCAAATAGAAGGAGGAGGGCAGTAGAGAGAGGAGGGAATTAGATGAAGGAGGGACGCAGAGAGGAGGGAAGTAGAAGGAGGAGGGACATAAAGGGAGGAGGAAAGCTGAGAAAACAAGCTACTGAGGGCTGGCACACACATGTACTCGACAAAATACGCTTCACAGGTGCAATAATAGGCACAAAACAATCGTCCTTATGCACAAAGGGTCGTACCTTCCGCCCCGCCCCTCGAGAAACGTCTCCAACGCCACATGCAGCCGCAGCCATGGCAGTAAAGTCAACACCAGCACCACCAGCACCGCCGCTCCTCTCTCTTGTGTGCCTGCCAACAGTGCTGCGACTCGCCTTTAGCTTTCTCCCCGCAGCAGGAGAGGCACCAGTGCTCCCATACTCCACTCCCTCGTACCCCCCTCCCTCATATCGTCCTCTGGAGGGCTTAAACGAAGGGGAGAGGCGTGGGAGCGGCCCAGAGCTACTAGTGAGGCTGTCTCTAGCGAGTACAGACGTCAAGCCGTCCATACCACTGCGAGAACGAGGCGGAGTGAGGAACTGCCCAAGCCGATTGGCGTTGGCAGCGTTAGTGTCGTTGGGATTGGCAGTGGTGGCAGGAACAGCGATCGGAATGTCGCTCGCACTGTGACTGTATCCGTAGCCGTCAAACCCAGCGCTGCCTTCCAGTATTCCTTGGGACTCGTCCAATGGAAGGCCTGACGTTGAGAGAGCAAGCTGGTCGCGGCTGCTCTTGCGTGACTTGGACTTGGATCGGGACTTTCTCTTCTCACCCTCCTGTTGCTGCTCTACCCCTTGCTGCTGCTGCTGTTGCTGCTGCTGCTGCTGTTGCTGCTGCTGAAGCTGCAGCTGCTGCTGCAGGAGCAGCAGCTGCTGGTGCGGGTCCCCACCTGGGCTGCTGCCAAAGAGAGGAATTTCCTCTGACCTGCTGTTGCTGCCACTGCCACTGCCGCTGCCTATCTTCATGTTGTTGGCAATGCTGTTGCTGTTGCTGTTGCTGCTGCTGCGCGCCGGGGGGTGGGCGGCGGGTACTGGACTCTTGTTCCTCCGGCTGCTCTTCCCTGGCTTGCCTGCCACGTGCCAGGCATGTGTGGGACGCGTGGTGAGGAAGGTGGCGTGTGTGGGACACAAAGGGCGTGAGAAAGCATGGGTTATTCAAGGAAAGGGGTATACATAGTAACAATTTGCATGAAAACAATACCTTAGACCACATTTCAACTTGTTACCAACACCTGCCCGCCTGCACTCACCGCATGACACCTGCACACACCGCATGCCACCTGCACACACCGCATGCCACCTGGACTCACCAGCTGTCATCTGTGCGGCCAGCAGTTGCTCCAACACTTCAGGAGGTAGCCTCAGCGCCGCCAGCTCAGCAGCCGGCGTGTCCAATCGCAGGCCGGCAGCCAGCAGCTGATCCACCGACAAGGGCCCTCCAGCCTCAAACTGCCCCGGAGACATGCCTAGCAGGGCCCCCGTTCCGTCTGCAAACCCCCCTCCCCCTCCCCCTCCGCCTCCGCCTCCGCCTCCTCCTGCTTCCTCCGCAGCTGCAGCTTCAAGAGCAACAGCATCAAGGGCAGCAGGGGAGCCGGTGATCTGCCCGTCCGCCTCGTGGCTGAGCAGCAGCTTGCCCGCCTGAATGACATACACTGACATGTGTGGCGGCTTGTTGCGGATGAAATACGCCCCCGTGCCAAACGAGTCACTGTGCCTGATGGGGAAGGGGGGTGAGAGGGAGGGAGTGAGAGGGTGGAGGGAGGGAGGGGCGGGAGAGGAGGGAGAGAGGGGTTGGAGGGAGGGAAGGGCGAGTGGAAGGGCAGCAGGGGAGCCGGTGATCTGCCCGTCTGCTTCGTGAGTGACCAGCAGCTTGCCCGCCTGAATGACGTAGACACAGGCTGCGCTGCGCGCCGATGAAGCGCATGGACGCCTCCAGCACGATTCCTCTTCAAATTGGCTTTTCAGACGTTTCAGTAAGAGGCGCAGAACACTCGTGATCGCGCAAAGGCGTGTTATGCGGCGCACATGAAGAGCCACAGGCTGGTCGTGTTGTGAGGCGTGTCAGGGACTCACAGGCTGGGCTGCGCGCCGATGACGAGCATGGACGCCTGCAGGCGCGTGGCCTCCTCCAGAATAGCTTTTGAGACGACTCAGTAAGGGGCACAGACTCATACAACATGCATGACGGCGCACAGGCGTGTCCTGAGGCGTGAGTCAAGACTCACAGGCTGGGCTGCGCGCCGATGACGAGCATGGACGCCTGCAGGCGCGTGGCCTCCTCCAGAATGCCCCTCACGCGCCAGTTGCTGCGCCCCACCTTCAGCTCCACGCGCGCCTGCACCTGGGGGGCGGAAGGGTATGGGAAGAAGGCGAGTGTGGGTGTGAGGGAAAGAGGGTGGGGTGTGGGGGGGAGGGAGCAAGATGTTTGCGAAGGGTGACACAATGTGCTCACATCGTCACTGCCTCACCTTGGTGCGTGCGGCCGCCTTGAGTGAGATCACCTTGGGTGCAGCAGCATGACATTCGTGACCAGGTTCCCTCACCACACCATCCTTAGAGCCTCACCTTGGGATCCACGGCGGCCTTGAGCTGCAGCATCATGGGCTTCACCACGTCCCGCTACCTCACTTGCGAGTTTGAGTCAACTCAAATGTCACCGTGGCATCTAGAGAGCCTCACCTTGGGATCCACGGCGGTCTTGAGCTGCAGCATCATGGGCTTCACCACGTCCCGCAGGTACGCCACGAATGCAGCAGTCGTCGCCTCGCTCTGGTAGATCTCCCCACCCGCCCCCCCGCTGCCGTACGCGCCTGCGAGAGTTACCGGTGATGGAACACGGTGGGGAGATGGGACATTGAGGACTCAAAGGTCCGCACACGGGGCTGTCTTCGCCTCGCTCTGGTAGACCTCCCCGCCTGCCCCCGCGCTGCCGTAGGCGCCTGCAGGGACAACCGGGGACGGGCCGGGAAGAAAGAGGGACATTTTGAGACTCGTTCATGCGAACGGAAAGAAAGAGGGACATTTTGAGACTCGTTCATGCGAACGGCAAGAAAGAGCGGCATTCTGGCAGGCCCGCCCCGCAGGTACGGCAGGAGCTGGTCTTGTTACATATTCTCGATTATTTTTTTATATTTTTTTTCCGTAAACAAAAGACTTTGGCATGACGGGGCCTGGCAGACTGTGCGAGGGGTACACGACGTTACCTCAAGAGAGCAAATTACCAGAGGAGGAATAGTTTTGACATGAAAAGAACAAGTACACAAGGAAAACTATCCCACGATGAAGGACTACGCGACACGGAATCTTCGGAATGATGCCGGGGTGAACAATTACCCTGTCGTGTCGTCACCGCATTCAACGGTTTTGAGAATTCTCAAAAGCGGGGGAGAACAATTACCCTGTCGTGTCGTCACCGCATTCAACGGTTTTGAGAATTCTCAAAAGCGGGGGAGAACAATTACCCTGTCGTGTCGTCACCGCATTCAACGGCTTTGAGAATTCTCAAAAGCGGGGGAGAACAATTACCCTGTCGTGTCGTCACCGCATTCAACGGTTTTGAGAATTCTCAAAAGCGGGGGAGAACAATTACCCTGTCGTGTCGTCACCGCATTCAACGGCTTTGAGAATTCTCAAAAGCGGGGGAGAACAATTACCCTGTCGTGTCGTCACCGCATTCAACGGCTTTGAGAATTCTCAAAAGCGGGGGAGAACAACTACCCTGTCGTGTCGTCACCGCATTCAACGGTGAACACGGTTGCTCTCTGCTACGGCTATGCCTTTCGGTCACCTTACTGTACCGTACCATGCCTATCATTGTGCTTCCCATACCGAGCCTCCCATACCGTGCTTCCCATTCCAAGCCTCCCACACCGAGCCTCCCATAACGAGTCTACCACACCGAGCCTACCACACCGAGCCTACCATACCGAGTCTGCCACACCGAGCCTACCACACCGAGCCTACCATACCGAGCATACCTGGAGCAGGAAGCCTAGAGACGATGTGGAGGAGGATAAGAATGTCATCGGCGCGCTTCATCTTCTTCCGAACCGCCCATTTTATGGCATCGCGGCTCGACGGGTCCTTGCTAACGGCGACGACTATCCGTTCTGGGCCCCCGCTGAAGGGAGCCATCATGAACCCCGAACAACCTTCCAAGTCTTATATCTTAAAACCTTCGAAATTGTCGCGCTCGCTACCTCTCGCTACCACTCACTTCCTCTCAGCTCCTCTCGATTCGTCTCGCTTCCTCTAACGTCTTCTTGCAATGCGGGAATGTTAGAGCTTTTGAGTTTGTCTGCTGGATTAAGAATGGCGCGGTTCTTCTTAGATTATCACTCAAAGGAATCATCATTAGCCTCGCATCTAACCGCTTGTGGTGAAACTCGCATGTATCTCAAGAAAAGTGGGTAGCTGATCATATCGTGTCAAGTCTATACAACGCAGCCATTGCGCGATTTGTTGATCGGGAGATGAATCTCGTTCCTAAAGAAAAAAATCGCATGCGCAATGACTCTGGTGATGGAGTAAGGGAATTCCGTGGTCATGCTTCGTGCTGACGTGGGCTGCAAGACGCGCCAAGGTCAGTGGATCCTTATCCAGACCACAGGGTGCACTACTGTATCCTCATGCGCTGCGCATGTGGGTAAAATTCAAAGCTAAGGAACACTGCGGCCTTGCTGCTGCAGTGGTTACTGCCGCGTGTGGGTCTACAAGCTAAAGACCACTGCAGGTTTAGTAACCTAAGGAGGACTTCGAAGCCGGGTCCGCCGGAAGAAAAGGGATCCCAAAAGATACACGGACGTAGCAAGCAGGATTTGCGCGAGCCGCCTTTTACTGCCTTTCCTATGCGGCTGATTGGTCCTCCGTCTTGCTGAGAGACGTCGTGAAATCTCAAGAGAAAACGGATGGGTGTCGGGCTGCCAGCGTCTTCAACTTGCCTTCGGGGACCAATGTCTGCACCTGTGTGTCTGCTCTGCTGCTTGGCTCTCCTTTCCAGCCACGGAAACGAAGGCTTGGCTTGCTTCCTTTCTGCCTGCCTGCCTGCCCTTCCTGCCTGCCCTTCACGTCCGCCAATCCAGCCTCTGCTGCCCGAAGTGCAGCAGTCACGCACGGAGACATGGTTTGCCAATCTGCCTCGTCACTCTCGAGGGTTGATTTGTCAGCGGAATCAACAAATTATGCACGCCCAAGAAAATTTTGTTGATTTGCCATGCGCAGCGTTCGTCAGCCGCGTAAACAGTACAGCTGATCTAGCATTTATGTTTGTTAAAAAAGAGTTAGGGCGAAGCAGGAATCGCGTCAAAATCGGGCAACATGCAATGATTGCTTCTGGTAACGTCAGAAAATGCAGTGTCGAGAGCCAACCATTCCGATTTCGATTTGCGTAATCCGGAATCGCATCTATTCTCGACTGTTTGTGCTAATTTTAAACGAATCTTGGGAAGCCTGTAATTTTACGATAACAAAATTCTAAGCCGCGTAAAGTGTACACACCTGCCCAATAACATGGCATGCACTTGAATAGTGTTCCTAGACTGAGTGGCATGCACCTGAAAATGGCCGAACTGAAATCGATGCTGCCATTGTACTGCTGGTTCCGCTGCCCACCAGAATGGAAAACCTTTTCCAACCGGGACCGAGTTTGTCATAATCTGTACAAGCTGCTTTCGATTTGCATTCTCGGCGTTGGATGTGGGCATTCGTACAGCCAGAGTTGTCGTGTCGTGAGCCGGAATTTGTGTGTTTTCCCTGCCCGTGATCTGTGAGAAAAGTCATGAAAATCGGAGACGCACGGATGGCAATGCTGCCCTCTCTCACAAATGTTGCCGCGGTACAGTATTTGCTGTAGGGAATCTAGCCGTTGATATGAGCGAACTGTCAACCAAAATCCCACACCCCACACTCGTTGCAAGCAACCCATCGTTCCCCGTTAAGAATTATTCCAGACGGGTAAGGATTAGAACAAACATGACGAAGGGACACCTATACATTATCTGCCAACATAAGACGTACCAAGGTTAGCCAGAATTTTCTCCTAGAACATGCACCCGAAAGCTACTGTCAGCAGGTTCCATTTTTCCCCGGCTCCATTCCTGTCACATTCGTTCTTCTCCACATCCATCCAACGCTTCCATCACCAAAGTATCATTCTTCCTAACACATACCAGCCATCATCCTCTCCATCATAATCACAGCCTCCTTTTGTGCTCTCATCAGCACCGGCATAACCACTTCCCCAAGATCAGGCCTCTTTTTCCTCTTCATCTCACTGCACCGCACAGCAATCCTCGCAACCTCCATTGCCAGCCCGACAGGCCACTTCCCTGCCTTGCCATCCAGCAGCTTCCCCAACGCCTCCTCATCCCCTTCATCCACAGCATCCTCTATTTTCTCATACCGAGCCGGCTGCCGCCCCGTCAGCAAGTCAAACAGGATAATCCCGAGGGCATACACGTCCGATTTCGGGCTGAAATCGCCCGTCCGCTGGTACTCCGGGTCGACATAAGCAACGGTCCCAATCGGCATAGACGTGTGCGCATGAGTGACATTAAAGCCCTGGTCCGAGCCCCCCCTCCCCGGCATCTGCCTCGCAACCCCCACATCGGCCAGCTTCGCTACAAGCCTCTCGTCTAAAAGCACATTCGCCGGTTTCAAGTCCAAATGAATAATGGGTTTTGGCTGCGAGTGTAATGCGAGGAGGGCCGAGGCGATTTCAGCGGCGATGCGGAGGCGGGCGAACCAGGGGAGGGGCGGCGAGTTGTTGGCGCAGAGCAGGCGCTCCTCGAGAGTTCCGTTTGCCATGAACTCGTACACTATGCAGTGGTGGGATGGACAGCAGCCCAGCAGGGACAGCACATGCGGGTGGTGAAGTTGGCTCAGTAGCTCGACCTGATTGATGGGGGGTAGAGGGCGGGGTGGGGGTAGAGAGTGAGTTGGAAATGCAGCGATGGGAAGGGAAGGGATTGGGAAGGCACCTCAGCACGGACAAGACATGTGGGTGTTGGTTGTGACTCAGTAGCTCGACCTCAGGGATTGGGAGTAGAGGGAGAGATGGAGTAGAGCGAGAGATGGAGTAGAGCGAGAGATGGAGTAGAGCGAGAGATGGAGTAGAGCGAGAGATGGAGTAGAGCGAGAGATGGAGTAGAGCGAGAGATGGAGTAGAGCGAGAGATGGAGTAGAGCGAGAGATGGAGTAGAGCGAGAGATGGAGTAGAGCGAGAGATGGAGTAGAGCGAGAGATGGAGTAGAGCGAGAGATGGAGTAGAGCGAGAGATGGAGTAGAGCGAGAGATGGAGTAGAGCGAGAGATGGAGTAGAGCGAGAGATGGAGTAGAGCGAGAGATGGAGTAGAGCGAGAGATGGAGTAGAGCGAGAGATGGAGTAGAGCGAGAGATGGAGTAGAGCGAGAGATGGAGTAGAGCGAGAGATGGAGTAGAGCGAGAGATGGAGTAGAGCGAGAGATGGAGTAGAGCGAGAGATGGAGTAGAGCGAGAGATGGAGTAGAGCGAGAGATGGAGTAGAGCGAGAGATGGAGTAGAGCGAGAGATGGAGTAGAGCGAGAGATGGAGCAGAGCGAGAGATGGAGCAGAGCGAGAGATGGAGCAGAGCGAGAGATGGAGCAGAGCGAGAGATGGAGTAGAGCGAGAGATGGAGTAGAGCGAGAGATGGAGTAGAGCGAGAGATGGAGTAGAGCGAGAGATGGAGCAGAGCGAGAGATGGAGCAGAGCGAGAGATGGAGCAGAGCGAGAGATGGAGCAGAGCGAGAGATGGAGCAGAGCGAGAGATGGAGCAGAGCGAGAGATGGAGCAGAGCGAGAGATGGAGCAGAGCGAGAGATGGAGCAGAGCGAGAGATGGAGCAGAGCGAGAGATGGAGCAGAGCGAGAGATGGAGCAGAGCGAGAGATGGAGCAGAGCGAGAGATGGAGCAGAGCGAGAGATGGAGCAGAGCGAGAGATGGAGCAGAGCGAGAGATGGAGCAGAGCGAGAGATGGAGTAGAGCGAGAGATGGAGTAGAGCGAGAGATGGAGTAGAGCGAGAGATGGAGTAGAGCGAGAGATGGAGTAGAGCGAGAGATGGAGTAGAGCGAGAGATGGAGTAGAGCGAGAGATGGAGTAGAGCGAGAGATGGAGTAGAGCGAGAGATGGAGTAGAGCGAGAGATGGAGTAGAGCGAGAGATGGAGTAGAGCGAGAGATGGAGTAGAGCGAGAGATGGAGTAGAGCGAGAGATGGAGTAGAGCGAGAGATGGAGTAGAGCGAGAGATGGAGTAGAGCGAGAGATGGAGTAGAGCGAGAGATGGAGTAGAGCGAGAGATGGAGTAGAGCGAGAGATGGAGTAGAGCGAGAGATGGAGTAGAGCGAGAGATGGAGTAGAGCGAGAGATGGAGCAGAGCGAGAGATGGAGCAGAGCGAGAGATGGAGCAGAGCGAGAGATGGAGCAGAGCGAGAGATGGAGCAGAGCGAGAGATGGAGCAGAGCGAGAGATGGAGCAGAGCGAGAGATGGAGCAGAGCGAGAGATGGAGCAGAGCGAGAGATGGAGCAGAGCGAGAGATGGAGCAGAGCGAGAGATGGAGCAGAGCGAGAGATGGAGCAGAGCGAGAGATGGAGTAGAGCGAGAGATGGAGTAGAGCGAGAGATGGAGTAGAGCGAGAGATGGAGTAGAGCGAGAGATGGAGTAGAGCGAGAGATGGAGTAGAGCGAGAGATGGAGTAGAGCGAGAGATGGAGTAGAGCGAGAGATGGAGTAGAGCGAGAGATGGAGTAGAGCGAGAGATGGAGTAGAGCGAGAGATGGAGTAGAGCGAGAGATGGAGTAGAGCGAGAGATGGAGTAGAGCGAGAGATGGAGTAGAGCGAGAGATGGAGTAGAGCGAGAGATGGAGTAGAGCGAGAGATGGAGTAGAGCGAGAGATGGAGTAGAGCGAGAGATGGAGTAGAGCGAGAGATGGAGTAGAGCGAGAGATGGAGTAGAGCGAGAGATGGAGTAGAGCGAGAGATGGAGTAGAGCGAGAGATGGAGTAGAGCGAGAGATGGAGTAGAGCGAGAGATGGAGTAGAGCGAGAGATGGAGTAGAGCGAGAGATGGAGTAGAGCGAGAGATGGAGTAGAGCGAGAGATGGAGTAGAGCGAGAGATGGAGTAGAGCGAGAGATGGAGTAGAGCGAGAGATGGAGTAGAGCGAGAGATGGAGTAGAGCGAGAGATGGAGTAGAGCGAGAGATGGAGTAGAGCGAGAGATGGAGTAGAGCGAGAGATGGAGTAGAGCGAGAGATGGAGTAGAGCGAGAGATGGAGTAGAGCGAGAGATGGAGCAGAGCGAGAGATGGAGCAGAGCGAGAGATGGAGCAGAGCGAGAGATGGAGCAGAGCGAGAGATGGAGCAGAGCGAGAGATGGAGCAGAGCGAGAGATGGAGCAGAGCGAGAGATGGAGCAGAGCGAGAGATGGAGCAGAGCGAGAGATGGAGCAGAGCGAGAGATGGAGCAGAGCGAGAGATGGAGCAGAGCGAGAGATGGAGCAGAGCGAGAGATGGAGCAGAGCGAGAGATGGAGCAGAGCGAGAGATGGAGCAGAGCGAGAGATGGAGCAGAGCGAGAGATGGAGCAGAGCGAGAGATGGAGCAGAGCGAGAGATGGAGCAGAGCGAGAGATGGAGCAGAGCGAGAGATGGAGCAGAGCGAGAGATGGAGCAGAGCGAGAGATGGAGCAGAGCGAGAGATGGAGCAGAGCGAGAGATGGAGCAGAGCGAGAGATGGAGCAGAGCGAGAGATGGAGCAGAGCGAGAGATGGAGCAGAGCGAGAGATGGAGCAGAGCGAGAGATGGAGCAGAGCGAGAGATGGAGCAGAGCGAGAGATGGAGCAGAGCGAGAGATGGAGCAGAGCGAGAGATGGAGCAGAGCGAGAGATGGAGCAGAGCGAGAGATGGAGCAGAGCGAGAGATGGAGCAGAGCGAGAGATGGAGCAGAGCGAGAGATGGAGCAGAGCGAGAGATGGAGCAGAGCGAGAGATGGAGCAGAGCGAGAGATGGAGCAGAGCGAGAGATGGAGCAGAGCGAGAGATGGAGCAGAGCGAGAGATGGAGCAGAGCGAGAGATGGAGCAGAGCGAGAGATGGAGCAGAGCGAGAGATGGAGCAGAGCGAGAGATGGAGCAGAGCGAGAGATGGAGCAGAGCGAGAGATGGAGCAGAGCGAGAGATGGAGCAGAGCGAGAGATGGAGCAGAGCGAGAGATGGAGCAGAGCGAGAGATGGAGCAGAGCGAGAGATGGAGCAGAGCGAGAGATGGAGCAGAGCGAGAGATGGAGCAGAGCGAGAGATGGAGCAGAGCGAGAGATGGAGCAGAGCGAGAGATGGAGCAGAGCGAGAGATGGAGCAGAGCGAGAGATGGAGCAGAGCGAGAGATGGAGCAGAGCGAGAGATGGAGCAGAGCGAGAGATGGAGCAGAGCGAGAGATGGAGCAGAGCGAGAGATGGAGCAGAGCGAGAGATGGAGCAGAGCGAGAGATGGAGCAGAGCGAGAGATGGAGCAGAGCGAGAGATGGAGCAGAGCGAGAGATGGAGCAGAGCGAGAGATGGAGCAGAGCGAGAGATGGAGCAGAGCGAGAGATGGAGCAGAGCGAGAGATGGAGCAGAGCGAGAGATGGAGCAGAGCGAGAGATGGAGCAGAGCGAGAGATGGAGCAGAGCGAGAGATGGAGCAGAGCGAGAGATGGAGCAGAGCGAGAGATGGAGCAGAGCGAGAGATGGAGCAGAGCGAGAGATGGAGCAGAGCGAGAGATGGAGCAGAGCGAGAGATGGAGCAGAGCGAGAGATGGAGCAGAGCGAGAGATGGAGCAGAGCGAGAGATGGAGCAGAGCGAGAGATGGAGCAGAGCGAGAGATGGAGCAGAGCGAGAGATGGAGCAGAGCGAGAGATGGAGCAGAGCGAGAGATGGAGCAGAGCGAGAGATGGAGCAGAGCGAGAGATGGAGCAGAGCGAGAGATGGAGCAGAGCGAGAGATGGAGCAGAGCGAGAGATGGAGCAGAGCGAGAGATGGAGCAGAGCGAGAGATGGAGCAGAGCGAGAGATGGAGCAGAGCGAGAGATGGAGCAGAGCGAGAGATGGAGCAGAGCGAGAGATGGAGCAGAGCGAGAGATGGAGCAGAGCGAGAGATGGAGCAGAGCGAGAGATGGAGCAGAGCGAGAGATGGAGCAGAGCGAGAGATGGAGCAGAGCGAGAGATGGAGCAGAGCGAGAGATGGAGCAGAGCGAGAGATGGAGCAGAGCGAGAGATGGAGCAGAGCGAGAGATGGAGCAGAGCGAGAGATGGAGCAGAGCGAGAGATGGAGCAGAGCGAGAGATGGAGCAGAGCGAGAGATGGAGCAGAGCGAGAGATGGAGCAGAGCGAGAGATGGAGCAGAGCGAGAGATGGAGCAGAGCGAGAGATGGAGCAGAGCGAGAGATGGAGCAGAGCGAGAGATGGAGCAGAGCGAGAGATGGAGCAGAGCGAGAGATGGAGCAGAGCGAGAGATGGAGCAGAGCGAGAGATGGAGCAGAGCGAGAGATGGAGCAGAGCGAGAGATGGAGCAGAGCGAGAGATGGAGCAGAGCGAGAGATGGAGCAGAGCGAGAGATGGAGCAGAGCGAGAGATGGAGCAGAGCGAGAGATGGAGCAGAGCGAGAGATGGAGCAGAGCGAGAGATGGAGCAGAGCGAGAGATGGAGCAGAGCGAGAGATGGAGCAGAGCGAGAGATGGAGCAGAGCGAGAGATGGAGCAGAGCGAGAGATGGAGCAGAGCGAGAGATGGAGCAGAGCGAGAGATGGAGCAGAGCGAGAGATGGAGCAGAGCGAGAGATGGAGCAGAGCGAGAGATGGAGCAGAGCGAGAGATGGAGCAGAGCGAGAGATGGAGCAGAGCGAGAGATGGAGCAGAGCGAGAGATGGAGCAGAGCGAGAGATGGAGCAGAGCGAGAGATGGAGCAGAGCGAGAGATGGAGCAGAGCGAGAGATGGAGCAGAGCGAGAGATGGAGCAGAGCGAGAGATGGAGCAGAGCGAGAGATGGAGCAGAGCGAGAGATGGAGCAGAGCGAGAGATGGAGCAGAGCGAGAGATGGAGCAGAGCGAGAGATGGAGCAGAGCGAGAGATGGAGCAGAGCGAGAGATGGAGCAGAGCGAGAGATGGAGCAGAGCGAGAGATGGAGCAGAGCGAGAGATGGAGCAGAGCGAGAGATGGAGCAGAGCGAGAGATGGAGCAGAGCGAGAGATGGAGCAGAGCGAGAGATGGAGCAGAGCGAGAGATGGAGCAGAGCGAGAGATGGAGCAGAGCGAGAGATGGAGCAGAGCGAGAGATGGAGCAGAGCGAGAGATGGAGCAGAGCGAGAGATGGAGCAGAGCGAGAGATGGAGCAGAGCGAGAGATGGAGCAGAGCGAGAGATGGAGCAGAGCGAGAGATGGAGCAGAGCGAGAGATGGAGCAGAGCGAGAGATGGAGCAGAGCGAGAGATGGAGCAGAGCGAGAGATGGAGCAGAGCGAGAGATGGAGCAGAGCGAGAGATGGAGCAGAGCGAGAGATGGAGCAGAGCGAGAGATGGAGCAGAGCGAGAGATGGAGCAGAGCGAGAGATGGAGCAGAGCGAGAGATGGAGCAGAGCGAGAGATGGAGCAGAGCGAGAGATGGAGCAGAGCGAGAGATGGAGCAGAGCGAGAGATGGAGCAGAGCGAGAGATGGAGCAGAGCGAGAGATGGAGCAGAGCGAGAGATGGAGCAGAGCGAGAGATGGAGCAGAGCGAGAGATGGAGCAGAGCGAGAGATGGAGTAGAGCGAGAGATGGAGTAGAGCGAGAGATGGAGTAGAGCGAGAGATGGAGTAGAGCGAGAGATGGAGTAGAGCGAGAGATGGAGTAGAGCGAGAGATGGAGTAGAGGAGAGAGATGGAGTAGAGCGAGAGATGGAGTAGAGCGAGAGATGGAGTAGAGCGAGAGATGGAGTAGAGCGAGAGATGGAGTAGAGCGAGAGATGGAGTAGAGCGAGAGATGGAGTAGAGCGAGAGATGGAGTAGAGCGAGAGATGGAGTAGAGCGAGAGATGGAGTAGAGCGAGAGATGGAGTAGAGCGAGAGATGGAGTAGAGCGAGAGATGGAGTAGAGCGAGAGATGGAGTAGAGCGAGAGATGGAGTAGAGAGCGGAGATGGCGTAGAGCGAGAGATGGAGTAGAGCGAGAGATGGAGTAGAGCGAGAGATGGAGTAGAGCGAGAGATGGAGTAGAGCGAGAGATGGAGTAGAGCGAGAGATGGAGTAGAGCGAGAGATGGAGTAGAGCGAGAGATGGAGTAGAGCGAGAGATGGAGTAGAGCGAGAGATGGAGTAGAGCGAGAGATGGAGTAGAGCGAGAGATGGAGTAGAGCGAGAGATGGAGTAGAGCGAGAGATGGAGTAGAGCGAGAGATGGAGTAGAGCGAGAGATGGAGTAGAGCGAGAGATGGAGTAGAGCGAGAGATGGAGTAGAGCGAGAGATGGAGTAGAGCGAGAGATGGAGTAGAGCGAGAGATGGAGTAGAGCGAGAGATGGAGTAGAGCGAGAGATGGAGTAGAGCGAGAGATGGAGTAGAGCGAGAGATGGAGTAGAGCGAGAGATGGAGTAGAGCGAGAGATGGAGTAGAGCGAGAGATGGCGTAGAGAGTGAATTGGTAATGTAGTGGTGGGAGGAACAGCACCCCAGCAGCGACAGCACATGTGGGTGGTGAATTTGACTCAGTAGCTCGACCTGAGCGTGTGGCGGCAGGAAACAGGTATTGAGGGGAGTAAGACGTGCGTTTAGAGAAAGACAGGGGCATCAAATGAAACTTAGCGATGGGGGCAGGAGAAATGGAATGCAACAGCAAATATGAACGTGACTGTTTCTTAGCAGACCAGAAACTTCTCAAAATTGTTCTTTCATGACCTACCTTTCATGACCTACCTTTCATGACCTACCTTTCATGACCTACCTTTCATGACCTATCTCTCACCTCTCGCTGGAACTCCTTGGCTGCCGGGTGGCGTCTTCCGTCTTGATCACCTTCACAGCCACCTTGCTGCCGCCCAGCAGCCCAGAAAAGACAGTGCCGCAACCGCCCTCCCCCAGCAGCAGCTGGGGACTGAAGTTGTCCGTCGCTCTCTGGTGTGCGTGAGAGAGGGGAGTGGAGAGGCGAGAGAGGAGTGGCAAGGAGAGAGGGAGTGGAGAGGTGAGAGGGGAGTGGAGAGGAGAGTGGGGAGAGAGGAGAGCGTATAGCAAACATAAGAGCAACGCACACAACAGCAAGAGCACAGCACACCGTCTCTGCCCTCCCCAGCAGCAGCTGGGGACTGAAGTTGTCCGTTGCTCTCCGGTGTGCGAGGGAGGGGGGAACGAAGGCCAGGGAAGAGGAAGGGAGAGCGGAGAGGTATGGATTTCCACATCAGAGTAGACAGCAGCAGAAGAGAAGACTCTTCTCAGGCGACTTGACTTTTGAGTCGACTCAAAAGTCAACTGAGCGGAGAGGGTATGGATTTCCACATTAGAGTAGACACCAGCAGAAGAGAAGACGCCACCGACACTTCTCAGGCGCCTCAAAACACAACCATACCTGGATTTCCGAGAATTCTAAAAAACCAACTTGTATTTCTTAGAATTCTCGAAGACTCTTCTCTGGCGCCTCAAAGCACAACCATACCTGGATTTCCTCAAACGAGTAAACACAGCAGTACAGTGCGAAGGTGGCTCGAAGCTCAGTCACCGCACCTGAATCTCCTCATAAGAGTACACACGGCAGTAGACCCCACTCCATGCTTCCAGCGTCCCTCCCGCTGCTGCCACCCCAGCCACAGAAGACGCAGCTGCCACCATGCCTGCTTCCTTCCCTCCACCCCCAAGAGTCCCACTGCCGCTGCCGCTGCCTGTGCCAGTGCCGGTGCCGGTGCCGGTGCCGGTGCCAGTGCCGGTGCCTGTGCCGGTGGCGGTGCCGGTGCCGGTGCCGCTGCCAGTGCCGCTGCCTGTGCCTGTGCCGGTGGCGGTGCCGGGGGCAGGGATGGGGGAGCTGGAGGGCTCGCCCCCGCTGCCCGCCCCGCTGCCCGCCCTGCTGCTCGCAGTGCTCCCACTCCCCATGGTGAACGTGCTCCCCGTGCTGCTTCCAAGGCTGAACCCCCCACTGCCCCCATTAACAGCACTGCTGCCGCCGCTAGCACCACTGCTGCTGCCGCTAGCACCACTGCTGCCGTGCTGTTGTGACCTGGCAACGGCGTGAACCACCGAGGCAGAGTCATGCGCGTCGCTCCAAGCACTGCTGCCGCCCACGACCTTGTCCCCACCTGCCCGACCCCCTCCTTCACCTCCCCACACTCCTCCCATCCCTCCTCCTCCCCCCCCCATACTGACTCCCTCCATAAGAGCAGCGAGCTTGGTTGCTGCCTGAAGCTGCTGCTGGTGGTGCTGCAACAGCCGCTGCTGCTGCTGCTCCCGCAGCTGCTGCAACTCCTGCTCAACCCCCCCCTCCGCCGCTTTAACTCTGCCCCTCGCCTCCTGCCCATCCCCCCTGCCCCTCTCCTCCTCTGAAGCAGCAGCAGCAGCGGCAGCATCTGCTGCAGTCAGCGCCTCAGCTGCAACCTCCTTGCTGCTGCTCCCATCTGAAACCACGGAACGATCGGAGAGAGAACGCACGAAACTTCCCTTGCCAAAACTACCACTGCCACTCCCACTCACACTGGCTTTCCCACCGCCTTCACTGTCCTGTGCCATCTGCACCACATCCATCCGGCTCTCACCGCTCCGGCTCTCGCTGTTTCTTCGGCTGTCCCCAGGGGAGGACCCAGCAGAGGGGACGGAAGGGGAAGAGGCGCCAGGGAGGGGACTGCTGCTCATGGAGAGAGCAGGGGAGCGGTCGGGGGGGGTGGCGTCGCCTTGCTTGGTCAGCAGCACCTTGTCCTTGGCAACTACTATCACGGAGAGCGTGGGTGGGCGGTTCTTCACACAGTAGGCGCTCGTGCTGCCTGATAGCTTGCCGCGCCTGGAGGGCGAGGGGGGGGGATTGCAGGGGGAGGGGGGAAGGGGGAAGGGCAGGGTGGGGGGGAGGGGTGGAGAGGAAGGGAGAAGACGAGGGGAGAGGGTTGCTAGTGAGGGAGAGGGTTGCTAGTGAGGGAGAGGGTTGCTAGTGAGGGAGAGGGTTGCTAGTGAGGGAGAGGGTTGCTAGTGAGGGAGAGGGTTGCTAGTGAGGGAGAGGGTTGCTAGTGAGGGAGAGGGTTGCTAGTGAGGGAGAGGGTTGCTAGTGAGGGAGAGGGTTGCTAGTGAGGGAGAGGGTTGCTAGTGAGGGAGAGGGTTGCTAGTGAGGGAGAGGGTTGCTAGTGAGGGAGAGGGTTGCTAGTGAGGGAGAGGGTTGCTAGTGAGGGAGAGGGTTGCTAGTGAGGGAGAGGGTTGCTAGTGAGGGAGAGGGTTGCTAGTGAGGGAGAGGGTTGCTAGTGAGGGAGAGGGTTGCTAGTGAGGGAGAGGGTTGCTAGTGAGGGAGAGGGTTGCTAGTGAGGGAGAGGGTTGCTAGTGAGGGAGAGGGTTGCTAGTGAGGGAGAGGGTTGCTAGTGAGGGAGAGGGTTGCTAGTGAGGGAGAGGGTTGCTAGTGAGGGAGAGGGTTGCTAGTGAGGGAGAGGGTTGCTAGTGAGGGAGAGGGTTGCTAGTGAGGGAGAGGGTTGCTAGTGAGGGAGAGGGTTGCTAGTGAGGGAGAGGGTTGCTAGTGAGGGAGAGGGTTGCTAGTGAGGGAGAGGGTTGCTAGTGAGGGAGAGGGTTGCTAGTGAGGGAGAGGGTTGCTAGTGAGGGAGAGGGTTGCTAGTGAGGGAGAGGGTTGCTAGTGAGGGAGAGCGTGGGTGGGCGGTTCTTGAGACAGTAGGCGCTCGTGCTGCCTGATAGCTTGCCGCGCCTGGGAAAGGGGGGAGGGAGGGAGGGAGGGGGCAGAGAGGGAGGGGAGGGGGATGGATGGATGGATGGGAGATAGTAGGGGAGCAGAAGGCGCGTGAGCTGTCAAGAGAGGACAGGTGGGCTGCGGAGCAGAAGGCGCGTGGTGAAGAGTCCGCACGCGTTAGTGTCGAGCACGAGTCTCTTTATAAGATGCCTCAATAAATGTCAGACTGATTACACAGCATTATAAGAGCCGAGCCGACTGCTTGCATGGTGAAGAGCCCGCGCGTTTTGGCGCCAAGCACGAGGCACGTGGCGTGCAACGTTTTGAGTCGACTCAACACGTGGCGTGGCGTGCAACACCTCAGTGCCTAATTACATGGTGGACATTCGCGGCCCTTGGTGCTGAGCACGAGGCACGTGGTGTGCAACGTTTTGAGTCGACTACAAACGTGGCGTGCAACACCTCAGTGCCTCCCCCCCCCAGGATCTTCGCGGCTGAAGACGCCTCGTTTATCGCTCACCTCTTGCGTCTCACAACAGCCTCCTTACATGGTGAACATTCCGCGGCCCTTGGTGCCGAGCACGAGGCACGTGGCCTGCAGTACCTTTCCCACCCCCCCATGATTCCCCCATCGTGAGACGATTCATTACCATCTCGTATGCGTCTCACAGTAGCCTCCTTACGTGGTGAAGACCCCGCGGCCCTTGGTGCCGATCACGAGGCGCATTGCCTGCAGCTTTACGATCGCAATCATGATCTCCTCATAGTCACAATCATGATCTCCTCATAGTCACAATCATGATCCCCTCATAGTCACAATCATGATCCCCTCATAGTCACACCTAAACACCCCTGTAGCTAAATACCCCTCACATGGTGAACATTCCGCGGCCCTTAGTGCCCAGCACGAGGCACGTGGCCTGCAGCTTCTTCGCCTCCTCCATGACCCCCGCGTCTCTTCACACGACTCATTATCTTGAGTCGCCTCAGTAAAAGACAGGCTGCTTACATAGTGAACATCCCGCGCGACTTGGTGCCGAGCACGAGGCACGTGGCCTGCAGCTTCTTCGCCTCCTCCATGACCCCCGCGTCTCTTGACACGACTCATTATCTTGAGTCGCCTCAGTAAAAGACAGGCTGCTTACATGGTGAACATCCCGCGCGACTTGGTGCCCAGCACGAGGCACGTGGCCTGCAGCTTCTTCGCCTCCTCCACGATCCCCGCGTCTCTTGACACGACTCATTATCTTGAGTCGCCTCAGTAAAAGACAGGCTGCTTACATGGTGAACATCCCGCGCGACTTGGTGCCCAGCACGAGGCACGTGGCCTGCAGCATCTTCGCCTCCTCCACGATCCCCGCATCTTGAGATCCCTCAATACCCCTTACATGGTGTGAAGCGCCCATGAGCCCCTAACATCACCTCACGTCTACCCCTCACATGGTGAACATCCCGCGGCCCTTAGTGCCGAGCACGAGGCACGTCGCTTGCAGCTTCTTCGCCTCCTCCATGATCCCCGCGTCCCGCGAGTCGTTGCGCCCCACGCGCAGCTCCAGGCGCACCTGAGGGGGGCGAGAGGAGGATGGGGATGGCGGAAATGGCGATGGCGGAAATGGGGATGGCGGAGGCGGACGCGGAATCGAGGAGCAGTGAGCTCAGCCATTGATGCTTGGAAACTGGCTCCGTTCTGATCTTAGCTTTGAGTTGTTTCAGAAGTCAGCGCAATGAGTCTAGTCTGTCTCACCTTGGCGTCAATAGAGGCTTTGAGCTGCGAGAGCATGGGCATGATGGCGGTGCGCACGTGCTGCACGATCGCCGTCTTCGACACAGAGCTCTGCGCCACTTCGTACCCAGACCTGCCACAAAGTTTGCAGTCAAATTAGATATGTATATATATATATATATATATTCAAGTCTACGTCAGAAAGTGTATACTCTTGTGAAACGCTTTGAGCACCTGCCAAAAATGCGTACACGTGCGAACGGATGAGATCCGACTCGGATCCGGTCGCGGTTGCGCCCTGACAACCGAAGCAAACCCGGAGCGCAAGACACAACGAAGCTCGATTCCTTGTAAAAGATTCGGTATGTTCCCTGCTATATAACAATGCAGGTATCATCTCACAGTCACTGTCAAGTCCAACCCGGCTTGTACAGATCGCCACACTGCAATAGGCGCCTGACTATTGAGGCGTCTCGAAAACCGCTTTTACACATGGCCACCGCCAGACGCGGTTGCCTCAAACGCCAGTTCAGTGAGCGCCGAGAGTCTCACCTGCCAGGCACTCCCTACCGCCGGACGCGTTCCAGTAACGTTGTTGCTCCTCCGGCGGTACTAGGAAGTGCCCGGCGATCCAACTCTCCTCCTTAACGGGGTATGTTATCCGTCGCACAGTCCGTCTCACAAGACGCGTCTTGCGTCGCATCATTGATCGCCCCACGAAACGCGTCTTACACATCGCACAGCCCGTCTCACTAGACGCGTCTTACCCGGCGCTTTAGTGACGATGTGAAGCAGGACGAGCAGGTCGTCGGGATGCGAGATCTTATTGGCAACGGCCCATCGCAGGGAATCCTTGCTACACGCGTCGTTGCTCACAGGCACCAGCACCCGCTCGTGGCCGTCACCCTCCCACGACATTCTCTAAGCTCAACAGCTGATCTGCGACTCGCTAATGGCTGACCACTAACAAGGCAATGCCTCGCTTGAAACGCTTACCTCCTGTCATTCTTATTTTAAGAAGTTCCTACTTTAAAAGCTATTGGTTCGCTCGGAAGATGACGTCGTTCAGGCACGGAAAGGAGGACAGTGAAACGACAGAATATAAGAACTCCGTGCATTCCAAACTGGCGACAAATGGAAAATGAGCCCAAGCGCTGCCTTAGATCCAGATGATGCTAGCGCGGGTGTTCCCTCGAAGCAGATAAGAAAGGCGGCGGAGTAAAGGATAGATATGAAGCTCTTGTTGCAGCAGTGACCGATTGTGGATGCAAGAAACTGTGCAACTCACCACGATGCACCAGGTTGAGGTGATGTTTGTACGATTCCAAAATTACCCTCCCAACTAACAACTAACTCCTCTTTTTGCGAAATCATTTGATGACTCTAGTTGTAATGGGAAAGCGCTTATGGGCATTCTACCAACCAGAATATCTAGAATGCAGCATTCTGTAACTAGAGTGCAACATTCTGTAACAACTTCACGCTTATGCAGAATGAATCCTAAAAGCTAGTGTTTAGAGGAGTGTGAGACACACTGCTGAATTGCGATGGGACTCGGATGCTGGCTTGTGCGGAACACGCATACGAACCCTCGCGCTGCTGAAAGTTATCTTCAAACGCGTGAAACCCTTCCCTCGAATTACACTTTGCCTGACCAAGCAGTGAATTTCCAAAACTTCTCGGGTGGGAAACAAGCTTGGTGAAGGAAGGGCACTCAACAAAATGCTTGTACCCCAATGAACTCGAGTTTAGCTTTCTGGCTGACTCCTGATTGGAGGGTTATCCTCCATCAGAATCACTGCATTCGGCAAGCCTAGGTCCAGTGGGCTGCTTGCCACCGCACTGTGGGTGGGAGAGGGACTGAGGGCGGCGGGCGGGGCAAAGCTTGCCACAAGGCGCGGAGCGGAGCCATCAAATTGCTGCGGAGGCGGTCCATCCATCACAAACAGAACCGATCCCTTCGGCAATGTCCGCCCGCGCCTTGTGCACAAATATCCTAAGCTCGGCGCTCTGTGTCAAGCTGTTTGGCTGCTTCCCCCAAGTGGGCACTGGGCAAGACAAGCCAACAAGGGGAGGAGGGAAGGGGGTTTGGAGTGGGGAGGCTGCCACAGTACACCTGATGCCCATTTCAGTCTTGTTCCTTATCTTTCTTTGTGCTCTTCTTTCGATCATGCGCTCGCTACGGGGAGAATGGGACTGTATCTGGGTAGCCTGGCGTGTCTTGTCTGGGAAACTCGAATAACTTATTCGAGGTCAAGAATATCTTAGTTTTGTCGTGGGCTAGTAACGCGCGGGCCGTTGGCAGTGAATGTCGACCACTGGGCGTATGGAGTGGCAGGAGGAATGTTCAGAATGGGCGGTCGAGTGAGCATTAGGGTGTAGTTTGGTTGTTCGCCCAAGCGGCCTTGCCAGGGGGGTTTTTATGCGGGCCGTCACAAAACATTCCAGAGTTATCAAGAGCAGTCACATGTTCCGCCAAATCTATCACGGACAGTCACAAAATCTGCCAAATCTATCACGAACCATCACACGGGTATCACCCGCCGTCACTCAAAGGCACTAATTTCTATCACGGGTAGTCACACTCGAAACTTTGCTATCACAGATGAACCCTCTCATCATTTCGTTGACCCGCCCTGAAATACTGTGAAGACTTAGGGACTAAATTTCGGATTGCTGTCTTTTGTTCTGTATACGCGACCATTTTGGGTGCAAAGATACATGGTTACGTTCGAATCGACGTAACACACTTTTGTTTAAAAAATATGAAATAATTCGAACGCATTTATATATATATATATATCTCTTGTTAGAGTTCACAATACATTGGATCTGCCTAAATGTTTATCAACGCACAATTTATATTTCGTCATACAGCGGATATAGTATACAGAATGAGAACGATCTCACCGTAATACTGTAACACTAGCCTTCAAGTAAATACTATAGACATATAATAATCTCATGTCAGCCTATCTCCTCGGAATTTAAATACAGAGGCATTGTATCACAAGGGTTTAGGAAACCATGTTGCACAAACCATGCTATGTACTGCAAATTTTACATCTAGTCAAGCATTGCCGATGTGTTTAATTTGTGAACTCTAGCAATATATATATATGCGTTCGAATTCTTTCATAATTTTTTTTGAAACCAAAGTGTGTTACATCAATTCGAACGTAACCACTTCTCTTTGCATCCAAAATGGTCGCGTATACAGGACAAAAGCCAGCAATCCGAAATTTAGTCCCTAAATCTTCACAGTATTTCAGGGCGGGTCAAGAAATGATGAGAGGGCTCATCTGTGATAGCAAAGTTTCGAGTGTGACTACCCGTGATAGAAATTAGTGCCTTTGAGTGACGGCGGGTGATACCCGTGTGATGGTTCGTGATAGATTTGGCAGATTTTGTGACTGTCCGTGATAGATTTGGCGGAACATGTGACTGCTCGTGATAACTCCGAAATGTTTTGTGACGGCCCGTATAAAAACCCTTGCCAGGTTCGTCCCGGAGGGGTGCCTGGTTTGGCTGCCCAACCTCGTTCTAGCTGGGTGCGGGAAACTAAATCCAGCCAATGAGAAGGCCGACTCCCAATATCTCGTTACAATCTCTCCTCAAGATTCCCTTATTCTTTGTACCCTTTACAGTAAATCTCTCATACACGCATACGAAACTGCCACTTGGAAAGTAGCAAAATGACGCGGGCTGACGCAGAATCTGGATTTGTATCCATCTTGGCCACGCAAGCTGCAGGCCTCAGATGTGGACTGTTGTGGTGTCTAGTGCGGTTGATTCGCTCCACGAGTTAGGTTTTTTACCGCTCTTGATCACGAATGAACTTACTGAACCGCGCAATCAGGCGTAAGAAACGTGCTGCGGGAGCTGGAGGGTAGCACAAATGTTGCGCATTTTAGATCTCGTGCGTTCTACATTTGCTGCTTTTCCAGCGCTCATCCATTCTATGAGCTCCCTTTCACAGCGCCTTTCCTTCTAACATAACACACCAAGCAGCGAAGTGCCGCGCCATCAGCAGCTTCGTACTATCTCCGCCCGTTCTTCCGTCTTCCGTCCATTCTCTTTTCGAGTTCCGCGTCACTTGCCGGCACAAGCCAGTCGCGAAGTCGCGGGGTGCGGGATGGCGTCGGAGGACGAGTCATCGTCAGCCTTCGTGTCGGAGTCCGAGGAGGAAAAGGGTAGGTTCCGGCGTCCTGCGCGCAGACGCAACACTAGAATTAAAAGCCGTATTTCTCTTTTTTCTCAATGGATAAATAATTGTTTCTGTAAGGTTTTTATGCTCGCTTCTGGCGGCAGAGGTTTCTCAGGCTCATTCTTACTATGGCTTGCCAATTGCCTCAAAACCCCCGCCTGTTTCTCGCTGAAATACCTTCAGAGCCGCAGACCGTGGCGCGTTCTTAGTCCGCTATGTTCTCAGCCCCCTTCTCTTCCCCCTCTTGTTTTTTTAATCCAGTCTGCTAAAAATTGTTTCGCCAGCCTGTTATCCCCTCAGTGTTCCCCCCCATCGTCGCCCCTCTCCCTTCCGTTCCTTCTCATCCTCAACCTCCCCATGGCTCCTCCCCCTATGGCGGCCTGGTGTGTTTTGAATCGACTCAAAACTCACCTCAACCTCCCCATGGCTCCTCCCCCCATGGCGGCCGCTCCCAGCAGTGCTGGTGGCGAAGGACGGCGCGGCAGCAGGAGAGGTGATCGAGGAAGCTTCCGAGGCGGAGGCGACGGAAACGGCGGAGGAGGATACCGAAGCGGAGGAGACGGCGGAGGAGGATAACGACGAGGACGACGACGATGAGAAGGACGAGGAGGGCGGTGCGGCGGAGGCGGAGGTGGAGGCGGAGGAGGAGGTGGTGATGCTGCTGTGCGTGCTGAGTCTCGACGACGGCGACGTGCTGCGGAAGCGCAAGATCTGGCGCCGCATCGCCGTTCCCGCCGACTTCTCGCTGCTGGAACTGCACGTCGCGCTGCAGGTGAGCGAGAAATTGGCGCGCCGCAGGTGAGCGAACAGTCACGAACAAGAATAGAGGAGAAGAGAAGCGAAGAGGAACGGAGCAGCGATTGGGAGAACGAGATTGTAACTTGGGAATCTTTCTTGCGAATTATTGGGAGCGACGACTCGCGTGTCAGCGATTTTGTTTGCGTTCTAACTTTTTTTTTTTTTTTTTTCTCGCTTCAACACCAAAAATCAGCTCGTGGCCGTGTGTCACACGGATACAATAGCAGTCTGACGAAACTTCATAACGAGATACCTCCTAATGATTATTGCCATGGAGCCTAATATTAGGCTCCTAACGAAACTTGTGGTACATGCGTTGCGTCGCCGCGATTTGGTTCGGCCCAGCCAGCCTGTGGCCCCGCCTGTTCCACAACACTGCTTCTCCACCATTTACCCATGCACCCGTTTTGCCATTCCATTCCCCGTACCCTCCACTCCACCCTCCCTCCTCCCTTATCCCTCGCATCATAGAACGCATTCGACTGGGAGTCCACGCATCTCCTCGACGACTTCACCCAACCGCACGCGTCACTCACCTTATTGCTGTTCTATGATCCCCCGGCCCCCTTCCTCCCCCGTACCCCCTCTCTCCCGCCTCCGCCCATCTTCCCCGCCATCACAGAACGCGTTCGACTGGGAGGACACGCATCTCCACGACTTTACCCAGCCGCGCCGCCACGCGTGGCGCCGCCTGCTCGACCCCGCCGCCGCTCTGGCTGACGAAATCACTGATTCCGATGCCGAAACCGACGCTGCTACAACCAAGCCCAAGCCCGCTACAGCCGCCGCTGCTACAGCCAGCATTGTCGCCCCTGCTACATCCGAGGCTGTGCTCCCGCCACTGCCAGACACGCAGTACCGGGGGTTCGGCCGGACGGATCTTTCGGCTGTAGCGGAGCTGCTACAGCTGGACCTGGACTCTCTGCCGCCCGGGTTCACGCGCACGTTCAAGACTGTAACGGGCGCCAAGGAGGAGGCGGCGGACGATTTGATTCTGACGCCGGCCAGTTTGGATCTGGGCGGCAGCGCGGAGGTGGTATTTGTGGAGCATGCTGACGTGGCAGCAGCGGCGGGAGAAGGGAAGGAGGTGGCGTTGCTGGCGGGACCTGGCGAGGTGAGGGGGAAGATGTGGAGGGGGGAGTGTGGGAGAGGAGGTGGGGAGGGTGGAGTGTGGGGGTGGGGGGAGTGTAAGGGAGAGGGGCAGAGGAGTTTGGAAATGTAGGGTGTGGTGGATGTTTGGGGGAAAAGAAATGTGGAGGAGGAGAGGGTCCTCTGTGCACCGCCTCCCACCCACTCCCACCCCCCTTTGCTCCCCCTTCCTGTTCCCCTCTCCTTGCTCTTCCGCTTCCTGTTCCCCTCTCCTTGCTCTTCCCCTTCCTGCTCCCCCCCTCCCCGCTGCTCCCCCCGTTGCTGCTTTCCCCCCGTGTCCCCCCCTCCACTGCTCCCCCTCCCATGCTCCCCCGTCTCCCCGCTTCCTGCTCCCCCCCCTTCTTGCTCCCTCTCCTGTACTTCCCTTCTCCCTCACTCCCCTCCCTCTCTTCCCCCACCCCCCATCAGATGGTGGACGAGAGGGCCGTAGAGGTGGGAGTCGTCTTTTCCAAGGCTGACACTCAATCCCCCATCAGATGGTGTTTTGTACTCCCCCCCCTACCTCTCCCTCCCCCCATCCACTCGCGCCCCCAAAAAATTCCCACCCTTCAGGTATTGGACGAGAGGGCGTTTGAGGTGGGGGCTGTGTTTTCAAAGACCGACCCGCTGCTGGTGTACCAGTACGACTTCGGGATGAGCTACGAGGTGCACCTCATTTTCGAGGGTAAATTCCCCGCCACCGAGGGGGTGAATTACCCTACGTGCCTGGCGGGCGCGGGGGCGAGTCCAGCAGAGGACGGCAACGATATGGACGATGAGGGCGCGCTGCTTCCCTCTTACGACTACACTGACTTTGCTGTGCTTGATGTGAGTACTGGCATGTTGATGGATGTGGGTCATTGGGCTGGGATTGATTTCGTTGTTTAGTCCAGCAGAGGACGGCAACGACATGGATGGTGAGGGCGCGCTGCTGCCTTGCCTTGGTGTGACCACGAATTTCACTGTTGTTGATGTGAGTCACTGCGCGGAGCTTGTATGAGTAAGGGCGTGGGTGCGAGGGAGGACGATGGGGGAGGGGAAGGACGGCAACGACATGCATGATGAGGGCGCGCTTCTGCCTTGGTGTATTTTTGAGACGTCTCAAAAATACACTTTTTACACGTTTTGAGACGTCTCAAAAATACTTTTTTTTACACGTTTTGAGACGTCTCAAAAATACACTTTTTTACACGTTTTGAGAGGTCTCAAAAATACCCTTTTTACATGAGGGCGCGGTTCTGCCTTGGTGTGACTACACCAACTTTGCCGTTCTAGGTGTGATTTGGGGTGCTGTTGAGTGGTGTGCAGGCTGGCTATGGTGGATGTGAGTTCACAATGGCAGCACGGTCAAGCCACCCTTTCCCCTTGCCTTGCTCCTTCCTTGTTGCTCCTCTCCCCCGCCGCTCGCCCCATCAGGTGTTGGCTAACTTTGAGAAGACCTTTGAGGACTCGTGGCCCGTGGGCCCAGGCTCGGAAGACAGCATCGACGCTCCCCGATGCTACATGTGCAGGTACGTGCACACCACCTGTGCGTGCAAGGTTTCTGCTGCAGAACCTGTATGTGCAGGTATGGCCATACCGGGACCCGGATGCATGTTTTGAACAAAATGGTTTGGGACTTCCTCCAGATTTAAACCGTTTGCCCTAATGTCACCCACGCTCCAATATCGAAAACTCCTCCTACCCACCATCCACTCCTCTCCCTGGCACTACCACGTGAAGAGAGGGTTTTTTTGAGACGTCTCAAAAATACCCTCTCTTCACGTGGCTAAACTCCTCCTACCCACCCTCCACTCCTCTCCCTGGCACTACCCCGTTTTCGCTCTTCCACTATCCCATCCCCTCAGGCTGTCCACTCCCCCTCCCCTGCCTGCACCCTTTCCACCTTCTCTCCCTTCCCAACGATGTCACCCACAACCCTCACCCACTCCCCCCACCTTGGTCACCCTCTCCCCCACCTACGTCACCCACTCCCCCACCTACGTCACCCACTCCCCCACCTACGTCACCCACTCCCCCCACCCACACTATCCCAGGTACAACCGCGAGTGTGGGCGGCGCAGGGAGTGCACGGGCAAGTGCTGTGGCTACTGCCTCACCCCTCTGCACCTGCTGGCCGGCTCCATCCCGCTGCCTTTCTTCCCCGTACCTTTTCACCCTCGCGTCCCTTCCTACCCTATCTGCCATCTCCTCTCCCCCACCCTCCACCCCACTAACCCACTTAACTTCCCATACCTTCACTATCCCAGGTACAACCGGGAGTGTGGGCGGCGCAGGGAGTGCACGGGCAAGTGCTGCGGCTACTGCCTCAAAACCCCGCTGCACCTGCTGGCCGGCTCCATCCCCCTGCGCGACGCTGACGCCGCGTATGAGAGCGCAGCACAGAAGCTGCTGCAGCAGCAGAGCAACGCCGCTGAGAGCGCTGAGGCTTAGAGTTTTAAAGGGTGGGTGGGTGGGCAGGGCAGGACTAGGGGTGGTGGTGGTGAGCATGGGCAGGGCGGGTGGGCAAAAGGTGTGGCACAGGTTATGAACAAACCATTCTTTGATACGTATGATGCTGAGCTGATGCTAAATGAGTAGGCGGTGTACAGTAGAAACTGGGAGGGGGTAAGACAGGCATGTGGGTGCTGGCAGGACAAAGCCCACGGTGAAAATAGTCATACTGTAGATTGACCAAGGTACAGCAGCATTGGTGAACTGAACATGTAACAGGTCAAAAATATGTTTTTTCATATGGTATGGCAGAAGTTCCAGACGCTAAATGGGGAAGGCAATGGCAATGCGTGGTGAGGGTGTTAATGAGATTGTCCTGGGTTTTTTCCTGCATTGCACCAAGACTGAAGACACCAAACTGTAGGCCCAGCGACACCTGAAGCAGCTGATAGCCGTTCACCTTTTAGTAAAAAAAAAAAAAAGACAAAGCAGTGCTCCCAGTCGTCTTTTCATCCCACCCCACCTTATTTCATCCTGGTTTTGTCCTCCGGATAAGCCCTGTACCCCTCTTGCTTCCACTCCCTGGGCTTGCGACGCCATTCTAGGAACAGCGATCGTCTGAAATCCCTGATCGTCTAAATTTTGGTACCAACTTTAATTTACCAGGGAAAGAGCTTCTGGAAACTCGGGACATAAATTCAAAGAAGGCTCAGAAGCAGCAGTTGCGGCACAATTGAAGGAGCACGCACAGTGCAGTGCCCGCAGCAGTCTTCTTGCTCCATAATCCATCCCGACTCGTCCTCCTTGTAAGACCTACAATCCTCCTCCTTGTACGGTAAACCCCAAACCCTGTGCCCCTTCCTGCTTCAGCTTCCTCAGGTGTTCCTTTAAAACTCGCGTCTCATATTTACGAGCATTTAACACTTGGTTGGAAGCTCGCGTCAGTGATTGGTTTCGACAGAGACGCGACCCCAGCTAGTCACAAATTTTGTGATTCGTCAACCAGTCACGGTTAAATCAAGTGTAAATCCAACCAACTGTAAAACGGAGAAAATATGAGACGCCCTCTTTAAGAGCTCAAATCAAATGTGTGCACAACGCAGTGCCGCCAGCACTTTTCATGTTCCACCCCAGCTCTCCATCCTTGTAAACCCTGTACCCCTCCTCTGTACCCCTTCTCCTTGTAAACCCAGCAGTACCCCTTCTCCTTGTAAACCCAGCAGTACCCCTTCTCCTTGTAAACCCAGCAGTACCCCTTCTCCTTGTAAACCCAGCAGTACCCCTTCTCCTTGTAAACCCTGTACCCCTCCATGTAGACCCTGTACCCCTTCCTTCTTCAGTTTTCTCAGGTGTTTCTAGAAGCGCTTCAAACCAAACACCTCAAACCAAGCGACTCAATCCTAGCGCCTCAAACCGGCCTCAAAAGCAGCAGTCGCAGTCGAAGGGGCACAGCGCTGTGCCGCCGGCACTCTTCTTATTCCACCCCAACTCCTCCTCCATGTAAACCCTATACCCCTCCTCCGTCCGCTTCCTCGGCTTACTCTCTGCGTCCACGCCACTTCCGCTGGTTTTTTCTTTCTTCTTCCCCTTTTTCACCGCGGGAAGTTTGTTGCCGCCCTGGTCTTTCGCGCCTCCTTTGCCGTTTTTTCCTTGCTGCCCGCTGCCCGCAGCCGCTTGATTCTTGCTCTGCTTTGCCTGGTTGAAAATCGCGTCTATGTCGTCGCGGGCCGCTCGCTTTCGCTTGTCGCCAGGCGGCGACGGCTGCGACTCCGTTGCCGGAGTCGCATCGAGGGTCGCCGAGTTAGGGTCCGCTGTCGCCACGTCTGCGACCGCTGCGACTTCAGCAGCGAAACCCGCACTTGCGACGTCATCGTCACGTGCTGTAGCCAGCGTCGCTGGATGCTCGGTTAAGTTCGGTTCACCCCGGTTGGGTGCAGTTCCCGCCTTCTTCTTCGCCCTGCCTACCTTCGAGGAAGTTACGGGCGCCATGGCTGCACGGCCGCTTCTAAGCTTCCCCGAGCTTCCCATTCTTCCCACTAGCACGGCTCGCGTACATACGCTTTAAGAGCTGCCTCGTAAAACTGCGACGCGGTCGCGGTACAGTGGACCCGTTGGGATGTGGCCGGAAATCAGCGGGGGAAACGGGAGAGCATTAGGACTCAGCAACACTCCTGGCCCATTGGCATGTACTCAGCTGTGAAAAATGGATTTAGGGCGTGTAACTTTTTCCGATTCAGTCAAATGTCCGGACGGAGACCCCAAACCGTCCGAACGGTGCTCCGTCCGGACAGTTGGGGATGTGGTTCGGACGATGAAGCGTCCGTACCCCTATTATGACACTTTTTTGCAGTTGCGAAATTTTTTTTGAGCGAGAGTGTAACGCGCATAACCTACCTCGTCAGCACATCGCTCAGTTCGCAAGCATGCATTTGCGACTCGGTAATGTTTAGTGGGTTCGGAAACATGCCAGACTGTAACGAGTTCGTTTTTTTGTAGTGCTGTGAGTCTGTGTGCCCGTTCGGACGATTGTGGAACTTTTGTGTTGCCTTTCCATACCAATCTGGTTCTGGCGAGCGGGAAACCGAGTCGCCAAAACTGATGAAAATTGTGCCTCGCGCACCAATGACGTTGCAGGAGTTCCGGACGGTCCGAAATGCTGTCCGGACGACGTCAGGGGCATAGAACGGACGATGGACAAGCAGGAAAGTGTCAGAATTCGTACGGACGATCGCGACGTTGCGAGGGGTCTCGCGAATTTAATAACGAATCCAAACGAAAATTGTAACCCTACAAAAGTCCGGACGGTTCCTCCGTCCGGACGATGAAAAGTGAAAAAGTTACACGCCGCGCGTGTGATCTTTTTTTAACTTCCCAAAGTTCGAACTTTAGAAAGGTTCTACACGGTAAAATACAGTTGAAAGATTTTTTGCCACGGTGCAAAGCGGTTTGAGTTCGAGCTTAGACAAAAATTCGAAGATCACACGCGCCCTTAGGGCGCGTGTGATCCGTGAAATTCGTGAAAGTTTACATTTTTTGGGCGAGTTGTGCGAAGTGAACATAAGTCGAATCAATCTCGACTTCCTTTGTATCGGGGTTCGCACATCTGGACCACAACACTGCAGAAAAGCACACACACATACAAGGTCGAGTGCGCGTATTCGAACTTGTAAAATCGCACCGAGCCGCATTTCTACAACGTAGGTTACCCGGTTCAGACGTCTTGACAGTGCGCCACGCGGCCGACGTGCGCCTCGGTTTCGGATAGCCTAGACCTCCAGCTCACCTTCAACACTGGGGTACAAATATCAGAGGTTGCCCACCTGGAGCTCTCGTCATTCCCCAAACATGACGATTCTCGCCACGTGGCCTCTATTCAGTACACGAAGGCTGTGGTGAGTTCGTTGTGCCACTGTTGCTACTCGTGAGTCGCTCGCACATTTCGCCCGATGACTGAACGTGCGGGAAATCACACACGTGAATGTGAACATGCCGAAGCACGTTCACAACTAAAACTCGAGTCTTGTTCAAGTTTGCAGTTCGCATGTTGCCAAACCCAAAGTTGACGAATTTTCGCTAATAGCTCCATGCGATATTGGCGAAACGGGTAACCACCCAAAGTTCGCACTTTATTTTGAACTTCAAAACCGACCTCACACGCCCTTAGTTGCCCTCTCGGAAGAAGGCGAGGAATGTTGGGCGAAAGGAAGTGGTTTTGCCTGAAAAATTTGTGAATGTCGATAAGGAGCAGGTGACGAGCTTGCAACGAGGATGAATTCTGCACGGGGCGAAACTTTATAGATCGTTTGCGGGTATCCAGTTACACGATCGATCACTTACTGTTTAAAATCAAAGAAAAAACTACATCACCTACATGGCAGACAACTTCAGGCTCTAGCTGCCTCATTTCTCATGTGCTGCATTGAGAAGCATTTTTCCACAAACATCTATCCCTGCTCCAGCCCAATCCCTTCTGCGACCCTTCCCTAGCAAAGAGCAGCAGGCGAAGAGCATATTTTTTCACTATCAACGTTCCCACCTCACTTTATGGCCTCGTTCACTCCCTTCTTTTCTTCCCTGCCCACTAAGGTCACCTGGTGGGCAACATCCGTGACCTTGAATTTGATCAATGCTCTCTCCAGCAGACCAAAACCTGCTCCAGATCTGCGCCAGACGTGCCCCCGCCTGTCCAGGACCTGCCTCCTGTTTATGCCTCATTACACACCCGTCCTCGCGGAACCATTCCTCTCTCTCTCCCCACGTGAGCAACACATTTAGGAACTCCCATCATCAATACCCTCCTCCATCCTCCAACGCCCAACCCTCATACATGCTCACATCAAGCCCTCCTCTCTTATTTCTCACATCACTACCCTCCTCTCCCCCCCTCTCGCACATCAATACCCCCTCGCCTCTGTGACTGTCGCCCCCCATAACCTCTCTCTTCCCGGACATACCCATCCCTGTCCCTCTCCCTATACGACACATCCCTGTCCCGATACGATCCATCTCTCTCCCTCCCATAATCTCTCCCATCACTCTCCCTATAGTCCCTCCCTCCACCATCCCTCCCATACTCCCACCCCCCTGCACCGCTCTCCCTCTCCCTCCCATACTCCCTCCCATACTCCCTTCCATGCTCCCTATCCCGGCTCGCATACTCACTCCTACCTCCCCCGCCCCCATAATCATCCTCTGAAAACCCTCTGTTCCGCGCCCCCCTTCCTGCTGATTCACTCGTAGGGCTCCGGCTCGCGCCTCCCCTCCCTCCTGGTCTAGCACTCCTACCCCCCCCATCATCATCATACATATCATACTGTCCCTTTGCTGCTGGTCTTCTCTCCTCATCCAACCCGCCTCTCCCGTCTGCCCTCTGCTGCCCCGGGCCCTGCTGCTGCTGGGACAACACGCCATCCCCCTGCTGCTGCAGACCAGGTATTGGTGGGGACACGGCAGCAGCAGTTGTGGAAGCACCAGCAGCGGCACCACCAGCAGCAGCAGCAGCAGTAGCAGCACCGGTACTAGCAGCAGGACTAGCAGCCGCTGCAGAGGAGGCGGCGGGATCATCAGGGTCTTCTTGGGAGAAGGAGCGGCGGTGACGGCTGGGCGAGTCTGTAGGGGACGCTGCTGGGCTGGCTGCTGCTGCGAGCTCCTCTATTGCCTCCACACACTTGTGCTCGTACCACCAGTCCTCCTGCAACAGACTGCGAGGGTACAGACAAAAGAAGGGTAGAGAACAGTAAAGATGTGTGACGGCAAGGTGGGGTAGTGTTGCTGCGAACAAGTGAGACAACTGCTGCTGCGAGCTCCTCTATTGCCTCCACACACTTGTGCTCGTACCACCAGTCCTGCTGTAGGAGACTGCATAGGATATCGGATAAGAGAGTGATGTGAGCAAGTGAGACCACTGCTGTTGTTGCTGCGAGCTCCTCTATAGCCTCCACACACTTGCACTCGTACCACCAGGGAGACTGCACGGGACAGAGGGGCAAAGAGGAAGGGGAAACGGGTGATGGGGGGCACGGGCAAGGGGGGGGAACGGAGGCACCTAATGACCTGCCCAAAGATGCACAATTACATCAACAGGAAGAGCACAGGGCACCTGCTGTTCAGACCACCCTCACCTGTTGGGGTCGCCTCCAGTCTGATCAGTGAAGAGGACGATGGCCTTGGTGGCGCTGTCCTCTGCCACCTTGCGCATGGCCCGGGACGAGTACTTGCCCGCCTTGGCCACCTGCATCACGAAATACATGTCAAACACCAGCTGGAGTGGGGAGGGGGGGGAAGGAGGGTGGGGTTGGGAGGTGGGGAGAGAGGTGGAGTGGGGTAAGGGGACAGAATAGAGAGAGTGAGCGCTTGGGTTCAGACGTGCGCATGGCCCACATGGCCCACATGGCCTGCATGGCCCACATGGCCTGCATGGCCCACATGGCCTGCATGGCCCACATGGCCCGCATGCCCCGCATGGCCTGCATGGCCTGCATGGCCCGCATGGCCCGCATGGCCAGCATGGCCCGCATGGCCTGCATGGCCCGCATGGCCTGCATGGCCTGCATGGCCTGCATGTCCCGCATGGCCTGCATGGCCTGCATGGCCCGCATGGCCCGCATGGCCCGGGAGGAGTACTTGCTCGCTTTGGCCACCTGCATCATGAAATACATGTCAAACACCAGCTGGTGGGGAGGGGGAGGGGGGAGGGGGGGGGGGGGGGGGGGGGGGAAGGCTCATGATGAGCCGCTCTGCTGGGAAGCCACCTCCCCTACTGACTCGCTTATCATCCCATTTCCTTTCAGCCACACACACAAAAACACAGAAAGGCGCACCTGCTGCAGTCCGGTGGGGCCGAGGGCATACTCGGCGTTCTCGAGCTCGTCCCAAAACAGAGCTGTACACCATGAGGCCCATCACGAGCCACTCGGTGAGGCAGGCACCTCCCTTGCTGACTCTACTATCATCCCCTTCCCTCGCCATTCCCCCGTGCACATACAAGAGCGCACCTGCTGCAGTCCGGTGGGGCCGAGGGCGTACTCAGCATTCTCGAGCTCATCCCACAACAGAGCTGTAGACCATGAGATGAGGCCCAACATGAGCCACTCGGTGAGGCGAGGCAGGCACGTCCCTCCCATACAGCTTTGCCCTCATGCAAACACACCTGCTGAAAGCCCACACAAACACACCTGCTGCAAGCCTGTAGGCCCCAGAGCGTATTCAGCGTTTTCGAGCTCGTCCCAGAAGGAGCTGTAGACCATGAGGCCCATCATGAGCCACTCGGCCAGGCGCATGAGCAGCAGCGTGACCACGCGGTCGCGCCCTCCCAGCACGTATGTGGCGGTGGAGAGGATGGAGTGCAACGCCATGTAGAGCGCCTGGGGGGATGGACCATGGGAGGATGGAACAAAGAAAGGTGCGTGTTAGGTAGGGGGTGAACAGAACACATTGTGGCAGCACGAGGCAGCATGCAGCAGCGTCACCATGCAATCACGCCCTTCCATCGCATCGCATCGCATCCCATCCCATCCCATCCCATCCCATCCCATCCCATCCCGTCCCGTCCCATCCCATCCCATCCCATCCCATCCCATCCCATCCCATCCCATCCCATCCCATCCCATCCCATCCCATCCCATCCCATCCCATCCCATCGCATCGCATCGCAGAACATTTGTGGCGGATGAGTTGGGAGGATGAAGTGCAGTGCAAAGCCATGATGAGCGCCGAAAGTGAGGTGTGCGGTTTAAGCAACGTCCTGGATGACTAATGCTGACGTGGACAGAGCAGATGCTGACCTGGAAGGGCGGCGACGGTAGGGGTTCGAGGGCTCACTGAGTGGATCGCATCTTGGCGTCCATGTGCAGGTACTGGTGCGAGGTGAGGAAGGGTTGGCAAATGCTGACCTGACTAACACTCACTGGCCTGGACACCAGATGCTGACCTGAAAAGGCGGCGAGGGGAGGGGCTTCAGCGCCCACTGGGTGGGGCGCATCTTGGCGTCCATGTGCAGGTACTGGTGCGCGGTGAGGATGGGCTGGCCGTCGTGGCCGTACATGAACTCGGCCACCAGGCACGAGCACAGCACGTCCCTCAGCTTGTCCACCGCCTTCTGCAGCCGCCTCCGCCACTCCTTGTGCTCCGCCGCGTTGCTGTGAGAGTGCGAGACAGGGGGCAGGGGGAGGAGAGGTGGGAGAGGGAATTGGGGGTGGTTGGGGATGGGATTGAGGGCCCCACCCACCAATTTTCGAGCACAGCACGTCCCTCAGCTTGTCCACCGCCTTCTATAGCCGCCTCCGCCACTCCTTGTGCTCCGCTGCGTTGCTGCCCGGGGGGGAAGGGGAGGGGAGGGAGGAAAAAGCAAGGGGATCGAAGGATACAACGCGGAGGTGGAGAGGAGGAAAACAGGGGGATGGAATCCACGAGGATTTCGAAAGAGTGTTCAGAGAAACGATTTGGAGGGAGAATAGGGAGTGAGGATACAGAGAGAGTGGAAGAAGCGAGCGTACCGTCCTCCAGCAGACAGCCTCCTGTCAGGATCCGCCCCGCCCTGCTTCCTCCCCCCTCGCCCCCCTCCCCCTCCCCCACCACCTTCCTCTCCAGCAGCCAGCGTGAGCCTCTGAGCCAGCCTGGGCAGCAGATCATCCGCCAGAGCCGACGCATTCCCCAGCAGCGCCAGCTGCTGCTGCTCGTCCTCTGCCGTCCTCACACTCCCGTCTTGCCACGGCTCCTCCCCGTTCTCCTTCTCCCCACCCTTGCCCCCGCCCTTGTCCTTCCCTCCTTCCCCTGCCCCGTTCCCCCCGTCCTCGTCGTCGTCATCCTCGTCGGAGGGCGAGGGGAGGGCTTTCTGCAGCAGGGCCACGTAGGACTCGAAGAGAGACGCCAGGCGGTCGAGAATGCGCCCAAACAGCTGCAGGCTGATGACTGGGAGAATATCTTCCACTAGATCCTGACGGGTGGCGTGGAGGGATGGGGGAAATGGCGGGGAGGGGTGAGGAGGAATGAGAAGGGGAATGAGAGGGGAGAGAGGTTGGGAGCAGATGCTCGATCCGTGGAGAGGAGGAAGGGAGCCGACGCTCGGTCCGTGGAGAGGAGGAAGGGTGATGATATGATGGGAAGAGAGAGGCCAGGCGGTTACCCCCCCATTCACCTCATTCACCCTCCCCACCCCCAACCACTCACCACGAGCAGCAGGTAAAACCGCTGGCCGCTGCTGGACAGCCGCAGGTGCATGAGCCCCGGGCCGAGCGTCTGCTGCAGCGCTCGCACCCTGCCCGTGGCAGCAGCGCCGTGGGGCAGCGGCTGCAGAACCCAGTCGTCGACAGCGACCATGGTGGCGACAGAGTCCTCTATGCGGATGATGTTGAACTCGAGCGCCTCCTCCACACTGGGCCGCACGAGCTTTGAAAGAACAGGTGATAGGGTCAAACCCTGCTCTTCCAGTAACCTGTAGGGGAGTGGGGTGGAGGGCGAGGGGCAACACAGGGACAGAACTTTTAAAGTGTGGCTGCACCCCACCCACCTGCCACACACCTGCACTGCCCCACCACCCACCCACCTGCAGTGGTCCAGAGCAATGCGCACGCATTGAGTAGCAGCGTGCAGCCCCCCAGCAGCAGCAGCAGCAGCAGCAGCAGACGCTTGAGCAGCGAGACACAGACTCTGTCTCCCTCTGCGCCCACAGCAGCAGATCCCAAGCACCCACCCAATAGCACTGCAACACCCCACACCCACCACGCACCTGGACTGCCCCAACACCCCTCCCACCTGCTATGGCCCAGCACCCACCCACCTGCAGTGACCCACCTGCCACCCACCTGCAGTGACCCAGGGCGATGCGGACACACTCAGCGGCAGCGTGCAGGCCGCCAGCAGCAGCAGCGGAGGAGAGCACGTGGCGCTTGAGCAGCGACACACAGAACTCCGTCTCCCTCTGCGCCCACAGCAGCAGATCCGCCGCACACGCTGGGTCCGACGCGAATATGCGCGCTGAGTCCGTGGCTGCCTGGGATATGGCCGAGAACACCAGCTGCGGGTGTGGAGGGGAGGGGAGGGAACGAGGTGAGAAAACGGATACAAGGCCTCTCAAAATGGTGTGGGCTGTCACTGCCTGGGGAGAAAAGTGGGGGGAGAAATGGGGAAAGGGGAAAGGGGATGAGGGAGAGACACGTTAAGCCACCCACCCGTGACCATTCCAGGACCTTCACTCCCTTATCCCTCCCCACGCCTTCCCCTCCCTCACGGCCTCCCCCTCCCAACGCTCCCCGTCCCCTCACACACACTCACCTGCGCCAGGGCAGCAGTGTACGCCCCGCCAAAGCTCGTCCCGCGGGGGCGCAGCAGGCGGGATCCGCTCCTGATGCGCTCCCCGTACGCACCCAGCAGCAGCTGGTGCGCGCGCTCGGTCTCCCCCAGGCGGTACAGCGCGCCCACGGCCTGGCGCAGCTCCTGTCCGCGCACAGCCGCCTGCTGCGCCGTCTCCTCCAGCTGCGCCATCAGCCACGCGCGCCTCTCCGCGATCGCCGCCGCCAGCGCGTTCGCCGCGTCCGCGCTCAGTATCTCCTCGTCCTCCCCGCCCGCTCCGCCCCCGCCCCCTTTCCCCCCGCCTCCGCCCCCGCCCGCCCCGTCCCCTGCTGTCGCCAGCGCCAGCTGCACAATCTGCTGCCCCTGCTCCAGCAACTCTATAGCGCGGTCGACCTTCCGCTCCGCTATAAGAATATCCAGTATATCCGGGAGCGCCTCCGCGTATTTCTCAATCTCGGTGGGCTCGGGAACCTCGACGCTCCACAGCCGCTCGTCCTCCTCCTCGTCCTGCTGCGGGGTGGCTAACGAGGCCGCGTGAGACGAGGACGAAGCTCCGGCGAACGTGGACGAAGTACCAGCAGTGATAACCGACGAGGTAGTCGACGCAGGAGTCGACCCCCCACCCCCACCCCCACCACCAGAAGCGCTATTACTATTATCATTATTCATGCTATCCGCGGCTAGGGAATGGATGAGAGCGGTCTGCACGGAGAGGAGGTTCTTCATCTGCTGCAGCTCCACCTCGAGCTCCGCGATCTCCTTGGACGTGCCGATGAAGGCGGTGTAGTTGGCAAACACGCTCTTGCGCATCTCGTCCGCTGATACCCGCCGGTAGTCCGCCAAATCCCCCACCAGCAGCCGCACGCCCTGCAGGGCGTAAGGGGGAGGGAGTATGGGGGGGAGCGGGGAGGGGAATAAGGGGGGTTTCCGATGAAGGCGGTGTAGTTGGCGAACACGCTCTTGCGCATCTCGTCCGCTGACACCCGCCGGTAGTCCGCCAAATCCCCCACCAGTAGCCGCACGCCCTGCGGGGGGAGGGAGCGGGGGGTGAGGGGGGAAAGCGGGGGGAGCACGAGGGGATGCGGGGAGATGAACAAGGTGGGAATAAGCGCAGGAGGGGAAGGGGGGAAGGGGGGAAGGGGGGAAGGGGGGAAGGGGAAGAGGGGGAAGGGAAAGAGGAGCTGAAGTGTATGCCACGTACCCGCTCGTCCATGATCTGCATCTGGTCGTCCACATACTTCTCCGCGTCGAACTTGTCGTGCGAGAAATTCATCTTGCCGCCTCACTCGCTGCCACGCCGAGTGCCCGCGGAATGGGAGAGCCTCGGAAAAAGCTGGGAGGAGACGCGCTTCACTATGTGGAGCTTTACAACGGGTGGTGATCAGCCAAGGAAACCCTAACCGTGGGTAGCACCGGACCCAGAGGCGGAACGCGAAGGGCTACACGTGTATCCTGCGGTAAAACGTCTTAATGTCTTGCGGTAAATTAACCCTAATGTTAGCGCTGGTGCTAATTGCCGGCCAAATGTCGGAAAACTGAGCACTGGTATTATAGAGATTGAACATTAATATACGAAATCATAGAACTCGAATTTGCTAGAAAAAGATACAGGCTTTCGTACGTAGATAACCAGGTCGCTGCCATTGTGGCATCGAGTTACAAGTCTGGATGACGATAACGAGTTGAGGCGTAGAGGCGCCGACGCCACTGCGGCAACGCCATGGTAGCTACCGAGAGATTAGCGACGCGAGGAATGTGAAGCTGAGAAGTAAAGCTCCGGCATAATGAGTGATAATCAGTCTCTCGACACGTTACGGACCAGTAGCCATTCGTCACCAGCGGAACCAAGGTCCTCCCTCGTAAACGCCTCAGTTAAACATGAACGCTGACGAAGCGATTTAATTGACAATTTCACGAGACGTCCTCCCTATAACCGGAAATAACCACTATTCGGAACGCATCGGGGTGAAATGGCATCTAGCAGACTGCTAACTAATCAAATTGCCATCACATGTAGGTCTGGTGCTTCTTTTTGTGCTTGGCCCAGCCGGCCAGCACCAACCTTGAGCACTACGGTCCGAGCCAGAAAATGGTGCTCCCTCGGCCAGACCACCCGCAGCCCTGCACCTCCAAGGGCATGTGGGCTGTAGTGTAGACCACGGGGCGAACCTATTCTGGCTAGAGACCTTTGTAAAAACAATCACGAGGAAGTGATTAACGAGACAATTTTCGCGTTGACTTCGGCCACCGAAGCGTTGACATTGACCTGAAAGCCCACTACAATCCCCACATGCATTTTCGAAGCAGCGATGTTGGCATGTTTACATGGAAAACAAATTTACATTTATGCAAGCCCAACAAGCTCATTACAAACCAGGGCTCCTCCAGCACCTTGATCAGGCTTCAACGCTAGCAGAAGAACTATGGCGATTTGAACCCTGGTGGTACGTTGATGTGCTAGTTCAGAGTAGCCCGTTTGTTTTTCTGCTGGGTGGAGCTGCTGCGCGGTCGGACTGTGGGGAACTTGAACTTGAGTAAAATGGACTGTTGGGGCAGGATGTGTTTTGCCTGGTGGTATTGGGCGGTGTGTATCTTCATTCCGTCCGTCTCTTTGCTAGCTAGGGTGTATCCAATTGTTTGGCTGAACTTCCCTGCTATCTTTGTTGGGTTAGGTGATTCTTTCGCCTTTGTTTGGTTCGGGTGCATACACCTTACCATGCCTTACCATACCTCAGTTACTGACCATACCGTGCCTTTACCTTAGGGCGCGTGTGATCAAAGTTCGAACTTCCCAAAGTTCGAACTTTTAGAAAGGTTCTACACGGTAGGATACAATTGAGCGATGTCTCTCCACGATGCAAAGCGGTTTGAGTTCGAACTTTGACAAAAATCCTTGGATCACACGCGCCCTTACATCACCTTGCATCATTCATATGCACTGGCATATCACCCAGCTACGTATTCATCACTGCTACTGCTGTTTTTACGGTACTAATGCTGCTATGTGTACATCACTGATTTTGCTATTCCTGTTGTTGTGCTGTTCCCGGTGCCTTCTGTTGACCTGTGAAGGGCAGAAGGCGATGCAGGCAGGATGGGAAATTCATGAGAGACAAATACCACAAGGGGGGAGCAAAGTAAAAGAGGAGGAGAAGACTCTAGCTTTCGAAATTGCAAGGGGCAAGAGATACTACAAGGGAGAAGCATGCAGAAACCAGCTGAAACGAGACCCAGACGAGAAGAGAGGAGCATGCAAAGTGCTGGAGGAGCTGAGAGGGCCACCGTACTTGTGCAAGTGACTAAGTGTCAGAGGGAGTAGTCTGAAAGGACCAAGTCACCTGGAAGAAAGGGTAACCACCAAACAGGGGGAACCAGAAGAGAAGGAGGGCGCAAAGAGGGAATAAGGTGATCTATGTGTGCGGATTTTAAGTTGGGCTGCACAAGTGCGGTTTGAAGGCAGCGAGGCACAAGGACTCAGTCAAACATAGCATGGCAAGCATGGGAGGGTGGGTGCAGAACGGGGGAAAACACTCACCTCGTTTGAAAATATGGATTCGAGCCGCAGCAAGCGTAGGGTCTCCTCGAAATTCTTGACTAACAACTAGGAGTACTTAGAGTGGGAAAAAAGGTAGAATCAGGACTTGGTAAGTCCAACTTCAGTAAAGAACGTAGGCGTACGCGTTTCGGCCGTGAGGCCTTTTTCTTGCGCATGGGTGGGTGGGTGCAGAACGGGGGAAAACACTCACCTCGTTTGTTTCCAAGCAATCCTCCCTACTGTCCTTGCCTGCTTCCCCCTTTCCCTCCTTCCATTCTCCCCTCATTCCCTCAATTCATCCTTTCCTCCTCCCCTCATTCCCTCCTTCACTTCTCCCCTCCTCCCTTCCTATCCTGTAGTGCCACTGCATGCCCATTGATGGTGTTACTAACACCACGCCTGTTGCACGGCGCAAGGGAAAAGGGGAGAGCGTTGAGAGGGGCACAATCTCAGATGCTTGAGAAAGCCAAGAGCAATGCCAAGAGCAATGGCAGAAGCAATGTGAGAAGCAATGGCATCAACCAGAAGAAGCAGTGGAAACCAACTTGGATGAAGCGAAATCGAGTTCTAAGACTTGCCGCACGGCGACCTATATGCCCCTTCATCCCAGAAAGACCCGCCCAACCACTTACCATGCGGAAATTGTGAGCCATGCTCTGAGAAGGCTCAGAATGCGGATGCCAACACGGACAGCACCTCTTTGAGAAGCATTACCCCTTGGCAGGACTGTTGACGCATCCATGGGGCTCAGTGGGGAAGGCATAGGAACCACAGCAGCGAACGCAGCACAGAAACAACGAGCACAAAGGAGAGTGTGTCAGAAGCGGCAGAGAAAGTTGACTTGAAAGAAAAAATACTCGATTCTAAGACTTGCCGCGCGGCGACCTAGACTGCTCTGGCCCCCCTATAATCCGCCCAAATTTCTTACCATGCTGCTATGGCAAGCCAGTGTCTGGGACGGCTCAGAAGGCGGATCCTCTCTCCTCGCCCACACAACATCTGTCTGGGACTTACTGTCAACGTGTCCCTGGGTCTCAGTCAGGGAGACCACCGAACCAGAGCAGTGAATGCAACACAGCAACACGCACAGAGGAGAGGTCGTCAGCACCAGCAGTGGAAGCAGACTCAGAAAAAAAAAAAAAAAATCAGTTCAAAGACTTGCCTTGTGGCGACCTAGACTCCTCTTACCCCTCCCAATAGTCCGACTGAATCACTTTCCATGCTGCCACAGTGAGGCAGTTGCTGAGACGACTCCTCACTCGCACCGCTCCTCACTGAAGCGCCAACCGTGAGAAGCACGGATCCTCACTCAAACAGCACCGCTCTGAGAAGCAAAAGCCTTGGCAGGACTCAGTGTATGATCCTCAGTGCAGGAAGCACCACCAGAGCCACAGCAGCAAACACAGCGCAGCAAACACAGCCTCAGTGTATGATCCTCAGTGCAGGAAGCACCACCAGAGCACAGTGGAGAGTGCGTCAGGAGCAGCAGAGGAAACCGACTCGGAACGAACAGGAATTGATTCTAAGACTTGCCGCACGGCGACCTAGACTGCCTTACCCCCCCAATACACCCGCCCAGCCACTCACTGTTCTGCCGGGGTGAGCCGAATTCTGTGGCGCCCTCAGAAGGTGCATCCTCACTCCTCACTCACACCACACCTTCCTGAGACACATGGAGAGCAGAGCACCCCACCAGAGCAGTGAACAGAGCACGGGTACAAGCACAGAAGAGAGTGCGTCAGCAGCAGCAGTGGAAACAGACTCGAAAGGAACAAAACTCGATTCTATGACTTGCTGCATGGCGACATAGACTTCTTTGACCCTCCAGATCAATCCGGCAAACAACTTACCATACCGCAAAGTGACACAGCGAAACAGTATACTGCCTTGTAGCGCCTGCATTCCCGCTGCTGATCCCTCCCCTGCCTCCTCCCGTCGATCCTGTAGTTGTGTCCATGCGCCTCAGTCAAGGGGGGACCGAACCAGAGTAGAACACGACCGAAGCAGAAGAACAAGCACAGGGGAAAAAGCACACAAGAATAAGCACAGAAGAGAGTGCGTGAGAATCATCAGTGGAAACGGACTGAGAAGAAATCATTTCAGGTCTACGACTTGCCGCACGGCGACCTAGACTGCTCTGACCCCCCAATAGACCCGGCCAACGACTTACCACATTGCCATGGTGTTCAAATCCCCAAGAGAGAAACGGCGGATCCTCCCTCACTCTCGCAGAGACCCTCCATGGGACGAACCACCCCTTGCGCAGGCAGGGCTGTTGTCTCGTGCATGGGCCTCAGTCAACACATCACAGCAACACGCACAGGGGGGCGAGCGTCAGAATCATCAGAGAAAGCAGACCCAGAAGAGGACAAACGTGATTCTATGACTTGCTGCGCGGCGGCTTAGAATGATCTGCCCCCCCTCATAGATCCGTCCAACACCATACCATAATGGGGCGGTGAGCCAGTTTCAGAGGCGGCTCAGAAAGCGGATCCTCACTCGCAAAGCCCGGGACGAACCACCCCTTGGCAGGCAGAACTGTTGTTTCGTCCTTGGGTAGATTCTGAGACGGGATGCACCTCCTTGGGGCAGGATGGCTACTGGCAGAGCAGCTCCTTGGGACGGGATGCACCAGCACGCCTTGGCAGACAGGACGGTTGGGTTTGGGACATACCTGGGCCTCAGTCAAGGAGGCATCCGAACCAGAGCAGCAAACAATGCGGGAACAAGCACAGATGCACGAGCGTCAGAAGCAGCATAGAAAGTGGACTCGGGATAAGCAAAACCGGATTCTGAGACTTGCCGCGCGGCGACCTAGACTGCTCTGCCCCCCCGTTAGTTCCGCCCACCAACGTACCATACTGCGGTGGTGAGCCTGTTTCTGAGACGGCTCAGAAGGCGGATCCTCCCTCGCAGAGCCCTGGCCTGGGACGAACGACCCCTTGGCAGACAGAACTGTTGTCTCGGCCTTGAGCAGATTCTGAGACGCCTTCGCAGTCTGTGACACCACCTTGGGACGTGATGCACCACCACGCCTTGGCAGGCAGGAGTGTTGGGGCGTGCATGGGCCTCAGTCAAGGAGGCACCCGAATCAGAGCAGCAAACACAGCACAACAAAGGATAAAGCACAGAGGAGAGAGCGTCAGAAGCAGCAGAGCAAGTGGACTCGGAGGAAGCAAAACCTGATTCTATGACTTGCCGCTCGGCGACCTAGACTGCTCTCCCCCCCCACCCGATAGACCCACTTAACGACTTACCATATTGTCATGGTGGTCAGATCGCGGGATGTCACTGACATCATGTCAGCAGTGGCGGATCCTCACTCACTCGCAGAGCCCCTCCCCGGGCGAACCACCCTTGGCAGGCACGGCTGTTGCCCCGCCCAGAGGGCATATCCTGTGTCGCCTCTGCAGTCGGGTCGTTACTGGCAGAGCCCCTCCCTGGGACGGGATGCACCAGCACGCCTTGGCAGAGCCCCTCCTTGGGACTCGTCCTTGGCGTGCATGGGCCTCAGTCGTGGAGGCACCCGAACCACAGCACAGGAAAAAGCACAGAAGAGAGTGTGTCAGAAGCAGCAGAGGAAACGGACTCGGAAGAAACAAAAGGCGATCTAAGACTTGCCGCACGGCGACCTAGACTGCTCGACCCCCCCAGTAGATTCGGTCAAGAGCTTACCATAGCAGAGTAACACCGTCCCTCTTCCGCCTCCCGCAATCCGTTCCTCCGCGCAATCCCCATTTCCCCGCGCAATCCGCGTTTCTCAGCGCAATCCGCGTTTCTCCTCGCAACAGCACAGGAACAAGCACAGGGGAGAGAGCGTCAGAAGCAGCAGAGGAAACGGACTCGAGAGAAACAAATAAATTACTCTAAGACTTGCCACGTTGAGACTTAGCCTGCTCGACCCCCCCAGTAGATTAGGTCAAGAGCATACCATACTGCAGAGTAGAACCGTCCCTCTTCCGCCTCCCGCAATCCGCGTTCCTCCGCGCGATCCCCATTTCTCCGCGCAATCCCCATTTCCCCGCACAATCCGCGTTTCTTCGCGCAATCCGCGTTTCTCATCGCAACAGCACGGGAACAAGCACAGGGGAAAGAGCGTCAGAAGCAGCAGAAGAAACGGACTCGAAAGAAACAAATATTTTTTTCTAAGACTTGCCGCGCGGCGACCTAGACTGTTCGACCCCCCCAGTAGATTCGGTCAAGAGCTTACCATAGCAGAGTAACACAGTCCCTCTTCCGCCTCCCGCAATCCAACGCGGCGTTACTCCGCGCAATCCCCATTTCTCCGCGCAATCCCCATTTCCCCGCGCAATCTGCGCTTCTCCTCGCAATCCGGGTTTCTCCTCGTAATCCGCGTTTACCCGCTGCTGCTGGGGTCAGCCCGCGTCGAAGCTGTCTCACACACAGCTGCTCTCATGTCGATCCCTCTGTTGCAATGCTCTGCGTTCCGCAGTATTGCTGAATCCTTCACGCTTCTCAAGTCAATCCCGAACGATAGCGAAACTCGGCGATCCCAGGTCGAACGGAAGAGAAACTCGGCGAACTGCATGAAACTCCGCGAACACTCTTCGAGAGGCATTAATACTTGGCAAACGACAGCAGCTCTGCGAAAGGCTGCCGGCGCTCGGCGAACGGCACCGGAAGTCGGACAACGACGGCGAAACTTGGCAACCGCTACCTAAGGTCCATCCAGCATCTTTGAACAGTGTACTACCGTCGTTACTCATCCTGCATCTTCGAACAGTGCACTACGGTCGTTACTCTATCCTGCCTCTTCGAACCGCGTCTCAGAGTCTTCTAGTAAGGTTGCTACCCTATCCTCCGCTGTAGAACTGCTAATTGTATCCGAAGGATGGCTCCGACTTAGAACCAGGAAAACCGAGTCGCGACTTAAACTGGTTTTTACTAGTAGAAGAGTCAGTTGTCTCACATAAGGCGGATTCGGAAAGAAGCATCTTTTACTGAGAAAACTGCGAGCTGGCGTCGTTTCAGTCGGAATAATCTCTAGCAGCCAAAGAGGAGTTCAGGAGTCTAGACAACTGATCGCTGGGCAGACAATGGGACAAAGCTGAGAGAGCTGGGTAAGAGGGAGTGTTGCTGAGAGAACTGACAGATGGGACTAAGCTGAGAGCCGACAATGGGACTAAGCTGAGAGCCGACAATGGGACTAAGCTGAGAGCCGACAATGGGACTAAGCTGAGAGAGCCGACGATGGGACTAAGCTGAAAGAGCCGATAATGGGACTAAGCTGAGAGAGCCGACAATGGGACTAAGCTGAGAGAGCCGACAATGGGACTAAGCTGAGAGAGCTGGGTAAGGGTAGGAGGTTGGAAAAAGTGGGCTGTGGAGGGAGGGGTCCAATTTTAGTTCGTGTCCGTAGGGATGACATGTCAACAAGGGCGTGTCAACCCGAAGCGCTTTCGAGCTAGAGTGTCAAACACTGTAGCTGTAGTGTCAAGTCGAAGCGCATGTGCGAACATCAGCGACGCAATTTCATTGGTTGGAGAACCTGTCATTTGTAGACCTCATAGGCAGTGAACGTATCGAAAGAAAGATGATTGGAGAAGGTGTTTGCTGATTGGGCAGTACCTGGTCGTGGGATATGCAGCTGCGACAATCTTCTCTCGTTTGTAGGTTTCAATGATGTGCCAAAACAGAAAGTGCCCGACGATTTGTATTGGCTGGCAACCTGCAAATTCTTGACACTCTGCCAACAATGTTGGCTGAGTGTCAAAATGCCAAATTGACACTGCCCATTTGACATGTCATCCCTACGGACACGACCTTAGTGTTAGCGGCGGCGCGGCACCTCTGACAACCTCGATGGAAATTGGCGGCAGAATCGAGGCGCAAAGTGGTGGAACCCGGTAAAAGAACTGCAACTTCACAGCTGATCCCATACATTAATTTTCTTATAGATAATCTAACAGAAACTATAATTTAGCTGCTATATTATTTATGATATATGTGAGATATTATATGCAAATTTCATTGTTTAAAATATTTCCCTAAGCTTGCAAACCCGCATGCATACATGTGCTTTTGGAATCAAGGAATGCTAAGAGATACTGCATGAAGAATTCTTTCGGCTGAACATTTGTGCTGTTTCTAGATGCTCTGGCAGGGGTTGCTTGTTTGTGTCGTACTATTATATCGTTAGGAGTAGCTGCAACACCATTTTTTGTTTCAAAATCCTACCATAATCACTTCACCTTTCTAATTCTCGCAACCAATACTACAAATCCACAATCCATGACACAAATGCGGCATCAACCCACATCTACACAATGTCACATCACAGCCGCAACCTTTTCCCCTTGGCTTCCTGTCGCGCATGCAAATCGAGATTCTTCAAAAGAGCCCGAGCCAGCAGCCTGACCATTGGAGGGCACGTAGCGGCAGCAGCAGTGGCACGAATGGTACGTGAAGCGCCGGCCTCGGAGAGAAGATTGATGTGGTGGGTGGTGTGGCGGGCGTGCGGCATGGTGAGTTGCAGGAGGGCAAAGGCAGCACAGGCGCGCAGAGAGGGGGAGGGGCTTCGTAGCATGACGACGAAACGAGCAATCTCGGCCGCACTGAGGGGAGGGGGAATCGGAAAGGTAGGGGCAATGGGTGAGAAGGGGAAAGGAAGATGACGAAGAAAGGTAGAAAATATTGAGAAGCGACGAGCTCACAAGATATGTTGATGAACCAAGTGAATTCCGCAGCTTGTTGCGTTGCTGCTAGAGGCATTACAGCACGTTCCTACCCATACCACAACACTCTCCCCATACCACAACACTCACCCCATACCACAGCACTCACCTGCACCTCAGCAGCCCCGCCTCCTGAATGCGGCAGTTCTGAGAGAATTCCATGAGGGCAGCATCATCTGCTGCTGCCAGCCGTGCTCCCAGGTGCCGCGTGAACCCCGCTGACATGGGCGGCGGCAGATCTCCTGAACCAGAACCTGAAGCGTTGGATGGCCCAGCAGCAGGGGAGGTGAAAGTGTGGGTGCAAGCAGGAACGTTCCGAGCCGCAGAGCCAGGTGTGGCCGAGCCTGTGGCTCTTCCACCCAGCGCAGCCTCTTCCTCATCAGAATCTGATTCGATCGCTCTTCTCCCGCGTCCCCTCCCTCGCCCTTTCCTTGCTCTTCTGCTTCTGCTTGCTGCTGCTGTTCCAGGCAACCCATCCTCCTCATTTTCCTCTGCCTCTTCTTCCTCCCCCTCCTCATTCCCCAATGCCGAAGCTCTCCTCTTCCTAGACCCTCCCGCCCTCTGCCTGCTCCCTCTGCTCCGAAACTCCCCTTCCTCCTCTTCCTCCTCTATCGCCCTCCTCCTCTCCCTCTCCCTCTCCCTCGCTTGCTCTGCCTCCTCACGCTCGTGCAGGAAGCATCTGAGAAACCACTCAATGACGTGCAGACCAAGCTGCTGCTGCAGCTGCAAGGTTAGAGGGTACTCTAGTTCAGGCGCTACTGCTTCTGCCGCTGCCACCATTTCTGCATCTTTGCTGCAAGACGGAAAATGGACGCAGATGAGGAAGGGAGGTGACTTATTGAGTAAACTGGTAAAGGAGCCACAACCGGTTTTGGGGGCACGCTAGTTCAGGCGCTACTGCTTCTGCTGCTGTAATAATCTCTGCATCTTTGCTGCAAGACGGTGAGAATGAAGCAGGGTAGGGAGGGAAGTGAATTAAGGAAGCCATGAAGGAGCCATGAAGGAGCCTCAAACAGTAGTGCTGCCAAGCAGGGATGGGGAGGGATGAGAGGGATGATAATATGGGCATGCAAGGAGGAAAGCTCTCCAGCCATAGAAGAGAAGACTTATGAGTCGACTCAGAAAACACATGCCAAGCCGCATGGTTTGAGATGCATGGTTTGAGATGCATGGTTTGAGCTGCATGGTTTGAGCTGCATGGTTTGAGCTGCATGGTTTGAGCTGCATGGTTAGAGATGCATGGTTTGAGCTGCATGGTTTGAGATGCATGGTTTGAGATGCATGGTTTGAGCTGCATGGTTTGAGCTGCATGGTTTGAGATGCATGGTTTGAGGTGCATGGTTTGAGGTGCATGGTTTGAGCTGCATGGTTTGAGATGCATGGTTTGAGCTGCATGGTTTGAGGTGCATGGTTTGAGATGCATGGTTTGAGATGCATGGTTTGAGATGCATGGTTTGAGTTGCATGGTTTGAGCTGCATGGTTTGAGCTGCATGGTTTGAGATGCATGGTTTGAGGTGCATGGTTTGAGGTGCATGGTTTGAGGTGCATGGTTTGAGATGCATGGTTTGAGCTGCATGGTTTGAGATGCATGGTTTGAGCTGCATGGTTTGAGCTGCATGGTTTGAGCTGCATGATTTGAGCTGCATGGTTTGAGCTGCATGGTTTGAGATGCATGGTTTGAGCTGCATGGTTTGAGCTGCATGGTTTGAGATGCATGGTTTGAGGTGCATGGTTTGAGGTGCATGGTTTGAGGTGCATGGTTTGAGATGCATGGTTTGAGGTGCATGGTTTGAGGTGCATGGTTTGAGATGCATGGTTTGAGATGCATGGTTTGAGATGCATGGTTTGAGATGCATGGTTTGAGCTGCATGGTTTGAGCTGCATGGTTTGAGATGCATGGTTTGAGCTGCATGGTTTGAGATGCATGGTTTGAGCTGCATGGTTTGAGATGCATGGTTTGAGCTGCATGGTTTGAGATGCACGGTTTGAGGTGCATGGTTTGAGCTGCATGGTTTGAGGTGTATGGTTTGAGATGCATGGTTTGAGCTGCATGGTTTGAGGTGCATGGTTTGAGGTGCATGGTTTGAGGTGCATGGTTTGAGCTGCATGGTTTGAGCTGCATGGTTTGAGCCCATCAGAACCTACCTGCCATCGCACATGTATGCTAGAGCAAGAGACGCCATAAATCCAGCCATGGGAGACGCTTTCCAACGAGCACCGTCGGCAGGAGAACGAGCAGCAGCGGCAATAGCAGCAGCATCGGCATCGGCAAGAGCAGCACGGATAGCAGCGGTAGTCGCAGCAGCACCAGCACCGGCGGCAGTGGCAGCAGCAACAGCGTGAAGGGCAGCCTCTGCTGCTGGATCAGCAGCAGCGAAGTTGCGATTGTTGGGTAAAACAGGATGGAGAGGGAGCGTGCGGGCAGGAGGAGGAGGGGGGGACTGCGGCAGCAGCTCATGCCAGGCAAAGCCACCAACAGTAGCAACAGCAGCACTGGCGCGACCAGCAGCAGAACCACCAGCAGCACGGCCACCAGCAGCACCAGGAGCACGAGAAGGGTTTGTAGAGGATGGGGAAGTGTGGGCAGTGGTGGTGGTTCTAGGAGTGGATGTTGAGGAAGGGGAGTAGGAGCAGGAGGGGGAGGTGGGTTCAGAGGAGAAGTGGGAGAGGGCAGAGGGCGGCAGGGAGGCAGCAATGATTGCGCCCATGACGGGCACGCCACTGTTCACGAGAATGCGGGCGGCGTTGCTTGGATTGAAGGCTAGGTTCCAAAGCGCGCCAGTGGCAGTCTCTTGGACCTCCTGCAAGGAGAGCAGGGAATGATGTGAAGGATGGGAAGTATGAGGGGAGTGTGAAAGGATCGGACCAGATGGGGAGTTTATGAAGGGATAAAAGGTGGGAGGGAACAAAGGCGTTGGAAAACAGAGGCGTGGAGAAAACACCCACAAGAAAATTCTGCATGGCAATCATCCATGATTCCACACGATCCCTGCATGCGTCCCCATGCTGCACTCACCCCATGCTACCTCCTCATCCCCATGCTGCACTCACCCCATGCTACCTCGTCATCCCCATGCTGCACTCACCCCATGCTACCTCCGCATCCCCATGCTGCACTCACCCCATGCTACCTCCTCATCCCCATGCTGCACTCACCCCATGCTACCTCCTCATCCCCATGCTGCACTCACCCCATGCTACCTCGTCATCCCCATGCTGCACTCACCCCATGCTACCTCCTCATCCCCATGCTGCACTCACCCCATGCTACCCCCTCATTCACTACCCCCTCAACCCCCTCACCCCACTCTACCTCCTCAACCCCACTACCCCCTAACCCCATGCTGCACACCAGCACCTGCTTGCGCGACTGTGCAAGGCTCAGGAGAGTCTCCACACCACCCACCCGACCAATGGCCTCACTGCATGACCCCATGCTTCCCCCTCAATCACTACCCCCTCAACCCCCTCACCCACTACCCCCTGACCCCATGCTGCACGCCACGCACCTGCTTGCGCGACTGTGCAAGGCTCAGCAGAGTCTCCACTCCACCCGCCCGACCAATGGCCTCACTGCACGCGGCCACGGAGGGAAAACAGCCAAGGGGAGAATCCCAGCACAGGAATCACAGGGGCTGCGGGGCTCATAAGAGGGCTTAGGGCCCCAAGCGGGGCCATGCCAGCTTTTGAGTCGACTCAAGAGGGGCCATGCCATGCTACATTGGGGCCATGCCATGCTACATTGGGGCCATGAAACTGCAACGGAAGGGATCAAGAAGGGAAACAAGCTGTTGGCCTTGGAGACAGGGAGGCCCCATAGGCTGTCGGCGGCTCGCTCCTGGGTGTCCTCTGCTGCACCGGGCAGACAGACACGACTCCTGGGCCAGCATTGCCTCACCACAGCACAGCACCCACCCGGATCATTCACATGTACTGTGTGTTTGATAGCACCCGTGTAGCAACCGTGTTTGATCCACAACATACGTGTAGCAACCAGCAGGAACACACCTGTTGGCTTCGGAAACACAGAGCCCCCATAAGGCGCCCGGCGCCCGCTGCTCGCACCTGAGTGTCCTCTGCTACGCCGGGCGAACCAACGCCTGCACCCCCCCATGCTAGAGCCGGCACAGGGCTCCCAGTACTGTACTGTGGGCACAAGACACCCAAGACGCACCTGTTGGCTTCAGAAACGCTGAGTCCCCACAAAGCACCGGCGGCTCGCTCCTGCGTGTCCTCTGCTGCACCGGGGAGGCACGACTCCTGGGCCAAGCGAACCAACGCCTCCACTCCCCCTGCTGCTGCGATCGCCTCCCTGTTGCGTTCGTCGAATGATAGATTCCACAGTGCTCCTGCTCCCTCTTGTCTGCACCCGTGGGGGAGACGTGTGGGCAAGGGGAAAAAGAGCGAGAGTGGTGGAAAGGGATGACACTCTGAGCTTCATGCTCTAGCTGCTGCTGCTTCAATCACATCCCTGTTACCGTCCTCGAATGATAGATTCCACAGTGCTCCTGCTCCCTCTTGCCTGTGGCGTGAAGGGGAGGGGAAGGGGGAGAGGAGAGCCAAACAAGGCAACGGTTGAGAGTATGGAGTTGCTGCTCCTGCTATGGCCTCCCTGTTGCCATCGTCAAATGATAGATTCCACAGTGCTCCTGCTTTTTGCCTGTGCCGCGCAGCGTTAAAGGGGAAAGGGGGAGATTAAGGCAAGACGGGATGATCTATGATTGCTGCTTCATCTGCCACTGCCTCACATCACACCTCATGCTCTCGCCATTGTCACAACCAGCAACTGCTCTCCTTACAGTCACACCCCACCCACCGAATGCTCGTTCCTCAGTCACACCCACCAAAGGCTCATTTTACAGTCACAACCACTTGATCCCCTCTTCACAGTCACACTTGCAATCATGCCCATCTTAAGCTTCCATGTGGCAAGCGCAGCAGTGCCACCAGCATGGGGATGACAGAAGGTTCTGCGGTTGCACTTACCTTGCAGCCCACGGCCACTTACCTTGCAAGGTTCTGCCACGACAGCAGCAGAGTTGCGGTTGCAGTCGCCGTGGGCTGCAAGGTTGATGCTCTCATTACTGTCACACCCACCGTATGCTCTCCTTACAATCACACCCCACCCACCTTAAGCTTTTGTTTGGTGACTGTAAAGCTGCCAGCACAGGGACGGCAGAGTTGCAGTTGCAGTCACTGTGTGCTGAGAGGTTAGCAAGGGCCCTTGCATTGCGGCCTGCTCGAGCACGAGGTCACACCCACCGTATGCTCTCACGACTGTCACACCCACCGTATGCTCTCACTACTGTCACACCCACCGTATGCTCTCACTACTGTCACACCCACCGTATGCTCTCATTACTGTCACACCCCACCAACCTTAAGCTATCGTTCGGTGACTGTAACAAAGCAACCAGGGCCGGGATGGCAGACGGCTCAGCCCCGACAGCAGCGGGGTTGCGGTTACAGTCACCATGGGCAGCGAGGTTAGAGAGGGCCCTGGCAGCCTGCTCAAGCACGAGGTCACACCCACCTGATCCTCTCCCTAGTGTCACACCCACCTGATCCTCTCCCTACTGTCACACCCACCTGATCCTCTCCCTACTGTCACACCCACTTTAAGCTTTCATTTGGTGACTGCAGCAGTCCCACCAGCGCGGGGATGGCAGACGGCTCTGCTCCAACAGCAGCGGAGTTGCGGTTGCAGTCGCCATGGGCTGCGAGGTTGGCGAGGGCCCTGGCAGCCTGCTCGAGCACGAGGTCGTGGCGGCACCCCACCAGCACGCGCACCAGCGCCGCCACCCCTCCCCGCTCCACTATGGCCGCGCTGCACCCGTCGTCCACTGCTAGGTTGGCCAATGCACCTGTCACCCGCTCCTGTCCACAGGTAAAAGGGGGGAAGAGCGGGGAAGGTGGGGGAGAAGGGGGGGCAGGAGGGTGGGGGGGAGTAGAGGGATTGAAGCGGAGAAAGGGAGACGTCAGAACCCCACCAGCACACGCACCAGCTCCGTCACCCCTCCCCGCTCCACTATGGCCGCGCTGCACCCGTCGTCCACAGCTAAAATCGCCAGGGCGCCCGTCACCCGCTCCTGATAGGGGAGAACGGGGGAAAAGGAGGGGAGGAGGAAGTAGCGACTGAAGGCCAATTTGCCACTACGGCCGCGCTGCACCCGTCGTCCACTGCTAGGTTTGCCAGGGCGCCCATCACCCGCTCCTGATAGGGGAGGATGGAGGGTGGAATATGTGGGGTGAACGAGGATAGGGCACTATGGCCCTGCCTCAACCATATTGTTCAGTGACAGCATGTCCACTCAGGGAGGTAAGAAAGAGGGGGATGGGGGGAAAGGGATGGGGGGGAAAGGGATGGGGGGGAAAGGGATGGGGGGGAAAGGGATGGGGGGGAAAGGGATGGGGGGGAAAGGGATGGGGGGGAAAGGGATGGGGGGGGAAAGGGATGGGGGGGGAAAGGGATGGGGGGGAAAGGGATGGGGGGCGGAGGGAGAGCAACGAGGGGGAGCGAAAGGGTAGGTTTGGAAAAGTAATGGCTAATGATGAAACGAGATAAGGGGCTAATGACGAAACGAGATAAGGGGCTAATGACGAAACGAGATAAGGGGCTAATGACGAAACGAGATAAGGGGCTAATGACGAAACGAGATAAGGGGCTAATGACGAAACGAGATAAGGGGCCAAAAATCCCTCATACCCTAACTGCCACATGTAAGGCTAATGTAAGCTTACATGTGGCAGTTAGGCTAATGACGAAACGAGATAAGGGGCCAAAAATCCGGCTCTGCCGGTTAGAGAATGCATCAAGTTATGGAGGGAGAGGAAGGGTTACGACGGCAGAAGAGAGTAAACGATGATACGTGCATGTCAATAGAGGCGAAGAAGAAGAGAGAGAGAGGAGGAGAGATGAGGAAGAGAGGAGGAAAGGAGGAGCAGAGGCGAGGAGGAGGGGGAAAGGAGGAGCAGAGGCGAGGAGGAAAGGAGGCTCAGTGGAGTGAAGGAGAGGAGGGAGGGAGGACTCCATTCCTCTCTCCTTGGAGTGGAGTGGAGGAGAGGAGGGAGGGAGGGAGGACTCACGAGGTGTGTTTTGAGTCGACTCAAAACACACCTGGAGGGAGGGAGGACTCACGAGGACACATTCGCCTTGGAGGCCGAGAGCCGGAGGAGGAGTGGTGGCCATAAGGTCTACCAACGTGGCTATGCCCCCCGCTCGCCTGATGTATGTCTGAGAGGAGTGGGAGAGGGGAGGAAGGGGAGGGGGATGCGAGGGACGAGGAAAGAGCGTTCTGTTTCTTTATCTAAGGAGAGATTGGGAGGGGGTGGAAAAGGGAAGAGGGGGGTGGAAAAAGGAGGGGAACGAAAGAAGGGAAAGGAGGGGGGAAGGGGTTAAAGAGAAGTGCATTGGAGTGAGCGTGGGAGTAGTGTTTTTCTTTCGAGTAAAGTCACAAATCGTGGCAATAACCCACCTTGTACTCGTCAGCCACTGATATGTTCCAGATCGCCCCTGCAGCACTCCCACGCCCCCCATTCACGGTGAATGATTCACCACCACCTCCCAGTCGAGTGCATACCCAAAAGTCAATTCAAATGACCCACCTTGTATTCGTCAGCCACTGATAGGTTCCAGAGCGCCCCTGCAGCAGCTTCAGCTATGAAGCCGTTGGAGTGAGCGAGGAGGGATAGCAGCACTCCCACTCCCCCCACCCTCACCACCTCCCTTGCCACATCCACACTCACTGACAGATTCGCCAGGGCCTGACGGGTGGGGGCGGTGCGGGAGGAAAGGGCAGGGTGGAGTGCAGTGGTTGGATGGGGAGGAGACAAGGTTTCTGGATGATGTCAGGTTGCCCTTGACAGCTCCCCCAACCCTCACCACCTCCCTTACCACATCCACACTCACTGACAGATTCGCCAGGGCCTGAGGGGTGGGATGAGGGGGAAGGGGTAGGGCAAACGGGGAATGGAAAGGGCGTTTGAAAACCGTAAGCTTGGTCTTGACTTGACACCTTCCCCCCACTCACCACCTCCCATGCCTCATCCACACTCACTGAAAAGCGGAAGAAAAGAGGGGATGGCAGGGGAAAGGGTGGCAAGGGAAAGGCAGAGGGGATGGAGTGAAAGCAGTTGAATGGAAGGGTATTTGGAAACTGTCAGCTTGTTTTTTTCTGCCTTAACTGCCACAGATGTGATATTCCCCACTCGCATACCTTGGTTGCCTCGAACCGTGGCCCCTCAGGCCCTTGTCGGCCTGCCGTGTGAACCAGCGCCTCCACTCCGCCCCCTCGCACAAACATACAGACGCACTCACACCACAAACCAGCACCACCACATACCCCAACAGCAACATACAAGCCCTCGCCCTCGCATACCTTTGTTGCTTCAAACCGTGGCCCCTCAGGCCCGTGCCGGCCTGCCATGTGAACCAGCACCTCCACTCCGCCCCCTCGCACAAACATACAGACGCACTCACACCACAAACCAGCCCACCACATTCCCCAACAGCAACATACAAGCCCTCGCCCTCGCATACCTTTGTTGCTTCAAACCGTGGCTCCTCAGGCCCGTGCCGGCCTGCCATGTGAACCAGCACCTCCACTCCGCCCCCTCGCACAAACATACAGACGCACTCACACCACAAACCAGCACCACCACATACCCCAACAGCAACATACAAGCCCTCGCCCTCGCATACCTTTGTTGCTTCAAACCGTGGCTCCTCAGGCCCGTGCCGGCCTGCCATGTGAACCAGCACCTCCACTCCGCCCCCCCGCACAAATGCACTCATACCACAAAACCCCACTATCTCATACCCTAACTGCCACATGTAAGCCCTCGCCCTCGCCCTCGCCCTCGCCCTCGCCCTCGCCCGCATACCTTTGTTGCTTCAAACCGTGGCCCCTCCGGTCCGTGCCGACCTGCCATGTGAACCAGCACCTCCACTCCTCCCCCCCGCACAAACGCACTCACCCGCCCACTGCTCCCCGCCTCCCCCACTACCCCGCCCACCCATCACCATATCCCACCCGTCACCCTGTCGCCCTCCCCTCCCTCCTCCCCCCTCCCCCCTCTCCTCCTCCACCCACACCTCCCCCTCCTCTCAACTCCCCTGCCCCCATCCCACCGCCTCCCCCCATCCTCCCTCCTGCTCCTCTCCCTCCCTGCCCCACTCCCACCTCTCCCTCCTCCTCCCCACCTCCTCCTCCACCCCCTCCAACTCCTCCTCTTCAAATCCGGCCCCAATAGAGTCAGCGACCGCAAACACCCCCACCGTCGCTGCTGCTCTCTCTCGCACCTCCTGCTGCCGGCTCTGCAGCAGCAGCAGCACGGCCGGAGTGCCCTGGCTCACCCAGAAATCCTCCCTCGCCTCCCACCTTCTCCACTATCACTCCTCCTCCGCCTCCTCCTGCTTCTCCCTCCTCCTCCTCCTCCTCCTCCTCCTTCTCCTCCTCCTCCTCCTCCTCCTCCTCCTCCTCCTCCTCCCTCCTCCCTCCTCCTCCTCCTCCTCCTCCTCCTCCTCCTCCTCCTCCCCTCCTCCTCCTCCTCCTCCTCCTCCTCCTCCTCCCCTCTCTCCCACCCTCCCTGCCCCATCCCCTCGCCTTCCTCCTCCCGCCCCTCCTCCCCCCACAACACCTCCCAATCCCCCTCTTCCCCTTCCCCCTCCCCCCCACCCCCCTTCCCACCCCATAGGCTCCAACCGCTCCGCCAACGAATGCAGAGCTCGCACCAGAATCAGCTCCGTCCAATCAGAGAGCTCCACGCAGGCACTCCGGGGCCCACCGCCGCCCAGAGCTCTGGTAATGTGGAGCACGAGAGCTCTCACCTGGCTCTCCTCCGATGCAGCAGCGCTCTCTTCTGAAACAGCAGCGCCCTCCGCGGATGGGGCTGGGAACATGGGCGTGTGAGTGGTTTCCTCCTCCCTCGCTGCCGTGCTTGCTGCTGCTGCTGCTGCAGTTGCTGCTGCTGTTGCTGCTGCTGCTGCTGCTGCTGCTGCTCTTCCTGCTCCCCTTCCTGCTGCTCGTGCTGCTGCGGCTGCTCCTCCTGCTGCTGGTGGTGCTACTTGTGGCGCTGCCTCTTCATCTGCTGCTCCTCTTCCTCCTCCAACTCCTCTTCCCCGTCCTCCTCCTCCTCGACCTCCACCTCTTCGACCTCCAGAGGCAGCAGTTGTAGCAGCAGCAGCAGCAGCGGTGCCGGCTGTAGCAGCGGCGGCTGTGGCGGCAGCAGCTGTAGCAGACCTGGTTTGGCGTCCCGAGGGAGTCTGACGTGTGGCTGTTGCCGGTGTTGCTGGTGTTGCTGCTGGTACTTCTGGTGCTGCTGCTGCTGGTGTTGCAGCTGCTGCTACTGGTGTGCCGACAGGTGGCACTGTATATGATGCTCCTGCAGTAGGAGTGTCCAACGTTGCTGCCGCTGGTCTCTTAGGCTGGTAAAAACTCCAGAGGCAGGAGGGGTCGCTGCAGGAAAGGGCAAGCGCGAGGAGAGCCAGACGAAGATCGCCGTACCTGAACAGCAAAAGACAAGGCTTGCTAGGCATTTTGATGGCCTCGCGAAAGGTTTCCAGCACGGGACAGCTGAAAGCAGCAACCATTAGGACGGAAGGGGATGCTAGAATAAGGTTGACAGCTTCGGGAGAGATGTCCGAACGTGACACGTCCAAGGCTCGCAGGTTCGGCAGCTGAGCCACGTCCGAAGCTGCCCGACGCCAGGACACGTCCGGAGCTGCCCGATGCGAGGACACGTCCGAGCCTGAAAGCGACAGGTACCGGACCTGTTGCAGAAGCGCCAAGCCTCCCCGATCCTCAAACCTGAGACAATTAACGAGCGAGAGATTGTATAGCCGCGGACAGTGCCGTGCCAGGGCTGCAAGGCACGCCTGATCAACCCTCCTTAACCCATTTAAATGGAGATCCTCTAAACGCGGACAGGATTCTGCCAGCACGCAGATTGCGTCAGGGGAGAGCCTCTCGCAATTGGAGAGCGACAGCTGGCGCAGGCGCGCGTGGCGGCCGAGGATAAGCCCGAGGGACGCGTCAGAAAGATCGGCGCAGGATTCGGCAAAGAGGTGCTGGAGGGAGGAGCCTGGGGGAGAGGCTTGGGCCGAGCCTGATGACGAGCCTCGGGCAGAGCCTCGGAAAGAGGTCCAAGGAAAGGTCCTAGAAGAGCCCTCACAACCTCGCATGCTGGCAGCCGTTGTGCCGGTTCCACGCGTGCCCCTGAATGGGCTTCCTGTGCCGGTGCTACTGTTGTTGCTGCCACTGCCACCGCCCCTATCAGGTCCAGTAGCGCCAGCAGAAGCAGCACCACCAGCAGCAGCAGCAGCAGCACTACCCGCGCTAGCACCAGAACCCAACCCAGCCGCAGCAGCAGCAGCAGAAGAAGGAGGAGGAGCCGCAGCGCTAGCGGAAGCGCCACCAGCAGAAGCCCCGGCCCCTACCCCAGCACGAGCACCCCCGGAAGAACCTTCCAAAACCACTCCACATCTATCAAAGCTCCCAAACCCAGCCGCAAGCCTGGCCACCGCTCGGAGCGACTCCGCCCCCTTCACATGCACGCGGGTGAGCGCCCCTGCGCACCTCACAGCCAGGGAATCCGCAGCGGCGGCGGAGAGAGGCGGGGTAGCAGCGGAGATCTAGGGTGGTCCAGAGGGAGGGCGCGAAGGAGAGGTGACACCAGGAGGAGCAGACGCAGGATGCCCGGGCGAGGTCTCTGATTGCCAGGAGAGAGAAGATCCGCAGGGTGATTTCGGCTGGGAGGGAGGTCCAGTCAGGGGGGTGCGCTCGTGCTGGGTGCTGCTGCTGCTGCTGTGCTGCTGGTTCGTTCAGTGTGGAGGGTGGTGCTTCTGTGGTGGGGTGCTGCTGGCTAGTACTGGCCTGTTGTTGCTCTTTCTCCTTCTCCTTCTCCTTCTCCTTCTCCTTCCGCTGCTGCTTCTGCTTCTGCTTCTGCTTCTGCTGCTGCTGCTGCTGCTGCTGCTGCTGCTTCGGCCCTGCCTGCTCCTGCTCCTTCCCAACCTCGCCTTCTTCCTCCTTCCGCTCCTCCTCTTGCTGACCCTGCCGCTGCTGCTGCTCCGTCCGCCCCTTATCCCGCTGCTGTCGCCGCCGCTGCTGCTGCTGCTGCTGCTGCTGTTGCTGCTCCCCTTCCTCCTCTTCCCCTTCCTCCTCTTCCCCTTCCTCCTCTTCCCCCTCCCCACCCTCCCCTTCATCGTCCACCAATTCTAACACCTCCTCACACCTCTCCACCAGCTTAATATCCTCCCCACCATTCTCCAGTAACCCTACCTGCTCACGCATTCCCAGCAGACCTACCTTCTCAACCATTCCATCCACTCCCTCTTCTTCACTCCCCTCCTCTCCTCCTCTTTCTCTTTCCGTCATATCCAATGACCAAAACAAGGCGTCTCCCCCGCCTTCTCCGCCTGCCGCCTCAGCAATCGCCGCTGCTTCCGCCTCTGTCTCCGCCACTACTGCGTCTAGGCGCGCGGAAATCGCGCTCACCCCGCGCGCGCGACCTGCACGCCCTCCGCCAGCGCTTGCGCCGGCGCCGGCGGAAGAGCCGTTTTTCTGCCGAGCTAGCGCGGACAAGGCGTGTGCTTCCGCGGAAAAGACGGGATCTTCCGCCTGCGAGCGCGGAACCTCTGCGGCGGAGGAACTGGGCGCGGATTCGGGGGGAAGAGCGCGGATGCAGAAGAGGACGCGGAGGAGGGACCGGGAGGCGGAGCTTCCGCGGAGACTTCGAGCAAGGGGGGAAGCGCGAGTGAGTTCCGCGTTCTTGTGCGATCAGCGGTGGTGTCGGCATCAGCTAACGCGGGATGCGGAAGGGCAACATCGGAAGAAGTCCCAGAGCCAGTCGCAGGCGTCGCAGCAGGGGTCGCAGAAGGAGTCGCATCGGGATTCGCAGGAGACGGAGCGAGGGTCGCAGAAGGATTCGCACCACCAGCGGCAGTCGCAGGCACGAGCCTAACGGACCCGCCTGGCGTGTCCGCGGAAGTTAAACGACGCCTTATCGTCCCTCGCGATCGGCCTCTCTGGCTGACAAGTGTCACCTCCTCATTGGTTGTCGCTGCAGCGGTGCCTGAGATTTCCACGTCAGCCGTAGTGCTGGGACCTCCCGTGCGTCGCCTCGTTCGTCTCGTCATGTCGCAGTCGCTATCACCTTCGCGAAAGCGCCTTGTGAAACAACGAAACTGAAGCGAAGGTCGCTAAGGTCCGGTTCAGGCAGGTGAAAAGAACCACGGTGAGGATTTGAAGAAACTCATGCTATCATTGCCGGACCAGTCTCTCGGCACGAAAGGCCGAGCACACTGACAACCTCCTTCCACTAACACGCCTGCAATAACGGTTGCTGAATGCGACGCCGAATGCGAGCTAGGACGTCGCTGCGCTTATGGAGACGTCTCCACGTCAGAACGGAATGCGCAGAAGCATCTGTGGATCAGCAGAAGCACCTAAAACAAGTTGCCCTGGTGTTGGCCGTCTGTAAAACTGATGAGGTGAGGAACTAGGCTTTGCTGGCTGGGATGCCACAGGAGGAAGCATGAGGGTGCATTCCTGGCTCGTGTCAAACTTTCTGAGGCTCATGGGGACAAATCAAAAATCGTGGTACAGTCCGAAGTACGTGTAAGATGTATCAACTATATGCAATTCTTTGCCAATAGATAAATGCTGGTATGTTCACACCACAAATGAAATTAAAGAAGACATTAGCTAATTACAGGTCGGGATTAATTTAAATAACACAACCGAATTCCAGGTTCATCAGTCCCTTCAACGAGCTGATGGTAGCTTTTCTAACTTGATGTATTATCAACATAAAAAAAAAGGCTAGCTTCACAGCATTATCACCGATCTGGTGTAGGGAAGTAGTTTTTGTTTGGTTTTTTCATGTAAATATCTTAAAAGTACCTAACAAGCCATGAAATGTGCCTATATTTCATAGAGATGTGATTTCCTAAACTGTGTTTCTATATATTCTTACGAGGTGGCAACCTGCAATCTCAATTCCAATGTATGAAACATTACACAGACAGGATGAGTAACAAGTTCGCACACGTTTTCGCGACACCCCTAGTATGAAACGGGCACAGTATTCGCTCTTGTTGGCGAACAAAACCTGCTTACGTGGACACGAGCTATCCTTATCTTTGGAATGGGAGCCCAGAATCATCCGTAACTCGATTTCGGACGCTATTCGTCCGTTGGATGCGATCCACATGTCGAATCGAGGGGTCCCAAAATCGCTGGCAATTTGCCTCCAGAACCAAACATCGAGCACAGGCACCTAGTGACTCGGGGAACCACATAGAGACCACCTTGGATCTTCCTCGGAAATTCAGCAGCTCTCCTCAATTCGCCGATCTCACACATCTCAGCGCAATCTCTGGTTGTCATTCACCTGAAGCAATGGCTGCCGCTGCTTCCATGGCTACCAGCGTTGCCCTGAAGAGCCTCAGCTCTTCCTTCTCCGGCGCGGCCGTCGCTGCTCCCCAGAAGGCTGTGGCCGCCAAGGCCGGTGCCTTCACCTGCCGTGCCCAGAAGTCCGAGGAGGAGGTTGTTGTGTCCCGCAGGAACGCTGTGACCCTCCTCGCTGGCGCCGCTGCTGCCCTCACCCTGAAGGCTGCCCCCGCTCAGGCTGCCTATGGCGAGGCTGGTACGTCTTGTAGCTCCTTATACTCGCCAACGTTCACGCTGAGTGAAAGCGTGTGGTACATGCATGCGTTTTGCTCATGTCCCTGAGGGATGCTCATGTGGCTTAGGAGATCTGCATTAGGCTTAGAACGTTCTCTCTGCTGTACGCTATCCCTCCTTCCTTGGCAGCCAACGTCTTCGGCAAGGGCCCCGGCAACACCGACTACATTCCCTACAAGGGCGACGGTTTCTCCCTTAACCTCCCCTCCAAGTGGAACCCCAGCAAGGAGGTCGGCGAGTTCGCCAACATCGTCCTGAGATATGAGGACAACTTCGATGCCCTCGCTAACGTGGTCGTCATTGCTGAGCCCACCAGCAAGGGCTCCATCAGCGACTTCGGTTCCCCCGAGGAGTTCCTTGAGAAGGTAAAAAATTACAGTGCACCCTGAGGTATTATGCCAATCTGGTTGTACGGCACCTACTGTCATAGATGACGGTCTGACGTCTGTTTTTTGTGTTGTGCAGTACAAGTACCTCCTCGGTGTCCAGGTCTTCGCTGGTGAGACCGCTTCTGAGGGTGGCTTCGAGAAGAACGCCGCTGTCACCGCCTCCGTGCTGGAGTCCTCGTCCGAGAAGGTTAACGGCAAGACCTACTATAAGCTGAACGTTCTCACTCGTACCGCTGACGGTGGTGAGGGTGGCAGGCACCAGCTGTTCACCGCTGCCGTGTCCAACGGCACGCTTTACATCTGCAAGGCTTCCTCCGGTGACAAGAGGTGGTTCAAGGGTGCCAAGAAGTTCGTTGAGGGTACCGTCGGCTCCTTCGCTGTTGCTTAAATTGTGATATACATGTCAATTTTGCGATAAAAAAGTAATTCAGTCATTTGCACATATTTCACCGATTTGGTAACTACTTCGTAACCGTGCACGCTTAAATGAGCTATGTACTCACAAGTTCCACGAACATTACAGCAATCAACATCAAGAAAAGTCTCTAGGACCTGCAGCAGTTACCGAAAAGACTTGGAACATTATAGAAGCAATGTGTGAATACATCATGTGACAGGCTCATAGGGAGACAATGCAGCGGGCGGAGTGCCATACGATGGAGTTGGCGCTGGTGCTGGTGAAGTTGACACTGCAGGGACTGGAGCCGGAGCTGGGCTTGGTGCAGTAACTGGACTAGGTGCAGGAGCTGGACTTGGAACAGGAGCAGCGGCAGGAGCAGTCAATGGCCCCGTTGCGTTAACATGAAGCCTGAACTGCAAATATGAGTTACCCGCTAAACCTAAAAGGCCAGAACCAGCCTGAACCGCTTGAAGCACGTCCCTGCACACAAATAGCCATGGGAAAAGATTTTACACAGATAAAAGCGTACAGTGCATAAAGTACAGCCATGCATTTGATAACACACCTAATTCGGACAATAGGGTCTGAGTCCGCCATCAGCAGAAGGGACGTGTTCTGCATAACAATCATGAGGAGCAAAGTGAGCAGAGAATCAGGTATAGCAAACATTGTAGGTGCAGCAAATTAATTGCACTTGCACGTACAGTTCCAGAAATCTGACCAGCGACATCCGTGATTTGATTGCTGGGGATGTCCACGTTGACATTAGTCAGGTCCACATCTTCTCCGAAATATTTCCCCGTAACTCGCCCAAACAAAAGTGAGGCGTTTTGAGGAGTGAAGGTGAAGTTTCCTTCAGGGCTTGTTGTGAAATTCCCACCTGCTCAAAGCATTCTGCATGTTACTTCACTTGGAGGAGCTGCGCGCTGGAAATGTCAGCACAGCAGTAGGAATTTACCGCCTACCAGATACGGTGAGGTTGACATCTGTTGCGGTGAAGTTTGCAAGGGGAACAGCGACGCCAGGGCCTATGAGAGCGATTTGGAGCTGAGGGGGTATGGTTGTAAAACTACTGCGAAACCACGTCCACTCAACCTGCAGGCATGCCACGCAGAATCATGACACGCTGCAACGAATCCGAAAGAAGGGATAAACCGCGAAAATGTTAAGCACGACTGTACCTGCTGGGTCGATGGTGAGAGGGCGAGTTTGAGCGCGATTGGTCCTTTGAGCAGAAAGGAGGGAGGGCCCACAACTAGTCGAAGGCCAGATGCGCCTCCGGATTCCCAAGACGAATTCGAGGCCTCAGGAACAGCCTGGCGTCCGTGAAACGGGAAACAGAAATGGCATGCTTTTTCATACATTCGTTGGACGACTGGAAGCCAAATCGTTTTGCAACAGATGTCTTTACCTGCAGCACGGTGCCCTGAGCCCCTTGTCCATTTGCAGAGTCTACAAGAAGCGTGAAAATGAGAACTACAAGGGAGAGACAAGCAAGTAGTTTTACGAGCAAGACATTTTTCCCAACAGAGACTAGTGAAGCGGAGCAGATACACCAACTGGGGGGTGCCATATTGGGATTCTCGGTGGTGCTGGAAGGATGACGGCGAGCGAGGGCTGGGCGAACAAATTAACGGGTACAATGCACTTCAGCGGCTATATGGGCGTTCCAAGTGCTGAATCTGACCAACCTCAAGAGTTCATCTTGGAGAGCTGACGGCCAGCCGTCAACATCTGGTTATGACTAACCAGGCGATAGGGCTTCGCACTCGTTGGGACGCATGAAAATTTGCGCAGCGAGGGTGCGACACGTAGAGGCTGAAACAGCTGGAGGCAAGCTGGAAAATGAGATTCCTGGTAGGAAAATGCGCCACAGAAAATGAACCTAGAAAAAATCACTGAACTACATATACGCAAACATGATTATGACTTTTCCACACAAATGCCCCTCAGCATAATTTACTCAATTGAACACATTGCCTCTTGTTAAGCAGCATGTTGCTGACTCTCACGTGCACCTTGGATATGCTGGCCAGCAATTTGTCCATAAGGATGATGCTGGTTGTGATGAGCGAGCAAATGTTGCTGCATCAGCCGCTGCTGTCTCTGCTGTTGCTGCTGCCGCTGAGCAGTCGCAAGCAACATAGCACAAACCAACTTGTGCCCAGCCTTCCAATCCAACGCCTGGCACGCCCTGCTGCAATACTTGGCCTCTCCGCACGCGGAGCAGCACCTAAATTCCTGCCGCCGTGTCTCCGACCGACCGCAGCGGGAATTCGAGCACAGCCGAAGACCTTCAGGAAGACCATAGATCCCACGCCAATCTACGAGGAACTTATGCACCACAGCGTGCCAGGAGAACGGGGGAAGGGTCACTGTGGGGAGGCAGCAGCAGCGATAGCCAACACCATACACTGCACAGGAGGGCAGCACAGCCGTGGAATTCACTGCATCTGGACCTGCAGGCTGTGCATGGCCTGTAGGGTGCGTCAGGTTTGCCGGGTTCATCTGCTGCTGCTGCTGCACCTGCTGCAGCTGTGCCTGCTGCTGGTAAACCAGAGTGGCTCTGTTATGGCGCAGCAGGTGCTCTGCATTCTGGCCTTGAACCTGCAGTGTGACCATGGCATGCTGCATTCTGAGCGACTGGACAGAGCCGGCACCATCCGGTGTTGTTTCAGTCACAGCAACAGAAGGGCTCGCCTGGTCTGCAGGGACCTGGGGCCTTGCTTCCACATGTGGAGTTGATTCTGTCCCTGCGGCTGCTGGTGCTTCTGGTAATGCTACTGCTGCGTTTCCTGCTGAGGTTGCTGCTGCTGCAGCTGATGGTGCTGCTAGTCCTGCGGGCGCTGCTGCTGCTGGTGCTGCCATGGCAGCCCCTGTTTCTCTTGCCAAAACCGTAGCAATGGGCACGGCAGTGACTGCTGAGGCCCGGAGCATTTCAGCAGCCTCGGCGGGGGACACCAGAGCGCCGTAGGCTCGGCGAGCCCGAGCCAAGCCGCGCAGGGCTTGGAGTTCCAAACGAAGCCGAGAGGTTCGGTGGGGAATCACGGGAGCTACAGACAACTGTTGGGAATCACGGGAATCACGGGAGAAGACAAATTGTTGGGTGGGTTGACTCTGAGAGGTAACAACTGGGAAGGGTTGATGTTCAGGGGGCTGAATTTGGGAAGGTTGATCTGGTAAGGTTTGAACTGGAGCGGGCTGAGTTGGGAAGGGGGAGGGCTGAACTGGGAAGGGGGAGGGTTGAACCGGGAAGGGCTGGGCTGGGGAAGATGAAATACCCTGTTGATGCCGGGGTTGGTAGTGATTATGTTGTAACTGACCCCCGTACAGTACTACAGGATGCTGCTGCCTAGAACCGAGGTCATTGATAAAGCGGATTGTCCCAGAGCCTGTTGCTGCTTCCCCTCGCCTGCTCCTTCCATTTTCTGCTTCGGAACGAACGTGCCTGGTAAACTGGCTTTGCGGAGAAACTACCACCGCTGCTGCTGCTTCGGAATTCTCCGTTCCCCATGCCATTCTCACAGTTCCCGTGGCTTCACTCGTTCCAGACGCTACTCTTGCCACTGCTCCCCCTGCGACCGGCCCCCATGAGATTGACCCTCCTGCGATCCCCCCCCCTGCAACTGCTTCTGTTGCCTCTGGTCGCCAAGGCGCGGGTGCAGCAGCAACTGCATCAGCAGGCAGGGAGACTGTACCAACTGTTAGGTCTGTAGCCACTCTGTCGGATGTAGGAGCAGGCGGGGAGATAGTAAGGTCAGTAGCCACTCTGCTGGCTGTAGCAGCTGTCGCCGCGGCTGCAAAGGCTCCAGCAACTGCAGCCGTTGTAGCAGCAGTAGCAGCTGTAACGGCAGTAGCAGCAGTAACGGCTGTGGCGCCTGTAGCAGCCGTAGCGGCTGTTGCGGAAGTGGCGGCAGCAACTGTAGCGGCCTCTCTCGTGTTAGCCTCGAGCAGCAGCCGCCGCCCCTCCGCCACGTTCCGCGGAACCCCATAACCGTCCTGCAGGCAGTGCCCTAGCTCCCGAAGCGCCTCTACGTGGCCCTGCGCCGCGGCCTTGGCGCACAGCAGCACGCCCGCGAGCAGGTCGCGGTCGAGGCGCGTGCCGCTGCTGCCGTTGAAGTGGATCACGGAGAGCGAGTGCAGCGCGTGCGCGTGCCCGCCGAGCGCGGCGCGCGCGAGCAGCGTCGCGCCGCCGCGACGGTCTTCGAGACAGTAGAATTGGATCTGCGGGGGACAAAGAGCGGGGGTGGGAGTGGGGAGAGGGCGGAGGAAAAGAGGGGGGAGTGTTGAAAGAGGAGTGGGGGGTGAGTGGGTGTGTATGAGCGCGCGCAACGCGCATGTCGCGCGAGCGCAAGTGCGAGTGGCTGGCAAGCTTCGTGCGGGCAGGCAGCTGCAAAGCGCCGCCGCCGCAACAGCCGCGGACGGCTCGGCCGAGGTGCGATGCGGGCAGACATAAGTCCATTGGGTGTTGTATTCTCTAATCCTCGCCACCCCATCCGTTCATTTTATTCTCGTAAGGTGTCACTTGAGAATTCTCCTCACAGGTGAGCGACGAGCGCGCGACAAGCTTAGCGAACGAAAACGACGACGACGGACTGAACGGCGAGCGCGCGACGATGGGGACTGACCATGCCGAGCGAGTAACACGCGTCGAGGTTGCCCGCCGAGGCGCACCGTTTGAGGAACCGATGCGCGCCGTCCGACCAGGACGGCGCCGACACCGCCATGGCCGCGGGCGACGCGCGTCGCAGCACGTGCGGCTCGGCGCCTAGCGCGCACACGCGGCGACACGTCAGCCACACGTTGATCAGGTCGGCGGGGGAGCGCGCTCGAGCCGCGAGATGCTGGAGAATGCACCCGACGAGCTCGTCCTGGGGGAACGGACACGCGGGGGGAAGGCGGGGAACAGGGGGAAAAATCAATTCACATGTCGATGCGCGTAAGGCGTGGCGGTCGACGCGCGAACGCGTTGGCGCGGCGTGGAATTGCCACGAGGAGACGAGCGGGGGAAGCGTGATTATTCTTTCCCTCGCGCAGCTTCGGCGCAGTTCTGGCAGTCCGTGCTTTCCATTGGACTGTGGCATTTGAGTTGACGATGGGACTTTTCGCCAGAACAGCGAGCGTGGTGGCGCGGAGGGGAAAAGGCTTGCAAAGCGGCACTCCTGCTTTTGAAGTTACGACGCGACGGAGGGAACTCTCCGCGACCCCCCGCAGAACGCGGCACGAGGGGAATCGAGGCGGAGGAGGCGGGGGGAGCAGCGCGACGCGGGTAGACAGGGCGATGCGGTTGCGTGACGCGGGTGGGGAGGGCGATGCGGTTGTGCGACGCGGTTGGAGGCCGATGTGGCAGCGCAATGCGTAAGTTGGCAACAAAAGAATTCGGGTGAACTGTTGTGTTCGTGATCTTTTGCTTACGGGTAAGTCGTCGAAACGAGACGCATCCGAGGACGCCATTCGCCTTCTCTTCGCCGCGTCGCTACTGATGCAGAGAGCCGCCGAATCGCATGATGTAGCCATTGCCAACTTTCGACCAGAGAACGGGTGAATGTGAAACGTTATGCCGTCGGACTCGCTACGATACCCTCCACAGCGTGTCCTCATTGGTGTAGCAATTCACCAGGCCGAGTCTTGACGAGAGCACAACGGTTAGTAGCGTCAGCGTTTTATCATGGAAGGGAAAGAGGTACTTCTAACGCTAGAGAAAGGGCTCGCTCTATGCTTCCGGCTGGCAACTGTGGGCTAATTCAACGAGCTGCAAACTAGAGGAAGGAAGACAAGATAATCGTTTCAACTTTGTAGAAAATGCTGCTGAACATGGCTGCCTTCTAGGTTGAAGCGAATGCGGTGGGAGGGGAAGGGATGCTGTCGAGGGTTTGAAATGCGGTACAGGAATTTTTTTCTCATGTTCAATAACGATTGAACAAGACTTCAGAGGATTCAAGAACGGTACCAACAAACATGGGCTCAGATATATGGATATGAATTGAATTGGTGGGGCTGGTTGGACCTGCCCTTTGACACCGCCCCCGCTCAAAAGTTAGTGAAAGAACAGTTCGAACTGTACCGAAGCACTAGTCTTTTGAAGCGACACCAAACAGCGAATACATTTTTAGCCAGGACCGAGTCGAGCCCCGGGCAGCAGGGAAAGAAGCCAAGCCGACACAACCAAGTACACACGATGTCCGTTTGACTAACCCAAGGTTGCCTTGTGAAGGGGGCGCTTAAGTGATTCATGCATTTCGTGGAGGTTTCGTCAATTCGCGTCGGGCAAAAAGGGCTTATAGCAAAATTTTGTAACTCACCGTTGACTGTTTGTAGCAAAATTCTGTGGTTCGTATTGGTTGACGTGCTTGTAACGTGGGTGCAACTGCCCGGGAAAAAACCTTCGTGTGCAAGGTTTCTGGAACGTGCGAGGCAATTTCGCGTGCAGGGGTTGGGCATCTTGTGTACACGTACAGTCCGTGTATTGTCGGTTTTTGTCCCACCATTTTTGGTAGCGTCCCCCGCTCACCAACAAAAGAAGCCGCGGGTTGGGTTCGTTGTCATGGCTGGAGATACGACGAAGCCTGTACATAATGCAATGAGAATACAAATCCACACTCACCTTTGAATAATGAGGGCACGTCCGAGAGAGTGCAAGTGCCAGGATATACCAGTTTCTTGAGGAACGAAATGAGATGAAACTAGGGCACCGAAAACACACAAACCTCACGCTTTAGCAGAGTGTTGAGGGGTAACCAGCTCAATGAAGCCTTTGGACGTTGGCATACAAACAATTTGATTAAAAGATGCAAAGCGACAAATTAGGTTGTCGAAGCTCCGAACCAATCGCGTAGCGCGTGAGTGCAACTCTTGTCGGAACATGATCCAGCACTAGAACTAGACTTGCATCACATCATTACGAAGCGGTTACAAAACGATGGCCGTCCTGACATGACGATTGCTTCGAACAATGAAATGTGTCAGAAACTTCGGAGCATTAAATGCTTGCCCTACTTCTGTGAGACTCTTTATAGGATTACAGTTTGAACTGCTAGACAAGGTTTGCACTTCAAACTGACAATCTTACATGCCGAGCAGTCCGTGTGTCTAGGCCTTCTTCCTTACTTCTGATAATGTATATTAAAATCTTGAGATTCGTCAGATGTATCCTGTGGTATTGATTCCAAATATGTGATAAATAAAAGACCCATTCATAAGCATTTTCTATAAGCTTGTAATTATTCTTGCCTGTACTCTCTCTCGACGGAAGGAACAAATAGTGTATATTCGCGTCTTTTGGTAACAAAAATATCACAGCTACACATGTTATCACAAAAAGTTGTTACAATGGATCAGTGAAAATGTGAAGAGATGAGTAAATTAAATAGGTTCTTAGCAGGTATAGTATCCAGAAGGTACAAGCAAGGACGAATGAGAACAACGGAATTTCTCCAAACGATACACGGTTTCACCCTGTGGGACACCACCAGCGCAGTGATTGCGCTTCCTGCAGAGCCTGCGGAATGTATCATGAAGGAAACTCCCAGCAATCATCCTCCCGCGTCCCCCGGAATTTCAAGCTGCGCGTCCGCACTTCCCCCGCTCCTTCCCCGCACGCGGAACAAGCTGGCTGGCGAACTCCGCCGGAAAAAGAATCCGTTCCGCCTGCTTTGCTCTTCCTCTGAAAGTCTTGCTTCCCTCCTCCTAACTCTCCTTTCTGCCGCTTCTCTCTCAGCCCCTTAGCTCTACTCGTTCCTTAGTCAACTATCCAACATGGTAGGCACGCTTCCGTTCTTAATGGCTGTTGTGTCTGCAAAATGTTCCTCGCCCTGTATCAAGAGTTGCGATTCGTTACGGAGCCTGATGTTAGGGTTTCTAGGGCAGGCGGGTTTCTGGTTTTCCAAATCCGCGGCCGTCAATCTGCTCGAATGCGTCTGACATTTCCGCGGGATCCGTCGCACGAGCCGAGTCGACTCAAAAGTTTTATCACTCCAGAGAATAGGACGAGTAAACAAGTGTCTAACCCCCCTCTCGATGTGTGTCCTCCCTATTGCTGATTCGTGTCGCGCCGTCGCGAGTCCAGGCGGACACGGAGGAGGTGCAGCCGAAGAAGCGCACGTTCAAGAAGTTCACCTTCCGAGGCATCGACCTCGATGCGCTGCTCGACATGGGCAACGAGGAGCTCGTCAACCTTTTCACCGCGCGCGCTCGCAGAAGGTATGCTTCGCGAGTTGTTCCGGTAACCCTATTTCGCTCGCATACTGCTCGTTAACCGTTAGAAGCTAGAGTTTGTGTTGGCGGCGCCGATTTCGACACTAAGCTGGAGTTCTAGGCACGGTGTTTTCACTCTGCCATTTTGGCAAGTACCCCATACAGTTGTCTCGAGCTCTCGTATGCTGACGTCTGCTAGATTTGGTTTGTCGATACGGTGGACAGTTCGCTGATAGAGCCCGCGAGGCGGTTTTTACGACTTGGATTTGGGAAACGAGACAGCTCAGATAAGGGGGTTAGGAATCGGTAAAGCAACGAGGAGTGTT